GGAAGACGAAGGCGCGGCGCACAACTACACCTGCAAGCTGAGACGGCAAGTTGTTCGAAGCTTCGGGGGTTGTCCTGCCGTCGTCCTGCCCACACCCCTCCTCGGGCTCCGGGGCTGGTGGGCCTGTCAGGGCCCTTGAAGCAGCTTGGCAATGTCACTGCATACCGCGGACTGCAACATGGCTGGCGCAGCACAAGCTCAGCGACGGCGGGCATCCATGCCCCAAGGTGCAGCTGCACGTCGATGTCTCTGCACAGAGATTTGTCGGCCACGTGCAAATACAATGGCGCGCAAAACCACTGGCCAGAGGAAGCCACAAACGACGTGTGGCGAGACGGGAAGGGCTCCGTTGGTTGCCAGCAGACCTCAGGCACACGACAATTGCGGGTGGACAAAGGCGGGCATCCGGGAAAGATTCAAAAGGACCCGGGCCCGGGACCGCAACGCTATTATGGCAAGCGAGACGACGCAGGTTAGGAAAAACAAATCAAACATTAACCGGTCCTGCTCCACCACTTGTTTGTGTTCAGACAGGAGACGGTGCGACCAGGCCGGACGCACTTGAGCAACAAAGAAAACGGGCAACCTGCAAGCCAAGGCTCAGGAGCTGACCGATCGGACGCAAAAGGTCTTTGTCCCGAAAGGGGGGCGAAATCAAACCAACACATGCCCAAACGTGCCTCTCAAGGAGGCATCAAGGCTTTCAAGTCTTTTTACTCAAGTGCCGCCAGTGTTGGAAAGCTGTAGGAAGCTGAAACAAAGGCGCGGCTGTAGTGGGGCTGCGTCATTGACTACTGTGCCCTCGGCTTGCGGGACTGCAGAACGCAAACGACAACCTTGGGGCTCCTCCCGTCGGATAACAGTCGCGGAATCCACGTCAACAGTGACGAACAGTGTGCGCGACGAGAAAAAGCATGCCCGAACGAAATGAGCCACCCAAACTCAGAAATTATGTGCCAAACTGAAGCATCTCTGATCCTTCATTTGCACCTTCGTCTTTGAGGGTTTTCGTTGTATTAGATTCCATTGTTTTACGGTTTTGTGTCTTTACTCAATTTCACTCCAATTCATCCCTGTACAACCTGGTTAGTGGTAGCTCAGATGGGTAGAACGGGTGATGAACGCAGCCCGATGAGTCGCGGAGTTCTGCGCCAAGGCTGTGCTCTGATGGCTTGGTGACAGAAAGCTCTGGCCCCAAAACGGATCGACAGTCAGCTTCGTCACTGGAACGTGGTGAGCTGAATTCATGCCGGTCCAAATGTCATGCTTTCTCAAGCTCAAGCTCAGCTCGATACGATAAGAAACTATATAGCCATATGTTTGTTTGACACGCGTCGCATCAGTATTTGGCATTTTTCCACTAATGGCAGCTTGATTCGACATGGTGCGTGCACAAAAGAACAACCTCGGAACGCTGCCGCTCGTTTGCGAACAGCAACACAAGCAACAAATGATCACTACGGCTGCGCCCACATGCGCGACGTCTGTCATTCTTAGCGCGCGCGCACAACTTGCTGACGGCAGTAGGAGAAAGATGCCACCCAAAGCGGCAACACCCAATTTCGCAAAAAAGCACCCATGAAGATCAAACACCAAATGCCCGAGGACTTCTTGGTGGCCGGCGTTGCTTTGTCGTCATTATAAAAAGCAGGCTTTGTCGTTGAATCGGGGAGATTGCGCTGAATAGGTGGCCATGAGTCATGAGGTGGGGGGAGCAGCTAGCAACAAAGGACAAACTTGGCAGCTTATTCAATAAACAACGAGCGCAACCTTCGAGTGCTTCGAAACCTTACCTAGCCAAAGCCTGATCGCCAAATTCCAGTGTTTCGCAGGACGTCGATTTGTGGAAGCCACTGGTGGGCTTCCTGCCTTTCTTTGCGCACACGTTTTTGGGCGATGATTTGTTCTGTCAATTGCCTTCCATTTTTAAGCCAGCACCCAGGGTGCCCGAAGGCTGGCCCTGCATCACGTCAGGCTCTCCAGCCAAAACTGATTGAAAGTCCCATCTGTGAGGCGATTGTCTTTGTACTTTTGTCTGCCTTGTCCAGTTTTCTGCGACCTCTCGTTGTGTTCAGCGGTATGCTTGCAAGCCCTGACAATCGCTGCCTCGCAGCCGCGCCTTGCTTGTGTCTGCAGGTTTGGATATGCACGCACTCCCAACCGAATTTCACCTAATTACAAATGCTAAAGGCCGCAAATATCTAACCCCGCAGCTTCCGACCGGTTCTGTCCAAGCAAACAACGCCAAACACACAAACAACTGTAAGAAAACAACAAACGGCTGTGCCTCCAAATATGCTAGTGCCGAAGGCGGAGAACTGTACAAGCTTACCACTAGACAGTCTTGTCGCACCAAACATTGTCCCAGCCAAGTGGGCGAAACTTCACTAAGTTGCATGCACATCATACAATTCATACCAGCATCTCATACAAGCCATACCTTGGTTGGCTCATTTCTGCCTTGCTTGGCGACCAAAAGCATATTGTCACATGCCCAAGCTCTACACTATTCAGCAACTATAGCTATGGACTGGCTGACAAAATACAGAAAAGAGAACCAGGTTGTGTCAAGCCAATGAACTACAAACATGAGTCACAATCAAAACCTGGTACAAAAATGGTGAACCCAGAACCATGTAAAGAATTAGAAAGGCGGCCGCAACTATTTCCGGCTGGGACTGCCCCTTACTAACCTTCATCTACCCGCGTTTTGATTGTGGCTCAAATGAACATTGTGCAACGTCTGCTCCTGTGCACCTATGTGACATGTACAGGTGCGTGCGTGGCTTGCCTCGCTTGCTTGGCAGTCAAACTATGCATGACCCTAGTCTATTCGCAAAATGAGTGCGAGAACTCAAACCCTTTACAACCAGAAATAAACACAGCTCCAAATTCCACCCTCACCCTCTGAACCTCCCGCAAAGCTTTTCTTCTAGATTCTAAACTCATTGACTGCCCCACCTAAACCAAGATCCAAACAATTCTTGGCGCTAAAGGCCAACAACCGTCCAAGCTTAAGAAAGTCTTGTCGCACCAAACATTGTCCAATCAAACTTTGAACATCCAGCCAAGAAAGTGGGAAAAACTTGACTCAGTCCCATGCACAGCACACAACTCATACATGCAACTCATACAATTCATGCAACTTGCAGCTCATGCAGCTCATGCGTCATGCACCTCGATTGGATCGCGTCTGCCTTGCCTGCCCAATGCACATTGTCGCATGCCCAAACTCTACAATAACTATTCATCACTATGCAATTTCTGCTACAGTATCAACTGTGTGAAATCTCTATGCACTCATCTTCTGGACCTGCTGGGCCCTTCAACCGAAATCACAAAGTCCCGGAGCTGCGAACTGCCACATCAAAAGCACTTTGCCTTCAGTAACAAACACTTGCGGCAAGCCACTAAAAAACTGTCCCTTTCACGCACGTCACGGATATCATCCTGCGTGTCTTACTTTGCATGCCTCACAAGTGCATCATTGTCTCCATCCGCGGGCCAAACCCAAAGATATCCAATATCCATGCGAGCTGGATATGTGTTGCAAAATTCAGGCAGTGTTTGGCCATTTCCCACCTGTCAATGTTGGTTGAAATGGCCAAGCAATTCTGCATGACAGCCTTCACTGTTGCAACAGGTCCCAGCACAGGAGCGTTTGCCCCTGCCCGCTAAAATTGCGGTAGCAAATGTGAGAAAGATTGGAAGCTGTGACAAACTAAATGCGCAGAGTCATGGTGTTAAAATCCAGGACTTGCGCCATTCTACAACTTGTGATAGCCAAAGGCCCACATGGCAGCGGTGAAAAGTGCAGCACCTGCCAAGGTCGCCACGAAAGTTTGGATCGCTTCCATCTGCTTCTTCCGCGCCCAGGCCTTTCAGGGTGTTGGCAAAACAGCACCGTACGACGTTCAGAAACTCCCAACAGGTTCGTCACAAGCTTGTTAGGCACCCAGCCTGGTGCTGCTGAGGCATCCTTCTCATGGTGAAGAGACCATCAACACTCCAGCGTCCCAGCATATTGGAGGCTGAAGGCAAGGGTGCACGCGACAATCAATTCGAGCTTGACTTCGTTGTTGAACCATGCTGAAGTTGTGCTGATGCGAGCTCGTGCCCTTAGCCTACCTCTTTGTCGCAGAGCACACAATATTTCATCTTGATCCTGCCTCATTCAGACCGCAAGCTCGAAGCATAGAGGTACATCGAGCCCCAGGAAAATCCGAATATACCACCAAAGCCTTCAGGGGCATACTCCAGCCGTCTACAACTCCGACGCACGTGGCAACTCCGGTTCATGGAAAAAGCAGTATGTTCTCACAGTGAGGGTAACGGCAACAATGGAAGGCAGGCGACAACTCCTACCTCAAAAACCTGCAAGAAGTGTTGCGCATTCCCTAGGAGTTCCCATGTTGCTCCCGGCCTATTGCACGAAACCAAAGAAGGACTCCCAAGAGAATCGTGAAGGCTACAGCTGCAATCAGCCGCACTCTGGATTCAGTCTTGGTAATGCTCCTATTCTCCTGCACCGCCTGCTCCATCCCTGTCGCCCTCAGTCTGTTTAGGATGCTAATTCCAGAAACATGCAAACTGATTGCCAATATGAAATGAGCTGCGATGGGAGTGACCACTGGGGTTCAGGCGGAGCAAAGGCATCACCAGACATGCAAGCCAACCTTCTTTGTGATTGCGAGTGTTGCTGACCTCTTATCAAGGGCTCCTTGGCAGCCTACGGTCCGTTGCAGTATGCTGACCGAAAGGGCTGGTGAGTGACAGCGTTGCTTAGAGTCTCCAATGGCTAATGCTTGAGCGAATTGCACACCCAACCGCGCAGCCAGGCAGGCATAGCGGCATGGTCGCAAGACCACGTGCAAGAGGACTGGTTTGATCATGGCCAGTTGGGCAAGTTTGCACAAATTTGAACCCGATACTAACCAGCCTTTGCCTGACTCACTGAAAGCCAAACCATCAGATGTGGGCACAGGGTTCTGCGTGTGCTTTTGCTCAGATCACCGCTGTGCCCTAGCACCCTCGCTGCGTCATCTGCGGTCTTTGGCCGACTTCCGCTGGCGATCACCTGCCATATGATGTCAGAAAGATCCGGAAATGTTCACCGCGCAAAACAAATGAAATGGCAGTCGCCCTCCTGGGAAAACCGTAGCTTGCACTGAATTGGCATTGACATGTGAGGTGCTACATGGCTGAACGGTCGGGTGTTCCCACCTCGTTCTCCAACCCTGCACCCATTTCGACCCAAGAGCTTGTGGTAATGAACATTGGGCAGCAGCCTCTGCCCGTGGCACTCTTGCTGCAACAGTTGCAAGGGAGCTCACGTGGGACCAGAAACATATTAATATCTATAGTTGATTCAGAGAGGAATCGATTGTGGATCGTCATTTTGAAAACGTACTTGCACAGGTGGCGGTGCGAGATGTCGTTCAAAGTGGCACGTCTTCTGTCGGCTGATCTTCTACGATGGTCGCCAAATCTGTTGCACTTGGCGCACAAGCATCTGAATTACACCGTTGCTCATTGTGACATGTTCACTGACCATGACAAGAAGGCGTTTTCTGAAACAACTTTCAGCAAAATGTTTGCGTGATGTGCTTTCACCCACTTGTTTTTGCTTCAACAGCGCCGTCCACGTTTCTGAGCGCTCGTTTTTTGCAACCGCGACTAGTGACAGTGTGCCTTCAAAGCCGAACTTGTTGGTTGAGGTGCACGCCGTGTTCTGGCACAACATGCGTGCACGTACTGTTGAACAGCATACTTACCACGTACCACGCGCCGTGCTCAATGTCCTTAAAAGGAGAGTGTGTTCGAGAAAAAACACCCATGGGGCCGCTTGATTATTGTTGGTTCTCTTTAGCGCTGTAGTGGGTCAAATCACAGAAGTGGCTGCATTCGAAAGCGCTGCGCCGCCACGAAATCTGTACTCGATCTTGTGTTTTTGCAGTTGCGATGGCTAACGTGATGCCTGCTTTTGCTGTTGTTGTTTGTGTGTGCGCGGTTAGTGTGAAGTGTGCAAAGCCCCGCTGAAAGGGTGCTAGCGGGTATGTTGGGAAATGTGTGCTGAGGTATGTTCTGTCAGCGTGCTAAAAGCAACCTCCTTTGCGTTTGCTTCAGAAGTCGGATGGATGGGTGACTGGGAACGTGGGATACTGACGTTTCGGCTGACGGTCGGGTGGTTGCGGTGGAGGTGCGCCGCTGTGAAATCACAGAAATGACCACATTTGAGTCGCGCAAACCGAAGAACACATGGTGATCTATTGTCTACCTATGATCTCTGTCTAGTCACTGCCCAATCAAACCCTTTCAAAACCGACGTCTTTACTTGTTGGGCCAGCTGTTTTATCTATCGATCTATCTTTCAACTAACCAATCTATCAATCTCTCTCGATCTGTTTAGCTACCTACCACGAAATCTGCTCACCTCGTTTTCCAATGCCGCATGTGCTTGTGATCTCAACCACCTATATATCATGGCCATGCAGCCTTTACTGTGGTCTTCTGTAAAAGGCAGTCGCTCAGGTGTCAATGCACCACTCGCAGCACTTGTTACCGCGGCCTTGCTGGCCTGGGTGCAGGAAATGGCAGCGGGTGCGTTGGCAATCCTGTCGGGGCGAGTGAAACTTCAGTCAGCCTAGCTAAACATACAAATGTCTGGCTGTCAAAATTGCTCAAGCATTGACATCTTCTGCCCCTGGGCCCTTGCTACGCTTAGCAACCCGTGGACAACAAAAGAAAATAACCTCAAGCAGCTAGCAGAATGCAATGGCTCAAAGCATTTATTGAGCTGCATGTTCACATACGAACCCATCCTTGCCATCACGACAGGGCGTCCGCTGCACACGCTCCAAGATTTGCGCCTCTGGAGCCGATGTCAACGTGGACGATAGCCAAGATAGATGTGCATTTATGCAAACGTCCCTTCAACTGGTTTTCAGTTGGTCTACAAAGCTGCCCCCAAAACTCATGTCTAATGGAAATCTGTTGGAATTCCGCTGGAATTGGCTGGTATGACCGGAACTTGCGTGGAGTTTTGTTTCCTATGAGCATACCATGCTTCCAACAACAATTATGAACGCCCGGAGAACACTGGCAGATGACAAAAAAAAACGCCTTCTGGTGAGATGCATGCTTCCGCAGCCAAGGCGCCGCTTCTTCAGGCACTGGGTGCCAAAGAGGGCAGTGATCTCCCTTGGCACAAATCTTGGCACACCAGGGAATACACGCCTGGCAGGGCCAGCTGACATGATGTCCTGACCTTGGGAGGCCTGTGACCTTTGCAACCAGCCTTGGTGCGATTGATGCGCGGGCTGCGAGGTTGTCCTGCAGGAAGCACTTGACAAATGCCCAGCCCATACACTCATGCGGAATGCGCATCTGAGGCTCCTCGAGCAGCCTGATGCCGGGATCTTTGCCGTTCTTCCCGGACTAGCCTGGCTGAGCTCTGCCTTGAGTGGCAGCCCGAAATCATGGGCATTCGCACTGCTCTGAAATTCAGCAAAAGCAAAAACGCTGCACCCTCATGCATTCAATGCTCCACCGCCCGGAGCCTGCCAACTAGCAATGAAGCTGATGTTCTACTTTATATATATATATATATACACGTTGAAGGGCCCGTCGTGGCGCTCATACCAGTGTGGCAATCAGTACATGCCTGTCGCGCTCCTCCGACCTGCCACTGCGATCAATGAATTTGAATTGATGCCTTTCGGCCAGTGAAAGTTGAAGCTGCTCTGAAGGTTGGGAAAAGGATCAGCCTCTTCAGAGAACGCTTGCAACACCGTATAGCTGACAACCGCGATGACCTGTTTATTATCCTTGATCACGCTGGTCTACCCTTCTTCCTCCATGATGGCGCCAACGTGTCCATTGCACTGGCATAGTGTGACACGCAACTGCATTCCAGTGTCGTGGCCCAGCATTTCTAGTAGAATGTTCATGTCATCAAGTCTTCATCAAGTCGTCGTTGGATGAATGTCAAACAAGGAAAGCTATTGACATCCTCACTGCGTGTAGTGTTGTTTCACTTACATTCCCGAATGCTTATAGAAGGGTTCCTGATATTCAGTAAGCTTTGAGGGTAAGGTCGTGTTTGCTGGTCATATCTTGCATGTTCAATGGCGTTCGCACTCATTCGCAACGTTGGCGTCATGTTGCGCTTCAGGCTGTCAAGCTGCTCGATTTAGTATAAGCTGTCAGTGATGCTGCCCTTTGTGGAGTGCAAATGGGCTTATCCAGAGCGTGCGCGGAGTTTTCTGCAAGGTGTGCAGCTTTCACCAAGTGGTGCATCTTGTTGCCAATAGGAGTTGCATGTTCCAGAAGTTTGCGCTTTGATGTGTGTTTTGAAATGCTCCAAGAAGCGATCGCTCAACTGTCGTCGCGCATGCGACTACTTCTCGGTTGAGCTTCAAATTGTGCCCAAGCGTAAACAAGTGTTTTGCTCCTCAGTTGTTTGATACTGCCGCCATTTGTACTGTGCAACTTTTGCAGGCGGCCTCTAGCGCGACCTATCGCGGAAGGCGCTAGGCACAGCACTGTGCAGCAGGTTAGAAAAACGTAAAGTGCAGATTTCGGAGCAAACGCTGCAATTCAGAATGCGGTGATGCAGGTGTTTCCAAGAATGTCCTCGGGAAAGTTCTTGGGGTGCATCTTTCGTCTTCGGTTGCAGGATCACTTGTTGAAAGCGTAGTCTTGGGGTATGTCTGTCTTTGGGTTGTCTTTGGGAACTTGTTGGCGAGGTCTTTGGGGCTGCCCGATGCCTTTCAAAGATGTCTTTGGAAGCAGACGCCGCGCTGTCTTACGTTTTACTGTCGGACTTGCTAGGTTCAACAAAGCAGCGTTTGAGCAGCGTTTGCGCAGCGATCAGGTTTGCGGAAGGTTGCCAGAACACATTGCACATGTCTGATGTTGGGTTCGCGGCTGCCGTTAGGTTTATGTTGCTTAGGCGCATTCAACTCAATGAACATCAGGTGAAATTGGTGTCAAACAAGTCGGCATGAAGACAAAGTGGAAATGGCAATGCACAGCGCAGTGAAAATGGCCAAGGACAGGGAAAAGGGAAGAAGATAATGATTGGCCAAGAATAGAATAGATTTAGAACAATAATAAGAATGGGAGCAGGTAGAAGAGAATGTGAACGATATGAAAAACAAAACGACCATGAGACCAACAACCGGGAAGAGTGAGAGAAAGAAGATAAGGAAGACATGATGTCATATAAACAAGAAAGCAAACACCAAAGAAAACAAGGTGAGTGGTGCGTGAGCATGAATCGAACACGTGCTCCAACCAACACGTGCCAGGTAAAGAAGTGGGCCCATGGAAGAATCCTGCATATATGCTTCAAAATGTGAACATGTGGGGCCTGGCAGATCGCTCTCGCCGCCTTTCCTCTTGATGCCGCGCCAACGGCTGCCGAGAGTCTGCACCTGACGGCTGTTCAAATTAAAGCCATGAGGGCTGGCAAAAACCGGCACACAACTAACTCTAAGGCCTGAACGCTTTATGACCTTTCTGGACCTTTGATGCAGTTCGCCTGGACATGCAGCCCAAGCACCACCATATTTGGGTAATTTCCGCAATACAAATCCTCAGTGCTCATGTGCAAGCGTTAGACTGAGCACAGCCCGTATCCACCGCCGGCCTGGGGACATGCTACGCAGACGTTCCCTGCGAACCAGCGGGCGGCTTTGGCTGCGGGAGCTCCTGAGCAACTCTGTGCAGAGCGAGCCCATCCCCGAATCCCCGAACCCATGCCAATGTGCGGGCAAGCCAAATAGAAAGAGAAGCATTGTGGCTTCTGGACCGGCCAGTCCTTGTCGGAACCGGCGGCGCCTCCTTTTCCACGGCCGGAGCCTCCACAGGGCACGGATTGGACCGCTTCCACTGCCCCAAGCGGCGTCAGTTAGAACTTTAGAGAACACCAGACTGGAAACAATGGTGACTGCCAAACATCGTTAAAAGCTCAAAACTCATGTCCTAATAGGAACGCAAGTCTGCCAGCCTCGCTGGGCTCAGGAGGCTCCTGGGCATGGCATGTGTGTGTTGGCTTTGCAGCTTTTACTTACGAGTCGCTTGCTCCGAATTCAGAACTAAGGCAAGGATGCAACAGTAAGCTGCTTCTCGAAAAATCGGGTCCTCGGCAGGCGCACCCGCGGCCCCGGGCTCCGTTACCGAGGTTGGGGAGGAGCTGCGCGAGGAGGACTGCGGTTCCTGACGACCCCTCCCCCTCTGCTGTGCTCTGCTCCTTCATTGATGCTCCGCTTTGCCATGAATCTGGATTGCTTGATCGTATTTGCTCTTCATTGCTCTTGGCTCATGCTTTGCCCGACTTTTGTCTGCTTTGCCGAGATTGGTTCTGCTTCGCTCTTCATTCTGCATCTACATCGCGACACTCATTGTGCATTGCCCGAACTAGCCCCCGTCCTGAGGTGCCGCAGGAGCCTCCTGGGTCACCTTTGTAGCCGCCTGCAAGTCACGCACCATGCGCCCATCCACTCTTTCATCCCACCCCTTCCGCCCCTTGCGGCTCTGAGCCGGTGGCTTGGTCCAGGAGGGCATTCTGCCTCGCATAAATTCGCTGCAGCAGCGGCAGACATGCGCAAATGTCCCCCACGATCTGTCGAGATGCTCTTGAAGCGCGGAGACTTGCTGCCTCAAACCTGGCAACAAGCATGGCTTGCCTTGCCGGGAACCTTGTTTCCTCCCTTGTGACAACCCTTGTTGGGCTGTTGTGGGCACCATGTCGATCAATACGAAAATGGGATCTCTTTCTGCGCAAATTCTGACGCATGCGAAGTAGTCCGCACAAGAAAAAGGAGTCACAGTGTGGTTCTTGCATCAGCATGAGCATGCCATCAGCCATCTACAGCTTACCACTGCAGCTTGCAGGACGGGTGCATTGGCCTATGTGGGTGCAGCCCTCATATCTTTCGCTGAGTGCCACAAAGTCGCGCCTGCCACCTCTTCGTTGAGACGTTTCACGGTGTCCGCCAGATCCCTGTGGCACAAATTTCCCCCAAGGTTCGACGTTTTCCTCTCCAAATGATTCGGAACAGACAGTTCGGGCCACGAGCCCATCCAAGTCCCCAGCCTCTTTTCATCTGCCAGGATTTGCAGTTGCTGCACCTATGCAGGCAGTCAGCATGCAAAGCCAGTGTGCAAGCCATAGAAGCCTTATATACAGCTATGCAAGGTTGGCCATGTTGGTAAATCCCAAAAACACCTCGTGTTGGGTCAGTCCGCCCAAACCGAGGCTTCTGTTGGGTGCAAGAGCTTCTGTCCGAAACCTGCATATGCCGCCTGCTCCTCATGCTGGTGTTGGCGCCGCGAGGCCTGCGCTTGGCTTACACTCAACGTCTGCAAAGGGTTCTCTTATCCTTCCTCTTTAAACATGACCATCATGACCCCAAAGGGCGTCCCCGCTGACACGGCAATCGAAACTTTCCCTACGCTTTCGTGGAGAGCTTCGTGAAGCCGACATGTCACCCACCTCTGCCGAGAGCCTCAGATCTCACGATGGGCATCGATCAAGGCTGCACATCTTCAAAAAGCACGCGCAGTACATTCCTCTAGCTTTTCCGCATCCAACGCACAATGCTGCCAAATAGCTGCTCAATCAGGGCCTGCACATTCCAGCTGCAAGTGTGTATGTGGTGTATGACTGTGGACTGCACGATCTCTGTTCCCTTTTCTGCAAATCCAAAGCAGGACCAATTGGAGTGCAGTGCCGTGAGCCTTCTGCTCCGCAAGCTTGGCTTCGTACTGGCTCAAGCGGTCCCCTCCTTCTTGAGCTGAATTGGCCAACACCTCTCAGAATTTCAGTTGCAACGAGTCAGCTTCTTTTACAGCCGGAGAGCTGGCACAGCAGAGAATTCACACGCAGAGTTGCAGAGTGTGACACGGTTGTGGAGTCGGTCGCAAGTGTATCGCACATGCCGCACAGCATGGTCAAGTTTGACGCGCAAAGCATCAGCGCCTCATGGCCCTTCTGGACTGCCTGGATGACAAGGGACGGGTGACATTCCAAGATCGCGCACCATGCACCACACCTTCAAGATGACATCAAAGACCTGCATGAAAACACCGCTCTGACGCAATAACGCCACAAGTTGCAATTTATGTGATGCATGAAAGAAAGCTGACATGGGAGTATTGATCGAACTTGGCCTTGTCCACATCTGCTGCCAGGTGCATCTTTGCATGGAGGGTGGAGAACTAATGCTGATGCGCCAAACCAACAATCACAGAGTTGCTGCTTCCTAAGCCTGACTAAAGGGCATATTTGTTTTAAGAAATCCCAAACAACTGGCAAGGCTCAGCAGCGTCACAAATGCACGTCTTGCCGCCTGCACAAGGTCACAAAAGCAATACAAACATGAGCCGAGCAGCATGTTTATGTCTGAGCCGGAAGGGGCGCGACGGTGCACCAATTCGTGATTGCACACATGTCAACTCTTTGCGTGGCTCAGCAACTGGCTGAGAGCAAAGTAAGTTTTGGCTTCGGCGCTGCATGGCACGCCAAAATCTACAAAGCAAGAGAGAAAGGACGAAACCTGGAATGCTCTAGGTAAAGCCACCTTAAGTGATTAGTTTGGCCAAGGCTGTGGAAGAAGTATAGACTAAGTCTTTGCTGCTTGGCGATCTGACTTGAATCGGAACTGAAACACGTCGAGTCTTCCACTGCCTTCGGCCGCAAGAGCTCCAAATAGCTCTTTACGCATGTGGCCAGCAACGTTGGCTGGGCCCTCAAGATTGCGGCCGCGCTCGGACCAGTCTCCTGGTGGCATTTCTCATGGGCAACACATGGCCGTATTTTGGCAACGGTCATGCTGGGCGTCGGGCTGCAAGCCGCCTGCGTCAAAGGTAATCATGGCCACAAGGCGGCTGCGCCACCGGGGCAGCTTCATGAAGTTCAGCATGACTTGATCCTAGCGAAAGCCCGGAGACTGCACACCTGAAGGCACCTCTCAGAATGAAAGGCACTCTGCCAAGAATCCATGAAGTGCTTGGCTTTGAGGCCATCGCCTCACACGAGAAAGACGCAAGACCCACATTCATGTGAATTAGCTTGTGCAGTAAATGTTCGTCGGATTTCGGGGATGAATCTGCATAGTGCCGTCTGGAAGCGATCGCCCAAAAGGAAGCTCAGCATCCTCTGCAGCTCCTCCTCTTGGATGGCCATGGCAGAAGCCACCTGAGAGTGCAAGCTTTGCCCGTTTTCAGTCATTTCGCGTCCTTTGCATTTTCAATGAGCAGTTTTGTCAACTGTCTTGCAGATGTGTGGCTCTGATCCTTGCCTCTCGGCTCTGCCCGGACCAAAAAAATGGGGGTGAGGGATCAAAAACACCTTTTAGGCATCAAAGTAAACTTATTCCTGAAGATCAACAAAAACCTGCCTAGGGGTCAAAAGAAAAACTTATTCTCTTAGGATCAAAAAACACTTGCCGGGGATCAAAAAGAAACTTCCTCATTTCGTGGCATGCGCAGCACTTTCGCAAGGTCAGGTACAGTCTTTGTGGCAGGCGCAGCACTTTCGCAAGCGATGAAAAGAAAGATACATAGAAACAAGCATGCGCAAAAAGGGAGGAAAAAGAGAGAGAGAGAGAGAGACAGAAAGCAAGAGAGAGAGAGAGAAAGAAAGAAAGAAAGAAAGAAAGAAAGAAAGAAAGAAAAGAAAGAAAAGAAAGAAAAGAAAGAAAAGAAAGAAAAGAAAGAAAAGAAAGAAATGAAAGAAAAGAAAGAAAAGAAAGAAAAGAAAGAAAAGAAAGAAAAGAAAGAAAAGAAAGAAAAGAAAGAAAAGAAAGAAAAGAAAGAAAGAAAGAAAAGAAAGAAAAGAAAGAAAAGAAAGAAAAGAAAAGAAAAGAAAGAAAGAAAGAAAGAAAGAAAGAAAGAAAGAAAGAAAGAACAACTTTCGCAGAACTTGGTTGTTTCGCCAGGTTGGTTGTTTGGTCGAAACAAAGACTCAGATGTGTATGTCATGGCTTTACTTTGCCGGCCATTCAAATCCCATGGGCCGTTTTCGCGGGATGAAAGTTCTTGGTTTGCGTTGCTGGCTAAGGCATGCACAGGGGCTCCAGTGTGCTCGCGACTGCGGGATGGACCTGGCTGTCGGTAGACAATCACTTCAGAACACTGAAAAAATCACTTGTGAACGCTGCCACTTTCGATCACTTCCGAACACTAAAGCAAAATCACTTCAAAACACTGAGCACCCGGAACGCCGAAAGGGTTGCAAAACCCGGCCAGTCAAAAAGATCACTTCCGAACGCAGGCGTCCCAGCCCAGGATCACTTCCGTACGCAGGCAGGCGTCCCAGCCCAGGTGTGCAAAATCTAGTGGTTCTGGGGGGGGGGGGGTGATAAGCACACCCGCTGAAGCTCTACACCCAAATGTGCAAATTCATCTGGTTCTGGGGGTGGGGGGTGGGGTGGGGGGGGTGGCATGATAAGCACACCCGCTGAAGCTCTATCCCCAAATGTGCAAATTCATCTGGTTCTGGGGGTGGGGGGTGGGGTGGGGGGGGGCATGATAAGCACACCCGCTGAAGCTCTATACCCAAATGTGCAAATTCATCTGGTTCTGGGGGTGGTGGGGTGGGGGGGGGGGGCATGATAAGCACACCCGCCGAAGCTCTATCCCCAAAGGTGGGGGGTGGGGTGGGGGGGGGGTGGGGGGGGGGGCATGATAAGCACACCCGTTGAAGCTCTATCCCCAAATGTGAAGGGGGTGGGGTGGGGGGGGGGGCATGATAAGCACACCCGCTGAAGCTCTATACCCAAATGTGCAAATTCATCTGGTTCTGAAGGGTGGGGGGTGGGGTGGGGGGGGGGGGGCATGATAAGCACACCCGCTGAAGCTCTATACCCAAATGTGCAAATTCATCTGGTTCTGGGGGTGGGGGGTGGGGTGGGGGGGGGGGCATGACAAGCACACCCGCCGAAGCTCTATCCCCAAAGGTGGGGGGTGGGGTGGGGGGGGGGGCATGATAAGCACACCCGTTGAAGCTCTATCCCCAAATGTGCGGTGCGTGGGCGCACGGACCCGCTGCGAGCACGAGCAGCCAAAAGCGCTGCGAGCAGTGCGTGGGCCTGTGGGCAGGTGGGCGCGTGGACGCATGGGTGCCGATTCTTGTCCCAGCGTTCAAGAGCGAAGCACTCGCCGGTGTCTCGGTGCTTCGCGTGGCACGTGGCTCCACTTCCAGCGTTCCGAAGCGATTGGTACGTTTTCCGGCGTTCCGAAGCGATTTTGTTTCAGCGTTCTGAAGCGATGGTTTTGCCAGCGTTCAGGAGCGACGCGCTTACCTGGCTGTCGATCAGGCAAAGCTCAATGAGGAACGCAGGCGGCGGATCTGCAATGATCAGCAATTCTTTCGCCGAGGAATTTGGCTGGCAGGCCAGAAAGTTTTCGGCGAGAAATCCAACGGGCAGGCTTAATAATTTTCGGCGAGTTCCTCCGCGAGGGGCTCTCCCAAAAGTCAGGATCTCGGCGAGCAATCTCGGCGAGTTGCGCTGAGCGGCTTGGCTGGCTGCGAAGCACGAAAATCTCTCCTTCAGGCCCAGTTCCACCAAGCCCTGCTTTCGGAGAGGCCCTCGCAGAGGGGCTCTCCTTGAGAGGGGGGTCTGGCCGACTTTTTGGAGAGGCGAGTGCATTGCGCCCAAGTTTCTTTCCAAAAAATCGTGCTTCGCAGGAGTGATTTTCGTGCTTAAGGAGAGATTTTCGTGCTTCGCAGCCAGCCAAGCCGCTCAGCGCAACTCGCCGAGATTGCGAGATCCTGACTTTTGGGAGAGCCCCTCGCGGAGGAACTCGCTGAAAATTATTAAGCCTGCCCGTTGGATTTCTTGCCGAAAACTTTCTGGCCTGAGCCAAATTCCTCGGCGAAAGAATTGCTGATCATTGCAGATCCGCCGCCTGCGTTCCTCACTGAGCTTTGCCCATCCCACAGTTGCGAGCACACTGGAGCCCCTGTGCATGCCTTAGCCAGCAACGCAAACCAAGAACTTTCATCCCGCGAAAACGGCCCATGGGATTTGAATGGCCGGCAAAGTAAAGCCATGACATACACATCTAAATCTTGTTTCGACCAAACAACCAACCTGGCGAAACAACCAAACAACCAAGTTCTGCGAAAGTGTTTTGAAAGAAAGAAACAAAAACACATCGAGGATGTGATGATTCCACAAAGAGCGCTTGGGGGGGGCAACAGGAGAATGTTCGGAGAAGTGATGATTCAACAAAGGGCGCGTTCATCTCTTTAAACATTCTACAAATCAGCGGGGGGGTTGGAGGGGGCCCCTATGATGTTCGAAGAAGTGATCATTCAACAAAGGGTGCGTTAATCTTTGTAAAAACTCTGCAAATCAGCGGGGGGTTGGGGGGGGGGGGGGCGGAAGCCCCCCCATGATGTTCGAAGAAGTGATGATTCAACAAAGGGTGCATCCACCGATTCCCGAAATCCATGTTGAAAACCTCTCAAAATGTTTCAGATATCCTTCCCTTTCTTTCTTCCTTTCTTCTTTCCTTCCTTCCTTCCTTTCTTCCTGGAATTCCTTCCTTGCTTCCCTGCTTCCTTCGTTGCTTGATTCCTTTCTCCTTCCTTCCTTCCTTCCTTCCTTCCTTCCTCCCTCCCTCCCTTCCTTCCTTCCTTCCTTCCTTCCTTCCTTCCTTCCTTCCTTCCTTCCTTCCTTCCTTCCTTCTTCCCTCCTTCCTTTCTTCTCCCCATAGGAATGAGAAGAAGTTGTGTTTTTGATCCCTAATAAGTGTTTTTGTTGATGCCTATCCCCAAATTTTCCCCATAGTCTGGAGACGTTTAGGGAGCCTGTAAGGAAACTAAGGAGAGCCTCTGGGCAATTGAAAGGGGCAGGCAGTCCAGACCTGTCCGCAAACCTGTCCTGAGCTATCATGCGCTTGTCCAGTTCCTGGTCTTGAATGTACCAGAATGGTGGTCCTGTGGCAAAAACTGTGCTTCCGTGTAAAACTCGCTTGCCGGGCAACACAAAGCCTTCACAAGCAGCTCAAAGCAAGTGAATGCTTCATGTTTGTTCCCCGCACCATACTCCAACAAATGCGCCCGTCCGTCTGTCCGTCCCCGTCCGTCCGTCCGTCCATCCATCAACCTCTTCCACATCTTTCGCACTCGATAAGCCTCCGCTGCCTTACATTTTTGCAGATCTTGGAGTCCTTCCAAAATCCACTGGCAAACACTGCCGATGTTTGAAGTCATGACTCAATGACTGACCCAAACTGAGCCCAAAGCTGGTCCGTAGCAGGCTTGTGTGAACGACAGAAATGTTCGCTGACAAGGCGTTCGCTGACAAGACGTGCATTTCGCATTTTGCTTGGGTCATGCAATGTGTAGGTCACAAGCTTGTTTGCAAGTGTTTCTGCACGGGAACGCGCGCTTCTGCCTTTTGAACTTTTTTGGCGTTCACACAAGCCTGCGCTGCGCCAATGGTAGTCGTAAAGAGCTATCACCTCCTTTCATGAAGCTAGGCAGCATCAATGCATCGCGCGCACAGCTGTTGGCAACTTTTCGTTGCTTTAGGACTGCGCATAGCATGTGTCACGTTGGCAGCAGCAAATGCGCGACTCCCGCGCTCCACGCCTGGTTGGTGAACCCCACCAGCTGCATGAGCTTCGTGCCCATGAAGGCGCCAAACCCCAGCTGAAGCGCTTGGAAGGCCTCCTGGAAGAGTCCCTCAACCTCGCAAATGAGCCGAAAGCCGAAAGCAAGCTTCGTCCGAGGAAAGACGTGAGAGAATGGCAACGATGACAATGTTTACACTATGTCAAGCTCGCTTCCTGCTTCGAAGCAGCTCCGGCAGCTTCCATTGCCTGCACATCAAGGCCCCGCAGCTTGCTCAAAAGCACTGCCAGGCCGAAGCCAGCCAGGACGAGGCTATACAGCAGGCCGATGATCACCAAGTAGCCTGGAAACACATGGCATGTCAAAACGGAACAGCTTCATTCACAAAGCCGATTTATTGTTTCAAGCCGACTATACAAGAACCCTGACACAATTCATCTGACGCTTTTGGTTCACTCTGCTGCTGGCATTGAGATGCCAGCTAGTGCCAAGTAACAACCTTTGAAGATGTTCGGGTCAGCGGCAATCTTTCGCAAGGCGCCGAGAATGTGACGTTTGTTCAGAAACCTCACAGTATCTGACTGAGCAGATCTGGCAAGACATTCCTTGCCTTGCAGCAGAGGAAGCAAGTCAGTAGCATGACTTTTTCACCATAGCACATCTTATGAAGACGTATTAGCGCCATGGTCTTCAAAATTCTAAATGTTCTCTCTCTCTCTCTCTCTCCCGTTCTGTTTCTCTCTTTGCTTCACTTCCCCACACCTGCCTGAGAAATCTCATGGAAGAGAAACCGGCCAAGGTTTTGACCTTACGAACACCCACACGGACACACACACACACACACGCACAGAGCAAGCGTGATCGAGCCTGAACAACGGCAACCCGCAACGCAACCCCAAATCCCAAATTCATCAAAGCTGCCGTGCTGATACTGTTGCACGGGCTGGCACCACGCAAGCAGCTGAGGAGCTCACAGGGCAGCTTGCCTTAAGCTCACGGTTCGTCGTTTACGCCAAAAGTGCAACAAAATACAGATTGCCAGATTTGTCTGACTGAACTCTGAGGACCGTGATGCGGAGTTTCTGAGCACCCCTCTGCCGAGCTGCAAAAGTGCTCCAAGAAGATCCCTGCTTCCAAGACACGGGCGACACTCCTGGGCTGAAAGATTCTGACTGAAACGTCGGCAAATGGAAGTGCTCCAGCTTCTCCGCTCGCAATTCTGCCCAAAAAGCAGCAACGTCTAAGAGATACAGTGCAAACAACTCCACAAGCGGGGTGTGAAACCCGGCTGGCACACAACAAAGAGTCTGCCAGTGCATCGTGAGCATGAGCCTATACAAACGTTCAACCCAGCTAAACCTTCAAAACCCTGGCTTTGGTGCTGGGGAGCTGCTTGGTTACAGCTGGTTAGCCAAACTTGGCGTTGACTCCACAAAACATAAAGTGAGCCATGCTTCCCCACGGTCACCGGAAGCTCCTCTGTGCAAACCGCCAGTGTGTTCCGTAACAGTGCCTGCAAGCGCCAAATGCATTCCATCCACAAACCCGCACATGACCTGCACATGACATCCACACGAAGCAATGCTGCCGCATGGCCAAGACAGGATCGGAAAACTTGCTTCAAGCGGCTTCCAATGCTTGCCAGTGTGCAGAGCAAGCGCCACTAGACAATGTCAAGTTTTCACCTAGACCTGGTGAAGATTCCACGGCCTTGATGTTCACCGCAAAACGTATCAAGAAGAGCAAAAGGGCCAAATACTTGTATTCCGTAACGTGGTCGTTGAGCAAAGTGCGCTCCTGAGCTAAGTCCGTCAACAAGATGTGGTGCAAGGAGACGAACATGAGCTGACATGCTGTCTGGGCATAGAAAGCAGGCAACGAAAGGTCAGCCTCTCTGAGGCTCCGAGGCTAGTAGGGCCTGGGATACACTTTGCACACTTAGATATCTGCAACGCGGGCGTTCCAACCCAAAAGCCTTAACGCCACAACAATCATCGGCTTTGGTCATCCGTCCCTGGTGGGCTGGAGAAATCTCCTGCCGCAAGCGCCGGAGCGACTGGAAAAGGCGACGGTCCTCTATTGACTTCAAGCGAAGAAAGGACCGCACTGACTGGACACTCTCTTCACAGACCAGCACCAATTCGAAAAGAATTCATCTGGCTTCTGGCCAAGGCTCATCGTAGTCGAGGCCGAGATCCTCCTTGAAGCGGCATGCGTTGAAGTTCGCCTCTTTTGCTGCTCTCTTCACTCTGGGATCCCTGCAAAATCAAGTGTCCCATACATGTAATGAAAGGTATCGGTATCGATTGGGCTGCTAGAATACTATCACTCGCCTCAAGCACGCCCTGCCTGTGGCAGCAGAGTCTCCGGGGCTTGTGCCTTACAGCAAGACTCCACACCTGGGTGCACAGGATGGTGAACTGTGAGCCGCACTCTAGACTTTTCAACGCAGGCAGCATCAGAAAGCAAGAGCCAACAACTTGTTGATGTTCTTCGACACTGCATCGGCACATCTGAAAACTCAGGGGGTGGTGTTTGAGGCCATGGGTCGGCTGCAATGTCGATTATTCAGGTGAGTATCGGATGTTTACCCTTCTTGCTGAGGCGCTGCCCTGTGCTCTTGGAAGACGTGGGTCTATCAATATTTGAACTCATTGCCAATGCTGTGCAGCGCCGTTGCTGCCGGTGAGTACAGTAACATGCTTGGTGATGCCGTCAGGCAGACACGTCGCGTGAACTTTTGGGGAAGCGAAGATGTGTGAAGCGCAGGGATGATAAATTCATTACTTAGACAAACTCGGCTCAGGAAAGGCCAAACACCGTAAGCCAATTTTGCACACTGGCGATCAGGCCACACTTCTACCTATCTGCGTGGCAGAAACAAATTTGTAAACCTGCTGGGCTGGCTTGGAGCTACCCCGCCCAAACAGAACCTTTTTTCCTGACAGTCAAGCTTGCTGTCTGCCAACACCAGGAATGCCACCTGCCTTGCGCGGCACAATTCAACCGAATGCCCTTTAGAGAAAGAGTCATGATCTGCAGTCATGCTTCTGATCCAAGTGAGGTTGCTTGGCAATCTGAAGTGACCTGGAGGATTTATCATGCTTAGCGTCTCATAGGTGTGGTCGAAAAGGTGAGGTGTGTTGAAAGTGTTGCGGTGCTTTGCCAGAATACACTTAAGATCTTAAGCTCGGTCTGCTTCAGAAAAGCTGCGCATGAAACTGCAAGTGCCCATCATGAAAAATATATACGAGTTGCAAAAGATAGCATGGACCGCATTGGCGCCCCATCTACTTGTGGTTGTCTGCTAAGCTGCTAGTCTGTTTCAAGCCTTCGAATGCAGTGCGTGACCTTGGGCCCCAGCCAGCAGCAAGGCCAATACCGCAGCACAGCGCCACAAAGGCAGCTTGGAGGCTCAAGTCCTCGTGAAGCCTCAGCTGTGCCCCCATGAGTGGTGGACCATGCAAACAGCCCCCGCAGCTCTGTAACAAGTTAAAATAAAGAATTCCGAAGATGGTCGAATCAAACTTCCTGCATAGCTATGAAAGCCTAACCCGTTGCCTCACACAGCAATGATGTGATGGGCTCTCGTTCGGCAAAGAACAACTAGATCGCAAACAATGTGCAGATGTTGGCTTGGCGCCAAACAACAAGGTGCAAATCCATCATCCACTGGCCTCGACCCCCGTCTAACAAAGCCATGAATCATGCCAAGATGCAGGATAATTACGCCAAGGGGAGCCGCAAAACCAAGCAGTGTAAATGCCCGAACCAGCCAGGCGTTCATGGCGGCAAATAAATGTATGTTGTGCTTGGATTGTTCATTGCAAAAGCTACAACGTGGCTGTGGACGTCTTGTGGTTTTCTTCACAGTCGGTGCTTCTGCTCAAGAACCCGTCCGCTCACGATGCTCCAATCTGGCAGAGTGCTTCTGTTTGATGTGGTCCATCTTGTCAATTTGCACTGTCTTGAGATAGCGCCCGAGGTGATCTTAAGCCAAAAAACTCCATGCCATTCTTGGATCAATGCAAATGAAACCGATACATCATAAAGGCAGCAAGCTAGTCAAGCCTCGAATTCTGGATTCAATCACTTGCCCCGAACCAAGCCCATGCCTGCCGCGACTTTTTGAGACACGGCATTCACTCCTCGTCTTTGAGCCTCACGGTGCAACACTGGAAAGGAGATAGCTGTTCCAATCTCCTTCAACAAGGAAGGCATGTTGGTCAACCTGCTTGGTAGTGTGTACGCCTATGTTATGTATGTAAATTATTCTTGGCATTCCAAGCAACTGCTACCTGAGCATTTGCTGTGGGACCATCTGTGCAGGCATCTTGCTGGGAAAACTTGGCACACATCCCTTGCTAGCTGTTGCATTGTTGGTCGGCGAATTGCCCGAGCATGTCTTTGTTCATGGTCTAATTCGGCGCTTAAGAACTACTGGATGAGACAGCTTGCAGGCTGCACCTGCAAACAACTTGTGACGACACCAAGTACGAAATACAATTGGGAACAGAAACAAGGATGGCAGCTCTCAGAGCGTCACTTCAGAGTGGCTTGGGTGATGCGATTACTCCAGGTCTGTTCAGCTGCCCAACATATATGCCGACAATTATGCTAATCCAACTCCTGTGAAAATGATTACACCACTAGGCCTGCAATATGCAGCTCGTTATCATATTATGTCGGCATCGGCTCGACACACTGCTTCACTCTTAGTCTTGCACGTTGAAGCAAAATGGTTTGTGCCTTCGACCTTCTGCACAACTCAAGAGTATGAACAGGGTATCAATAACGACATTGCATGTCGGTTCGCGCTCTTTACGGCATGGCCCGCAACAGTATCGGCGCCTGAGAGGTTTTGTGTCACCATTGGCATGCTTGTGAAGTCCCCCAGCCAAGGCACCCTTCTGGGCGCCACCGCTTCTTGTCCATGGCCACAATCTGCCATTCTGATGCCTTCCACACATCGTCCGGCGCACAAACCACACATTGTGCATATGGGTTTGTATTTTTTTAGGGTGGCCGGGCAGGAAGGTTTGAGTACGGGGTATGATTCGCAGGTATGATTCGCGGGTATGATTCGGGGTATGATTCGGGGGTATGATTCGCGGAAGCAGCAGCAGCAGCAGCAGCAGTAGTAGCAGTAGTAGTAGTAGTAGTAATAGTAGTAGTAGTAGTAGTCGCCGAAGTAGTAGTACTAGTAGTAATATTGTAGTAGTAACAATAGTAGTAGTAGTAGTAGTAATAAAAGGGGTAGTAGTCGTAGTAGTAGTAGTAGTAGTAGTAGTAGTAGTAGTAACAGTAGAAGCCGCGACTGTAGTGGCGCGGAAGCTTTGAAAAGACTTGGCGCTGGCCTTGGCAAGGCAAGTTCATTGCGCGGGTATGATTCGGGTATGATTCGCGGGTGTGATTCGGCCAGGCGCAAAACGGCACTGATTACAAACTCGTAGTAGCTGTGGTAGTAGTAGTAGAAGTAGTAGTAGTAGTAGTAGCAGTAGTAGTGGTGGTAGTAGTAGTAGCAGTTACAGAAGTAGTGGTAGCAGCTGTAGCATAAGCAGCAGCGGCTGTAGTGGTGCGGACGCGGTGAAAAAGACTTAGCACTAGCCTTGGCAGTGGAAGCTCACTGTCCGGGTATGATTCGGGTATGATTCGCGGGTATGATTCGGCTAGGTGCAAAACGGCACTGATTACAGACTCAGAATGATGTATGTGGTAGTAGTGAGTAGTAGCAGCAGCAGCAGAAGCAGGAATAGTAGTAGTAGAAGTAGAAGTAGTAGTAGTAGTAGTAGTAGTAGTAGTAGTAGTAGTAGTAGTCAAGGTTGTAGTCGTAGTAGCAGTAGTAGTAGTAGTAATAGTAGTAGTAGTAGTAGTAGTCAAGGTTGTAGTCCTAGTAGTTAGTAGTAAGGGTAGCAGAAGCAGAAGTGGAAGCAGTAGAGTAGTAGTAGCAGCGGTAGTAGCGGTGGTAGTGGTAGTAATACTCGTAGTCGCGGTAGTAGCGGTAGTAGCAGTAGCAGTAGTAGTAGTAGTAGTAGTAGTAGTAGTAGTAGTGGTAGTAGCAGTAGTCGTAGTAGTAGTAATTGGAGTAGTAGTAGTAGTAGTAGTAGTAGTAGTAGTAGTGGCAGTGGCAGTGGTAGTATTGGGTAGCGCTGGTGGTGGTTGTTGTGGAGACAGTGAACAACACAAAACGGTAGAAGAACAGTAGCATCTTGCAGCATACGTTTTAAAGGGTATGATTCGGGGGCATGATTCGGGGTATGATTCGGGGGTATGATTCGGGGAGGTCCCACCTTCTGCCTTTTGAAGCAACTCAACACACCAAAAAAGGACAAACCCATATCTTATTGCATCTGTTTTGCCAACTTGAACCGGCCCTGCCTCGCTGCCCTCCGTTGGCAGGAAGCGCTTGAAGGTCCACTTGTGCAATCTCCGCACTTCCCACCAAACTTTGGGGTCCTTGCAGGAAAGGCAGGCTGGAAACTTTCCTTGTTTGTTGACACAGATTTTTAAAAAAAAGGAAACACACTGCTCAAGACAGCCTGCAAATTCAGCCCCAGCCTTGTGCAGTGTGTACTTCCTGAGCAAAGCTCGGCATATGCAAGACAGCGCTGAGCGGTTTGCATCCCCTGTTTGCATCCAAATATTACATTTGGTACACCTAGGAAGAAAAATCAAATTGGCTCATGTTCATGATACGCCCCGTCCAGCATCCGCATGGACTACAACCTCAAAAACACATTGTGTCAATCAGCTTTGCCAGAATTTGAAATACTGCTGAAGTCAAGTTCTGTCTAGGTGCGTTTTGTATGTGCCAAGATCAAAACGTTGCACATGCAGGCCAAGCCTCTCCGTCACTCGCAGCAAAGGTGTCACAAACACAGATTCGAAGCCATCCTCATCCGCCTCGTCGCAGGTTGATTTGGAAAGTGTGCCTCATGCCGTCCCTGTGCTAAAGTCACACCAGCATGGACCCTATGCAAGGAAAACTTCAATTCCATCCCAAAATTCCTAGTCATGCCCTTGCTCGCAGTATGCCGCAACAGCACCCCGAGACACCACCCCACAGCAGAATCATGCAACCCGTATGCAAAACCTGGGCATCCTGCGGCATTCTGCACCACGTTCAGTCACACTATCCAGAAGCTCCACCTAGGAATTTGGACCTTCCATAGCTTTCGGTTCGGCCAAAACACGATCTGCGGTGGAACATTGGGGTGCAAGCCATCCAGCCTTGGCCATGGCATGGAAGATGCCAAGCTGGACGATGTCCCGCAGCTCGTAATCCTCAATTCTTTTGACCCAATGCCTGCTACTTCCCAAACCAAAGTGTCGATCTGCGTGTCTGCTCCTTTTTAAAGATAGGCTAGAACATTGAACAACGCAAGCAGAAACATCAGAAAGTCCCCCAATACTGATACTCGATCCTGATTCATGCAAATGCTCAGTCAGCAGTCCATCACATGCAATCACAAAAGCCTCGAGCATGTGCAGAGTTGTGCAATGCAAGTGTCAAAAGCACTGCCAGCTTCACAGGCTTCAAGTGGATATTGATAATTCTCCGGCAAATTAAAAGCCAAACAAATACCCTGTATGCGAGACATTTGCTGCAGTGTCTCTTCTGTGCGGTCCAAAAGGCAAGACCCTTCGCCAAATCAGCGTGGCCTTTCAAATCATCCAGGAGCTTATCGCTCAGCAATCGCCGCAACGTCAAGAAGTCGCCGTCGTCCAAGAGACCTAACAAGTGCAATGCAACCCTGCAACTGCACACTTTCAGGAGCATGCAGGTGTCTTGTTTCTTTTGGGCGGAGCTAGTCACAAGATTCCAGGATCGAGAGTGCACGGCCGGACCGTGCTGGTTCCTATTTTACACAAACTGTCTCTTGAGCATGCGCAAATGTATGAAACTCATGAATCATCGCTTGAGCGGAGGACACAATCGCAAAGCTGCAAAAAAGTGGCAACCCACAAGACTTTCAAGAACCTTATTACTTGGACGAAAATAACAGCATACTGAAAATGCACTGCGGTCCATATATGTATTGTGCCGCTTGACAACCTACTCACTATCACTGTTCGCCAAGAAGCTATTTACATGCTTGAAGGCGGCGACAACTCCTTCTCTGAACTCTGCTGCAACCCAGGTGTTTGGATAGACCACCTGCATGAGCAGTGTTTCTCCAGGCAAGGTGCCAGCTTCTCTCCACTCAAGCACTCCAGCATTCATGTGAAATCGCATACTAGCTGTCCCACCTCCAAAGAGCGCAGCTTCACAGAGCTCACAATGTGCCGGAGGTTGATGCTCTAAGTCCCAGCGAATCTCTTGACCCACAAAGAGAACAGAACAAGCAATTGGTGTAGCTCGCCACGTGGAACGCTATTGCCCATATGGCAGGTTGCAAGCAGGTCCAGCGTCCCAGCAAGGCTTCTCTGCAGCACCTGGACGTCACTTATTCTCATCCAGCAAGCTGCAATCGCAAAACTTCATGGACGCTGGGTCGAAGGAGCCCTATCCCGCCCTAGGAAAGCCTGGAAGGCCAATGTCAATCTCTGTCAATGCCAAATCGCTTGACGCCCTGCCAAACAGCTGTACGAGGCGATACGATTTCAATTCTTCAATGGCTCCTGAAACATCGAAGAAAAAATGAGCCGCCGCATCTCCTCGCTTTTGCCTGTCCCACCTACCAACTTACCAGGCCTGCGGCTGCCCACCACACTGGCGCCCTCGCAGCAGCAGTTTCAAAGGCGTTGAAGGTGCTGCACGCCGCAACATGTCTGGAGAACTGCTGCCGAAGGCTCTGGGACATATTGCACAACATGTCGCCTACGTTTGTCTGGGCTCGTTCGCTGTTTGATCGATTTGTGACACTTGCGGTGGTTGAAATTGGTTGTATGTGTTCCTTACATGTGAATTGCTTGAGCGTCAAGGACTGCAAGGTACGCGATTCAACTCTGCAAATCTGTAGGTGTACTGCTCTGGACCCTTGAGGCATCCAATGATCGGGCAACGATTGTTACAAATGCCCTGAACCCGTGTCTTCCCAAGGAGTTTCCGTTTTCGGCACTTGCATCAATAGGTGTCAAACCAACACACTTGTGTCATGCAGGCTAGCGATCTAATGCCATGCAGTCCATCAGGACATTGCATGGACTTGCTTCGATGGATGGAGCCCTTTAGGCACCAAAAAGACATGCATGTGGACCGCACAGCGACAGCTCCAGCAGAAAAAGAAAAAGCGGTCGGTTCATGAGCCTACTGCTCAGCACCGGTCGTTATTCAGTGTCACTGTCAGCCTCCTGCAAACCACGGTGCACCCATGTGTACTCAACGGCTCTCATCATGTCTTTATCCACATCAACTATTTACCGTATTACTTTGAAGTACACTATGCATTGTTTCTGTCCAGTGTTCAGGACACGTGGTTGCACAGTCAAGGATTGATTTGCTGAATACTTCAGATCACAACCATTGAGACACACATGGAGCACGTCCTGAACAAACTCCTGGCAAGCCTCCACCACAATGCTTGGAGTTTCGGCCTCCACACCGAGCAGCACCAGTTCCCTGATTTGCATTCTGTTTCCTCAACACGGCATAATCTTTGTGGTTGATCAATTTTTGGACTCGGCTGATGCTCTGGTGTTTTTAAGACTGTGTAATGCAAAATGCGCTCTCTCTCTCTCTCTCTCTCTTTTTCTCTCAGTTCGCGGCTTCAGGCGGCTCCTCTCGGGCCAAAGGAGGGAATGTTTATCCAGCTGATACCAGAAAGCATGAGTGCTGTTTCTCGTCGCATGTGAATATTGTGCATTCTAGCTTTACGTATAGTGAGCATTCCTGTGCGTTGAAGACTTCAACACAATGGCTGAGTATAATATGGATCTTTGGCGCTTTAGGCCCAGGGCAAGTGGCTGACTATCTTGCTTATCCAAGTCATCAGGCATTGCCCCAAGGGTTCACACAGAAATCACCTGCTCAATCGGAACACATTTACTCTGTGGACCCAAGCTTTAGAAAATGCTGCCACGGTAGTGTGACAAACATGTCCAAATTGCAAAATCGCTTGCTATGGCGCAATGTGAATCCAAACACGCCAAAACCTTTCAGTGCGTTGGACGAATCTTGCTATGGCACAATGCACATTTACTGTGAAACGCTAAACACAGTTCATTCAAAGAATCGTTCGGTGCAACGAATCGTCTCTGTTAACATAGTAAGGGACAATTTCGGAATATCGATGAACGAGCTCCGTAGAAATTTTGGGTGGATCAAGAAATTTCCTCAGCACTATGCAACGCTCTCCATTTGCAAGGTTGCAAAGCCGCATTGCGCTGGCCGCAAACCAGCGCCGAACCAACTCATATGAAAAGCTGTGATGTGGTTGTGTTTGCACCGTGTTTGCATTTGTGATGTTCCTGCACCCGGCAACAATGAACGCAAACAAACTGACGTGTGAGAGCGCGTTCTCAGCATGTCTGCCATGCCCCTACTGATTGTGGCGCTCACCATTCTCACTTCTGTGGCAGCGTGCCTCGCTCTCGCTCAGCAGCGATTTCCGTCCTTGCAACCAAACGGCTGTTGCACCGATGGTGCATGCTGGCAAAAGGCATTGCCTGTCCCCGTCTTTCTCCCTCCCTCCCTTTTGGCCTGCTTACCTTCTCACCAGCCAAACATTTTTCCATGATATCACAATGCGTCTGAGGACTCCAAGGCTGCGTCGATCAAAAGCGCCGTCTTCATGCTCCTCCTCCTGTAAGCATCAAGCGAGTGCACAAATTGCACAGTCATGGTGCCTTTTCGTGTCACCTTCGTGTTATGAAATGGCTGAAGAGCCTCAAACAACCCATGCGACACCTCAAGGTCGACTGCGAATATTAAGCTCGCAAGTCGCAACAGTCTACAGGTTGAGGGACGCTTCAAGCATTGCTTTTTACTGTTGGGCCCAATCATCATTTGCGGACAGCTAACAAAGCTGACGAGCTCCTCATCAGAAAGGTCCAGCTGCCGCAAGCGCTGTGCGAGGGACAGGCCTTGCCCCTTGGTCAGGCTTAGTGCTAAGCTCAAGCAACAAATCGTGAAACAGCAGTCGGCATTTCTACCACACACGCGTATTCTTCTTCAGTCCCCTTCTCTGCAGCTCTTGTCTGGGTCAAATATTCAACGCTGATGATCAAGTATAGTATGTAACATACAGCAGTCATGAACATACTCTGGCCTGCGTACTGTGAATAGCAATATAGAACATCATCACAAACAAACAACCAACAACCAACAACCAACCAACCAACCAACCAACCAACCAACCCACCCACCCACCCACCCACCAACCAACCCAAACAAACAAACAAACAACGCTGCAAACACAACAAAACACCGCAGGCAACAGACCACACACTGACATACACAAAAACAGAAGACAAAACACAGACCACAAAACACAGTAAATATGAACACACACATGCGAATGGTTCACACCGAAACTCGCAAACGCACGCCAGCACCCATGACAAGCATTTTTTCACAAGAGGCCGCGGCAAAACCTCAATTGAAATGGGCTGCACATGTGTTTTCTTATCGGTTTTGCGTCAACGTTTATCGTTTTACACATTAGATGTATGCTCAACATCATTAACCTTATTGTTTTTCTTTGCAACTTATCGTTTTACCGGGGTTCGCACATTTTTGGACAACTGCGCGCATCAGCTCTCATGGTGGCTTCAAAGGCTTTCTTCGTCGGACTCACGAGCAGCAAGCTCCTTCCATGCTTTTCGTTTGCGCTTGCTTGCTTCAATTTGTTTGGTTAGCCTGCGCTCATCAACTGCAATAATGTGTTCCAACGTAGTCCAAGACATGTTCCAACGTAGAAGACAAGTATGCTGTCCATGGCCGGGAGACATCAAAGGGAAAGCTAGGGTAGAGTAACTCCTCACGGGCATGGGTTCTGTCAAAAGCGTTATAGTTTTTGTTATCGTTTTGTCATCGTTTTCAGCGTCGTGACTCGGAAGCCTCTCCCGGGTCTCAATGCTCCAAGCCATGGTTGTGAACAGGAAGGACGGAAAGGGAGCAAACAAGATTGAGCAAAATGCTAGCAATACGTGCATTCCATGCTCCAAACCTTATCGTTTTCCAGCACAAACAACACGCAAACACCCAAAAACCTTGTCGTGTTTTTTGCACCTTATCGTTTTACCGGGCTTCGTGATTGTCCAACACAATGTGCGCGACTCTTACATCCCGCAAACACGAGAGTATTGCCAGTACCTCGAATTAAACAGCGACTTGTGGCCGGGATCGCAAATGCCAACTTTTACGCTGTCGGGGCTTCCAAGCTGGTTATGCACCCTTCATCGTCCGTCCAAATTCTCTCAGTAAGTCCGCCTTGTCAGCATATCGGGACAGGTTGCTGGGCGAGTCGCAAGCCTCTCATGTTGCTGAGGCATGAGAGGCAAAGCCAGCAAAGTTGCATTGAACACCTGCGACTCTGGACTTGCTGCTCGTACAAACATCACAAGGGAGTCACATGAAGTCATAGCTGCATGCGCGTCATGTTGACCAGGTAATGGAGTAACTAGCTCTTGGCACACACACACAAGCAAATCACACGACGACAAAGAGAGACAGAGAGAGATTGAAACAAGGGACACCCATTAAGTCTTAATGCGGGTAAGCCCCATCACGGACATAATCATTCTTGGTGATGCAAATCCGTCGGTGCTGGTTTGCGCTTGCAGGATTGACCAATGCTTTTGGGTTTGCAGGTACGCGTGCGGTGTGCGTGCTGCTTGTCAACCCAAGGTGTTGCCAGCTGGCCGAAGCCTCTACTCAGTGCGCGAATCGCTAGCCTAAGAACCAGTTTCACAAACCATGTGCACAGTACCAGCAATCTTGCCTCCCACGCTTGAGATCCTGTGCCTGGAGCAGCTGCGACCTGCAATCTGACAGACAAAGGAGCAAAACTCACTTGTTCCATGCCAGCGCCAAATCCAGGAGTGATGCAGTGCTATTCCAATCAACCTTTCATTCACGATCATACACTGCAGGACATTCTGACAGGGCAGCTACCCAAACAACCAAGATGCGAATGTTTGTCAATCACCCTGATCAGCAGGTAAAAACTCGTCCATCACTACCTTATGCCATTCTGCAGAATCCAAGCACTTTGCAGGCTCCGCAGGGTCGACGATGTCGCTCTGTCCACCCTGCCAAGCATCACTCTCGTCTTCTTCAAAGTACAAACGCACTGGAGCGGAAGACAACTGAGCTAAAAACTGTCGTGAACAGCGTGCAACAATCTGAATAGAAGTGTTTGTTCCCATGCGGCATCAAGAAGTCAAAAAGTCATCCAATCGCTACTGAGCATTTAAGAGTTTCCGCAGTGCTCAAAGAATCAATCATGAACCCGCTTCCATACAAAGTACGTACGCCTCACACTCAACCCTTGACCGCCACCCGCACCTTGAGTCTCCGAACTCCCGGCACCCAAATAGAAAAGCGTGGTGTGTTATCTCTAGCAGGTCGCATGGCAGCTAAGTGATCCGGACTTGTCCAAAAACAGGGTAACCCGTAAAATAGATGAGGGACTGCCGAAACCTCTTGCTTGGCCTTAGTAGTGATCGTGAGGTTTTCGGTTTTGGGGGGGCCCTTTATCGTTCCACAGCGTTCAAGACACCCGCGGCATTTTCGCGACATTTCAGTACCAGGTAGTACGCGAAGTACACTTCCCCAGCTCCAGCTCACAAATCGCAACTTTGCAGTGCAAGTCTAGCGCGTGAACTACACTTCCCCAGCTCCAGCTCGAAAATCGCAACTTTGTAGTACAAGTCCAGCACGAAAAGTACACGTCCGCACCTCCAGCTCGAATTTCGCAACTTTGTAGTACGCTTTCGAAGCTCCTGCTCAAAAATCACAACTTTGTAGCGACTTTGTAGTACAAGAAGTACACTTCCGCAACTCCAGCTCGAAAATCGCAACTTGCAATACAAACCAAGTACGCCAAGTACACTTCCGCAGCTCCATCTCGAAAATTGTAACTTTGTAGCACAAGTCGAGTACGCGAAGTACACTTCCGCGGCTCCAGCTCGAAAATCGCAACTTGAGGGTTATCGTTTTCTTTTTGGGGGGGGTCCTTATCGTTCTACGGGTTTTTGGTTGCAGTTCGAACATGCAATTCAACCCCTTTTGCTACAGTGGTCTTCGTAGGTTTTGGCCGTGGCTCAGATGTTCCTTTGGCTTCGCTTTAAACCAACCCAAAAATGGTTGAAAGCAAAAGCACGCGTTCATGTCGATCTATGTGGGTCTCTCATTGTCAAAACCAACCGACCATGTCTCCGCATGCGGCATCTGGAGCACACCTGCTCGAAAGAAGTTCCTTTGCCGGTTCCCAGTTTTCAAATGTCAAACTCACACGCATCCAAGAGGTAGTGGAACCCTAACCCTCAACACAGATTAGCACATGTGGCAGGACCTGTTGTCAAAAAAAATAACAATGTTTTCTCGCCACGCGAGGGTGGGGGATAGCGCAGGTGAGCCAAATGCCGTTTTGCAGCCGTCCTTCTTCTGGCTGAACACATATGGCGGCCTGACAGCAGCAGGATACGAGGAATGCAAGAGCACACCTCGCCTAACTAGCAATGCCGAGGCGGTTCATGTTGCGAATGCTTCCTCAGAGGTGGGTACTTGTCTCGTTCTTGCCAAACATTGGCACATCCCTCGGCGGACGTTTGGCTGCCACTGCTGATGCGTTCTTTTTGTTCAAATGTGCACACAACAGCATTATGGGATGACTCCAATCAATATTGGCCCCTTATCTCCTTTGAATACATGCCTCTTCAACAAACAAGTGGTAGTCTCTGTGTGTGACTGTGAGATACCCAGCACTGATACAACCTCCCTTCAAAGTAAGTGTTGTCATATGAGACTTCCGCCAGACGTCAAAGCCTATAGCCCAACTCCAAGCTAGCACGCCTTGCCTTGGCTGCTTTGCTGGTGGCGCAAATTCTCGAACGGAGCTCCTGGGTGTACATTCTTGATGACCACTCCAGAATGCAGCGCATTCTCGAAACAAGTCAATGATATTGGAGGTTGCTTTGCTCGACTAAAGGCCATCACACATCCGGCCACGACACCACACATCTTTGAGCTGCCCACAAAGCTAAGTCTTCCTCCTGGCGACGGAGAGCAAAGGCCATGCAACCCACCAGCGCTTGGGGTGAGCAGGATCGATTGCTGCAGGTTGTGCCCGTGAACACGCACACACCTCCAGGAAGAAAACAGCCATCCAAAGGCTATACTTCTATGCACTTTGCTCTGTTGCGTTGAGATCGTGGAGGCTTTTGCGAGGAACATTTGCGTTCGGTCTCGAGACAATATTATCTACAACTCAAACCACAGTTGGGAGGTGCAACATTGTCAAGCCTGGCTGGTAGGGCCGAAACAACAGCGTTTTCTGGGAAACTGTTGTGCGGTTCCTTAGTTTACTGGGCAGTCTGTAAGATCCAGCACTCATCTTCGTATCGTCTCCCACCGTCTCCTGCCTGTGGCTGGATCAGCTCCAGATGAAGGCTCAAGCCCTGCATGCCCCGCACCAGACTCTTGGCTGCTGGCTGAATGAAGAAGCCACCGTAGAATAACAAAGGAGAATTGCAATTGGCTGGCTCAAGCGTGAGGCTTTGCGTCCCCGATTGACCTCGCCGAACTGAGAGTGTTTACCCAATACAACCTCAATAGCATAGCAACTGGTCTACATGTAAATATTAAAGTTTAATTGGCAAGCCCCAATTGCATTGATGCTTCGTACACAAACAAAATCAAGGACCAATCCGATCTTTGAGGCAGGCTAATACATGGATATCCAGTGCGAAACATCCTGAGCTGAGGAAGAACAGCAACGTGGGTAAAGCTGAGCTTTCCCTCAAAAAGGATTCAGACACATACACATGTATATATCTACATATGTATATGTATATATATATATATATATAAATACATAAATACTACATGATTCTCCGCATTCTGAATGCCTGCACCTCGGAGGTGCTCATGACAGCCATGGCATCATGCTGCTGCTCAGGAGTGCCGTGAATCTACGAGGTGCAGAATTGGTAAGTGGCTGACAGCATTTCGAATTCAAACAGGTCTGGCATGCCAAACTTGAGATAGGATCTTCAGTTTGCACTGACTGCTGGAAAGTGACTGCTTCAGGCTTTCGTTTGCTTGCAATTGTTTCCACGCTATGCCAGGTCTGGAGAGCCAAAAAGAACGTGACATGGGCCAACTCACGAATTCAATTCAGCGGATGCAAAATAAGGGTGCTGTCCAATTGGCAGCGTGTGTCCATCCGGCAGAGAACACGGAAAAAACAACATGCGGCTTCTCTAGACTAGGGGATTCGATATCAGGTTGTTCATTCCCGAATCTGTCATGCTAGCGCCTGTCTTCCTGACCGTTGAACAACGGCTCGGACAACAATGCAGGTTCTTTTGTTGCTTCCTCGGAGCGGCTGTTTCTGGTCGACCAAGGGTGATACAGGGGATCGATGTTGAGCTTGAATGGATAGAAGTGCTTGAGGGTTGGGGGGGGTGGCTGGCTGTGGGGTAGTGATGTCTAATGTGGTGCTTTTGTTGCATTGGCTGTCAAAGGCAGCAGGCCCGTACCCTTCCACATGCTTTCCGACAGCTGGGCACGAAGAGGCTCTGCCTTCACACTTGTCACTTTGTTGGCTTTCGCCTCAGCCAAGACAGAAACGGCAGGCTTGGTCGCTGATTAATTATGATTCATTCAATTTCTCAACTGCGAAACTGAGAACCCTGATCTGAACCGAGCTCTGATCAGGAACTCCACATAATAGTATGTTGCCTTGCGGTACTGTTGTTCAGTAGTCCAAACATGCAGTCCAGGGCAAAGCACCCATCTGCTGTTCAGTTTGAGCCCAGTTGGTTGGACATGTTTGGTTGCAATTCCCAAGCAGCATAAAATCTGCTGGGGGTATGTGTAAACCCTCATTGAAAGATCACAGCGTAAATCAGCGGTGTCACTTGTTCCAGGCCTTTATTCATCCATGATTGTCCTCATGCAGGACTTCCCGCATGGCTCTAAGGCGTCAGCCGCATGAGAAGCTCATACATGAGCGTAGGCTCCTAGGGTTGAAAAGGGCTCTGTAATTTCGCTTGGATGGTCTTCGCACGTTGGCATCAAACATCAGCAGGTCCTGAATCAGCTCTCTAAATGCCGCGGTTGGCTTGATCTTCTCCTCATTGGTAATGATGAAATCCTTAGATGGAGAAGATCCATCTGAACGTCTCCCCAGATAAGCAAACACCAAAATGGACAAACAGGAAACAGCTTGCAGCTTCATCCCCGAGATAGCTGACAGCAAAAGGGTTTTTTGTTTCTAGTGAGGTGCTTGGAGATGGACACACGGGCTGGTGCAAGTTGCTTGCCCCGGTGCACGTGCTGGGTGGTTTGCAAGCAAACAGGGGCTGACAAGCGGCGTCAGTTCAGTTACTGTCAAGGGGTGCTAGTGGCTTGGTTGACGTGGGTCCCTTCGCGGTCCTACTTTGGCCAGCTGCGATCTTCGTGCGGTTGAGATATGACGGTTGTCTGAAATTCCTTTTTCCGGAAACCGCCATCTTCGCGAGAAAAAAAGTAACTTTTGCGGACCCCATCACAAAAGTAGTACGCAAAGTACATTTTCGCAGCCCCAGCTCGAAAGTCGCAGCTTGTCAATACGAAAGAAGTAAACTTCCGCAGCCCGGCTCGAAAGTCACAACTTGTCAATACGAAAGTAGTACACAAAGTAAACTTCCGCAGCCCCAGCTCGAAAGTCGCAACCTTTTAACTTCAAAGTAGCACGCAAAGCGCGCTTCCGCAGCTCCATCTCACAAGCCGTGAGCTTCACACGAGAGGACCCGTTGGCCTCATGTCCGGAAACTGGCGGGAAGGTCCATCAACTTTCGCGAAACTTTCGCGGATCTTACCCCGAAAGCTTCAAAACTCCCACAAGCTGGTTTCTGCTGGCTGGAGGTTGCTTTTGCAGCGGCGTATGCTTGCGGCGACCCTCAAGCTGCGCATTCCCCGACCAACTTTAGTCTGTGGGCATTCTGAAAGCACGGCCGGTAAATACATGGTTCATCACTCCAGCTTCCTGCTAGAAGGCCACCCCTACACGAAACTTTCCCAAACAAAAAACTAACTTTCGCGACCCCCTTCGCAGAACTTTCGCGGAGGTCAACGCTAAGACCAAAAGTCTTCCCCTTCGCTCAATACAAGGACCTTTCGGACGACTCTATGAAAATATCATCGACGACAGCCGTGACGACAGGGCAATCGTCCTGGCTTCGGTTAGCGCCCCGGAGTCGGGCTGTCGCCAATTTGGTCTTGGCAAACAGAGCCCTTCGCTGAGTAAGCCTGTGGCTTGCTTGGTTTGGCTGGGCGCGGCACTTGCAGAACAAAGTTCTCTTGTGAGTGCTGCTGTAGAACAAACTGTGTTGTCAGGGATCGCTGTCTGGGATGCTGGCGCAAATGCCGGGCTGAGTGCGCGCTTGCCTACTATCCTCATGCATTGACATGCTGCTGAAATCAAGATGAGGGCATCTAAATCGGCATGATCATGCGAGACCTAAGCCAGCCTTCGCTAAGTGCGACGACCATTCTAACGCTGTCTTCTAACGCTGTCTTCTAGCGCTGTCTTCTTTGTCTCTGTTTTCTTTTCTGTCGCCGCATCTATGCGGAAATCCGCAATTCTGCCCTGAGGCACCCTGCCATGCAAATGTCCTTGAGGCCATCTGCTCTGTGGGCCTGGCCGAACACCCAAAGCATGGCCCACTGAGAATGCACAGGTGGCACGGCAACGTTCCGTCAAACGCCAGCGCTTGACAGGGCAGGGTGGCCTTTGCGGTCATCATTATCTGCACAACGTTGTCAATGGAGATTGACTTTCTGATGATGTCCTCGCAAAGGGCCTGCGAAAGAGCCCTCGCAGCTCTACACGTCCAGACGTCCAGCAGAACCGAAGAAGCTGAGCTGTTGATTTCGGCAGACCTAGAGCAAAATGACTCCTTGCCATGTGTCAAGTCGATGCATATTTTGCGCGTGCTTCACTCTGGCTCCGGGTTCGTCGTGGGAATCCGAACTCCGCACCGACATCTTTGCCCCGGAGCCAGGCCTTGAATAAAACTGCAGCACCCGAGTCAAGATCTGATATGAAACTTCAAGTTGCAAACCCAGCTGCAGGGCATTACGGTGGCAGGATGCCTGCAGAAACAAGGAGAACCTACTCTGCTTTCAGGCTTCTACTACCTTCATTGCTCGGACACTGAGCCCATGTTTGGCAAACAGGCTGCTCTGCACTTTCTGCTTGAGGCATGCTCTTGCCAGCAGCTGACCTTGGGCTGGTGTCCGCGCAATTCTCATAGAAAAATATGGAACTTGCAGCCTACGCAAACATCCATTCTCCGCTGTCTTGCTGTGTCTTGCTCGCTCATGGCACCCCTCTTTGCTTGATAGGGCTATGCCAACAAATCTGCGTGATCAAAGCGGCCGCTTCCCTCTCTCCAGCTGGCTGGGTGCAAACCATCCAGAGGCCCTCCCCCCTAAGAAATATCTCGCACCGTGCTCAGCCAAGCTTAGAAGCCTTTGTTGGGCTTCATGATGCTTAATTGAGTCGAGGCCAACATACGACTTCTACTTTGGATGCTCGCCACACCGCTTTGGACCATTCTTGGTGACTGGCAAAGACTCAGATCACTGTGACCATCCAGCTCAGCTCTCCTGAAGCAGTATGACCTGGCATTACACCAATGTGCTCAACACAGGGGGGTCGCATGAGGGCCTTGTTGTGGGTGCAAAAAGCAAGGGCCCCAACTCCAGACAATTGGTTGATATTTCATTGCACCGATCAGCCAAGCACATTTTACTTCGCATCTCGCTCAGTTCACCTCATGAAAGGCGCCCTGAAGGCGCCAGAAGCGCAAGGGGAATCTGTGAAAATTGCTGTGGCTGAGCTTTACATCGAAGCCATACAGAAAGTGAAGAAGAAAAACCATCAATTCGTCCCTGGCGAACTTGTATCCAATGCACATGCGACTGCCTCCGCCGAAGGAGGCAAAGTAAGTGGGATCGAAGGTGCGATCAAGAAACTTCCCATTTTGCAAATGGCGATGGATCGAGAACGTCTCACTGTCCTTGGCCTTGCTATGGACTCCAGCGGGTGCCCAAACCAAGGTCCATCCTTTGGGCACCACATAGCCATCCACTTCGGTATCCTCGCGCAACGAGCGCATGACCACCTGCGCTGGTGGTGTGATCCGCAAAACTTCCTGCAGAAAAGCACGCGTCTGAGGAATGGAGTCCAGTATCTGTCGGGTGATCTTGCACTCGCCATCCCAAGAAGCGCGTACCTCCTGCCGCAACAAAGCCTCCACTTCCGGACATTGCTTCAGCCAATGAAGACAGCTCTGGATGGAACAAGTACTGGTATCATGGCCTGCAAACATCATTGCGATGCAAAAATCTAAGAGCTCGCCGTCACTGCTCATCTCCTCTACCTGCAGCAGGGTATCCAGCATGGAACTGATTTGAAACATTCGACACGGATCCTTGATCTTCTTGCGCTTCTTCTCGAGAACTGTGTGAAATTCCTGCATGAGCAACCTTCGGGATTTCATGCACTTATGAAATGGGAAGCCAGGGACGTCCAGTGGAGGGATACACGCCAGGCCTTTCATTGTGTCGTCAAAGAGCTGCAGGAAACGATCGGTCTGGTGAGTCTCTCCCAGGATGACTGTCTCACCACATTCGAAGGCATACTTCTTCACTTGCCAATGCAAATCCCGTGTTTCTCCGTCCGCCCAGAGCTGCAAGTGTTTGGCTGACGTCTTCTGCAAGCACGGCAAGTACAAGTCAAGCTGCTTGTCAGCAAAAGCACGCGAGTTGAAGGTCCGAATCCTTTTGTGAAAAGGATCATTCACCACCAGCAACGATTTCGGACCGACCAATTTCTGAAAATGTGCCGGCCATGCCATGTCTTTCTCAGAGAAGAAGAGCTTAGCATTGGCTTCGGTGACAGCCAAAAACACGGTTGGGGTAAACAGCAGACTTGCCCAGCAAGTGCCGTACCGGGAGAGCTTCGCCTCAATATATCCCAAAGGATCTCGCGCGTAGCTTAGTGTCTCTCCAAGCGGCAGGAACCAAAAACCGCAACGCGGCGGCAGGTTCCTGGAGCGAAGGCTCCACCACAGCCAGGCCGACAGGCCTGACAAGCCGGCAGCGAAAATCAGAAAGCTTGTCTGCGGCTGACGGAGCTCCATGGCCCAGGGGGGAACTCTTGCTCACTGCGATATGTTGTGTCTAGAAGAGCGTCAGTCGTTGGCCAAAAACAGCTGGAGAACAAATCTCTCTCTCTTTCTCTCTCCATATTGTATACGAGGAGCGGACGAAACCTTTACTTGGCCCTAGTACTTTTTTGACGTTATTGTTTTTGGGGGAGACCTTATCGCTTCACAGTGTTTTCGAGCTTTGGCAGATCCGGCTCGAAAATCGCAACTTTGTTGTACAAGTCTAGTGCGCGAAGTACACTTCCGCAGATCCAGCTCGAAAACCGCAACTTTGTAGTACAAGTCTAGTATGCGAAGTACACTTCCGCAGCTCCAACTCGAAAATCGCGAGATACACTTCCCCATTCCAGCTCGAAAATCGCAACTTTGTAGTACAAGTCTAGTACGCGAAGTACACTTCCGCTCTGCGAAATTCGCAACTTTGCAGTGCAAGACAAGTACGCAAAGTCCACTTCCGCAGCTCCAACTCGATAATCGCAAATTTGTAGTACAACTCTAGTGCGCGAAGTACACTTCCGCAGCTCCAACTCGAAAATCGCAACTTTGTAGTACAAGTCTAGTACGCGAAGTACTCTTCCGCAGCTCCAACTCGAAAATCGCGAGATACACTTCCGCAACTCCAGCTCGAAAATCGCAACATATCGCAACTTTGTAGTACAAGTCTAGTACGCGAAGTACACTTCCGCTCTGTGAAGTTCGCAACTTTGTATATTACAAGTCAAGTACGGGAGATACACTTCCGCAGCTCCAGCTCGAAAATCGCAACTTTGCAGTACAAGACAAGTACGCAAAGTGCACTTCCGCAGCTCCAACTCGAAAATCGCAACTTGTAGCACAAGTCTAGTGACCGAAGTAGCCTTCCGCAGCTCCAGCTCGAAAATCGCAACCATGTAGCGCAAGTCTAGTACGCGAAGTACACTTCCGCAGCTCCAGCTCGAAAATCGCAACTTTGTAGTACAAGTCTAGTACGCGAAGTACACTTCCGCAGCTCCAGCTTGAAGATCGCAACTTTGTAGCACAAGTCTAGTACGCGAAGTACACTTCCGAAGCTCCAGCTCGAAAGTCGCAACTTTGTAGCACAAGTCTAGCACACTTCCGCGGCTCCAGCTCGAAAATCGCAACTTTGCAGCACAAGTCTAGTACGCGAAGTACACTTCCGCAGCTCCAGCTCGAAAATCGCAACCATGTAGCGCAAGTCTAGTACGCGAAGTACACTTCCGCAGCTCCAGCTCAAAAATCGCAACTTTGTAGTACAAGTCTAGTACGCGAAGTACACTTCCGCAGCTCCAACTTGAAAATCGCAACTTTGTAGCGCAAGTCTAGTACGCGAAGTACACTTCCGAAGCTCCAGCTCGAAATCGCAACTTTGTAGTACAAGTCTAGTACGCGAAGTACACTTCCGCAGCTCCAGCTTGAAGATCGCAACTCTGTAGCGCAAGTCTAGTGCGCGAAGTACACTTCCGCATCTCCAGCTCGAAATCGCAACTTTGTAGCACAAGTCTAGTACGCGAAGCACACTTCCGCAGCTCAAGTTCGAAAATCGCAACTTCTCAGCACACCTTGGCAGCTCCAGCTCGAAAGCCGCGACTCGCCTGCTCGTTTTACGGTGGCCACGCAAGGGTCCCGCCCTAAAGCATGTGTTGCGCAAAAACGTACCCCGCCTTGATACAGTGGTCTTCGTAGGTTTTGTCCGTGGCTCACACATAGCTGCGGAACGCTTGGGTTTGCATGAATAAGTAGCTCACGCGCTGTCACAACAAACAACGAACACTCCTTGCTGTTCACAACATGCCAGCAGGGCCGCAGAGTAGGCCTGAGCAAGTATGAACCCACCACACCAACCCAGGTGGAGGTAAACGTCGTTTCTGCGACTTAACGCTGATTGGTTTGGATACCCCAAAACTTCAAAGGTTCCCAACAAAAGCCGGGAAAAACGTCTCACCGACACAAAGGGTGATGTTTAAAACGGGGGAAGTGGCCACTGTGGCCAAGCACCGAAAGCAAGCAGCTTTCTGATATCGCGAGTCTCGCCTTTCATGCAGCAAACTACACACACACACATATGGGGGGTTGTCGGTCCCCGACAATAAAACAAAGTGGTCGGTGTCCTTTCTGTTTTCTCTTTAAGTACCAACTAAAAGGAGGTCGACCATTTTGAGAAACGCACGTGCACACACTCTTCTTGCTGTGGTCCTGTCATCCACTTTGTCAAGGGACGAACCAAACCATTCACGCCATCTGTCAGAACAGTCACTGTGTAGGCCTGAAGTGTGATGCTGACGGAGCACGGGAAGCTGTGGGTGGGAGTGTGTGAGTTCACCTGGCAACATGCAAAGGATGCTGCAAAGTCAAAGGCAAGAAATACGCGCTATCTTGCCCAAGACCTATACCTAGTCCGCAGCTAGTCCGCATGCTCAAACACATGCGCGTTCGTCAAAATGCAATGTTGCTTGCAGACTGAAGCAGCTTGCCTCCACTTCGCTCTGGGCGCCTTCAAGCTCCGGCACAGACCTGTTGCTTCCCATGACATACAAGTGAACCCTGAGATCCAAAGCAACTTAGGCAAAGTCCATCCCACAAAGCCTTTTTCAGCAGAATGCAGACAAACGTATGTTGCAAAGCTGCCATGGGTCAAAGGCACGGCGATGAATGGTTGCAGGTCGTGCTGAATGGTGTATGGAATGTGTGACTTAAATGTCTGCATGGCTTGCTACCTAGTACGAAACCTACAACATGTACGGTCTACAATAGAGGCTACAAGCTTGTCTTGGCCAGCTTGCCATCAACACCACTCTGCTTCATCCTGGAATCTCCAGGCCTCTCCCTCCTCCCCCCCCCCCCCCCGCAGGGTGCGCAACACCCTGGATGCTGAGACACTGTGCATCCTTGAAACGCTCATCATTTCTGCCGCAATGACAACATCAACCTTCATTGGTGCTACGCACGATGCATATTGCTCTGCATCACCTCTATGTTCTTGCAAGTGACTGAATACAAACACACTCCGGCTTTCTCACTCGATTGCTGGACACTCGAAACAATATGTCCTGAACAGCACGAAACAGTATGTCGTAAACAGCGCTTGCTGGAAAGGTCGCCTACTTCTTAGTTGATGACTTGAGCAGCAAAAGACCCTTTCGGACCGTGGGCACAAAAATCAGTCGAAATGCTTGGTTGATATATCTGCAGTTCTTACTGCGGACTGTGTGCAGGCTGAGACTTTCTTGCCTGCTCCCCTGAGTGCCCAACAGGGCAAGTCGCCAGCTTTTCGAGGGTGGCACCTTTCAAACAGTCTCCGTTTTAGCCCAGCCATCTGAAACAACATGCGCAAACACAACTACCATTGGTGTGTGTGTGTGCAGTTTTGTCTGAACAGGAACGACGCCCCTGCTTCAAACATCAACAACATCACTCGTTGCTCGGCTTGCATGGTGCTCGAATGAGAGATGGATGAAAATACTAGCATTGATTCGCCGGTCTTTCGGAGCCTTGTTATGTAAAGCCAAAGTGGTCGAACTGGCGCTTACGCGATTGGCCACTTCTCCTCCATCAACCTCAAGCCTTCCATTCTCCGCCCCATTTGTCCATGGCGCCCCAAGCTGGTAGCTCTCGCGCACGGTGTTTCTCCAGTTCACCACGACCAGCGCAAGGCCTTGACTCCATGGCAAGCTGCGTGACATGCAGGTTTGACAAGGGACAATTCTGCAACAAAGCGTGGTCTCAATAGCCATCAGCCGGGGGAAGTTGGTCAGACACAGCCTTTGCGCACATCCACTTGATATGCTATCCTCATTATCCCGCTTCTACAAACGTGTCGAGTCAAATGAAACAAATCATGATTGGAAAAGGTCCTATAGGGTTGTAGTGGATGGGGTTGTAGGCGAGTTGCAAAAACACAAAGCCCTGCCCTCCAATCAGCCCTGCGCCCTGCCCACTTCTGTGTGTGTGTGCCCCTGGGCTGCGCTACCACCAGAGCTTCAAAAGCGCAGGCATTTTGCCGCACACACCGTGGGCCCATTTGTCGAAGAGGCCGGAGCATGGATGAAGGGTTTCATGTAAGAGCAGGCAGTTGCGCTTACCGACGGCGTCCGTAAGCACAGCCAAGCCGTCGGAAACACATACTCAGCCCCTGGGCGCGCTGTCTATTCTGTGGTTGCGCTTACCGACGCCGCCGGTAAGCGCAACTGAGCGTTTGAGCCAGTCGCATGGATGGGTGTAGGCTTTGGTGAGAAGCCCTTGCTGGACATCATTCACAAGGGGCTAAGGGGGCTGATATGCGCAAGCCCCCACATTTAAACAAATCATGGCCAAATGTATAATGTGGCTCTTGCTTCGCGCACTCTTGCTTGAGTCTGTGAGCTGGGGGGGGCTGATTGGAAGCCCTTGTGTGGAGAAAAACCGATGCAACTGCAAGCCCATCTGCTACAACCCTATAGGCACTCTTCCGACATGACACGTGAACAACTCTAGAATGGCACGGGCACCTATTTGGTGCTGTTGCAGGGAAGAACATGCATTGATGTGTGTCGACTTGGCGGAGATGGGCACGGTCAGTCGGGTTTGGCTTTCGCTGTTGGAGTCGCGAAATGCCTGGCTGGAAACGCCGAAGTTGGCGCAGGCCCATGGTGGACCATGGGCCCCCCTCCACTATGCCGGACACACCCATGTTGCAGCCCCTGAAGCCCGCCCAAGTTCCTGCAACCTCCACCTACTGTAGCCCAATAGCTGCACAGACTGCACCGTGCCTGCCCGCCGGACTTCGATCAGTTAGTTCACCGTGATGAAATCTGGCCATATGCCAGTTGTAATATGTATATTAAATAATATAATATAAAAACTCACCCGTCGCCTCTTTTTTTGCGCTGCGAGACAACGTTTGTCTAAGTTGACACACTCAACAAAAACAAAAATAACCACACCATCCAGTTAGGACATGGCTCCATGTCCAGAGTATTTCCAGGGCTTCCCTGCCACACCAGGTCAAGCCACGCCCAATACTCAAAAAGGGATCCAGCCACTCTAAGGGAAAGGAACCTCCCCGTCCCTTCCAGATTCAATGGCCTATGCAGAGATCCATGTTTGCGGAACCAGAACGTCGCGCCTCCCTGGCACAGGCTTTTTTTGGCCGGAATCCAGCCGATTGAAAATTTTTCAGACGCATCCAGTTCTTGACTGCTGCGCGCTGAGGCACAGCGGTTCGTACTCAGGAACCAGAGCCTTCCATTGCAGGATTCTCCGGATAATATCCTCAACTGTCGTGGCTCGCGGCAGCGCCCAGGCGCTTTCCACCCTTGGTCAGCCCTAAAGACACCACTGTGGAGCATTGTCGCTGGGACCGGAGGGTTCAAAGTTCGCCAGTACGCAGCATAGCAGCCACACCTCTCCCACGAGGGATCAGTACGCAGCATAGCAGCCACACCTCTCCCACGAGGGATCGGTGTGGCCCATCACAGATTCAAGCCGAAACTGCGAAAAAGACGGCTGGCGTTCGTCTTACACCCCGGGACGTTGAAAATTGTATTTGAGCATGTCTCATGCTTGCGGGTCTAAGTCGCAAGAGTGTATCCAGCCTGAAACCCTGCAACTTAGAGCCATGGAAACCATTTTAACCCAGGCAAACACGTCCAGCTGTCCGTGTGAGCCATACTGCAAACCATTCCCATGGCACATACATCCCCATCTGTGGCACATGTTATACTCAATATGCATGTAGAATATACACATGCATATTGAGTATATGAACATGTGCCATATATGGCCATGGGTCAAAAGCCCGTACCCCCAGTGAACATCCCAATCCCCACTAAAATGGACTAAAATGGGTGGTGCACCCACCCCAATATATATATATATATGTGGTGGTTGTTCTAAATTCCTTTGTCTCGAAACGGCCATTCTTCGCGAATAAAAAAGTTACTTTCGCGAATCTTTCGCGGATTCATCGCCGTGCCCTTTTCCTTGCTCAAGTCAGAAAATCGCTGATTTTAAGTGCCAGCGTAGTGCGCGAAATTCGATTCCTGTAAAGTCGCAACTTTCATCACAGGGGTAGTACATCACATGAACGGGGTGGAACGACGCAGCTTTTCCTAAGCCGTGCAGCTCCAGCTTAAAGTCGCAACCTTCCAGTACCAAGCTGGTATACTGACAAGCGCGGCGCTCAGAAAGTACCTCCCCCTTACAATCGAAGCCGCTTTCGCGGGGGCTTTCGCGGATCTTTCACGGAACTTTCGCGAAAAACCACCCACGTTTCAGAGCGGAAAGGCGCCGAGTAAACACCCACAGGCACACATACACAGGCTTGGGGCACTAACCAGCCAAGCAGGGTATCAAACTGTAGCCTCACAAGGCTTTTTCGGCGCAAAATCAACAAAGTGTTGTAATCAGCGCAGAAGGAAGGCTCAGCAGCAAAGATGAATGAATGGTTTCACATAGCATTGATTTACAAGACACAGTTACGCAAAACTTTCGCGAGAAAAAAAGTTACTTTCGCAACTCCATCGCGAATCTTTCGCGGAGCTACCTCAACCAACACCGATGGTCACCGAATACTAAACTCCTTACAAGGACCTTTAGAACGACTCCCATGTATGTCAGTGTACACTGCACCACTGCACCACTCACAAAGGAAACTCATCACAAAATGTGCGACTTCTGCTGAGTCCTCTGACGTGCTCGAACATGCCGCCTGTCCCGGCTGTCCTGCAAGGTGGCTAACCCAGAAATGCACAATGCATCCGGATGTATTCGCTTGGACTGTGAAGAGCCTGCGCAAATATGATCTGGCCTCAAGTGCAGCTTGACCTTGACGTATGTTCTTCAATTCCTTTGTTTTTGTCTTTGTCCTTTATGCTTGTTGAGGGACCAAGTAAGCTGCTTGGAATCGTTGTTTGCTCCCCATACTGCGATATCCACTCATCGAAAACATAATTGCAGCATGAGCAACAAAGACCTCGTCTGAGTGAGAGGAATGCATGGCTTTCCTTGGACGTTTTCGGCTACTGCATCACCACAGGTTGGTGTAGCTCTGCATGGAGGTAGTGATCATGGCAATGAGTTAAAGCTTCCACTGCCGTTTCCATCCGGGCCACGGTCAACATGTATGCAGTTGCCTGCAATGAACGTGGGAAGTTTTGGTGAGCCCTCCGTCGTGTTTTATGTTGTGTGTGGTTCGGGGTGAAACTTCGAGCATCGCTTGCTACAATCAAGAAAACCATATTGCTAATTATTCCGAGCTATCTGTGACAGTTTGCACCTCTTTGTCCATGACTCGGCAGTCCTACCCAATTGCACTATGAAGCCATTGAGAGCAAGTAACGGAGAGACACGTTTTGCTGAGGGTGGCGTCAACATAGCCAAGGAAAAAGGTGGTATTGGCATGCTTTCAGATTTTTTCGGACAAGCAAATGATCCCAATTCTTTCAACCAATGGACACCTACTTCCCGCCTCAGCTTCAGACCAGCGCAGGTAGGCTAGCACCCCGCCGTGCTCGTGAAACACGTGCACCTTTTGGGAGATCAAACAGATTGTCCAGTCTCTGCAGGTTGAAGGGCCGCTGGGCCCTTGTTTCAATCATGAGTTGACGGTTTGGCTTCAGAATCGCGTGTGCTGCGCACCTCCTCTGGCATGCCTGCTGCTCTGCGTGCCGAGTACCATTGGAACATCAAAACATGAATTGGCAGAAGCTGCTTGATGACCGTAGCAATCCTCCGGAACAAGCTGGCACGTAAGCAACACAGCACATAATTTGTTTGCTTAGCACAAACAGTTCATGTGAAGCATTCAAAGCCATCACAAAGCCACCACACAAGCAAGGAAGGTCTCCGACTGACCCAGCGCTTGGAATAGGCATCCACACCCCATCGCCCTGCAGCGGTGGTGCAGGTCCCAGCTCTGTCACGTGGGTGCTGCTCTTGCCAGTCCTGCAGCGAAGTTGCAAATGGTGTAGTGACGGATCAATGTTACTGTACTGCAAAGTCAAAGCACTTTGCATTTGTGCTTCGCTTGTGGATAGGATGCCAGTCACTTGCAAGCTGTGCGACATGAGTGGGACTCGGCAGTTGGAACACGCTGCAGTACTTCCATGTAGGTGCGCTGATTGCATTGCTACACTGTTGGTCATGCTTAAGGCTTCAGGAAACAACTTGACCGCCGGGGCGTGGCTTGCCGGGCAACTTAGTGGAAGGAATGGATACTAAGCAAAACTGGTGCGGTATTGTTCTGCTAGCAATCCAGCACAATCAACTGACTCTGAGACACTGCATCAGACATAGGCCGTGCGGTGGAAAATAGCTGCAATCCCGCCAAGCGTCCGCAAGGCAGTCAGGTCTCGGCAAAGCTGAAGCCATGTGGCCTGGAATTGAGGGGAACTGGCCCAAATATCAGAATATGTTGAACTACAACAACATACAAGCATGATCAAAATACGAGCCCGTGATCTCAAGGACCACCACAGCAGGGATACACGCAAGATCAGCCTTCTCATGCTCATTGCAAGCTGTTGGTTGAGGACAGGCTCCACTGAGTCAATTTGGACACATGGCCGGAGGCCAGATGCCTTCTCAATTCTCAAGGCAAGGCTTTGGATGCTCTCATGCCAGTGTGAGGGGGAGCACATTGCCAAGGTCCAACCTCCTTGGGTCACGGTTCTGGTTCCTTAATGGCGTATGGTCTAAACTTTCTAAACCCCCCAACATTACGAACATCACATGCTGATTCCTGCAATCCCCTGGCATCTTGGGGCCCAGCAGCGTTACCAGTTGCATCCTGGACCTTGGAAGCTTCGGGCCCCAGCTTTGGCCAAGGTCCAAGTTTGGATACACGCATAGTATGGTTATGGGTGTGCCTTAAAATCTTAAACTCGGGGACCCAGAAAATGATTGGTGTCCTTTGAGTTTCCCTTTCAACCTTGAAAAGACCCCAATCCAAAGTCCTGGGGCCAGTGCACGAGACCAATCCAGCGCAGGGCCTTGTGGCCACTTGAAGGGTCGGCACTCACACACCTCACGGAGCCGAAAAGCTCAACTCTGCCATGGCACCTTCTGGGCCTTCTGGCTGTTGCCGCTGGCTTGTCTTTTGTGGGGGGACCCTCCCTTTTTGGTCGGATTTATATTGGGGGATACCAAAGGGAAACATTCTTGCGGGCCGCCCATCTTAAGACACACACACACACACATGTCAAGCTGATCATGCGCAGCGCTTGCTCAACCTCACCCAGTGGAATGTCCAACCACTCTGTTTTGAGCATAGAAGGATCAGGGTTTCCGCTCGCGCGGCCAAAGATTAGCATTGGTTGCACATGGCCCAGCCTCCTGACCCTGCAGCAGCATGGGGATGCCCGGGGCCGTCATCACCAGCACAAGGCCTGGTTACTACAACCTGCAATACACGAACTAAAAGCTGATTCAGAATTCTTTCAAACTGACGAATGCTAGGCTGAATACCATTGCAATCAGTCTGCTTGCGAAGCTGAAGCACAAGAAAATTGTTTGCTTTGGCAACTCTTGTTCTCACATTCAAGTGTTAAGAAAGAAAGCTGCTTTCAGGAGCCTCGATCCAACGAAAAGGATTGGTTTCATCAAGACAGGAACAGGCAGTACCAAGGGGCCATGGGGACACGCAGCATCTCAGCCCACTCCCCGATTCGCCATCACCAGTGGCCTAGGGCAGCCCTGCGTGCGGCAAAGGGATTCTCTGTCACCTGTGGACGTCATAAAGGCTGGTCAGCGCATTTCGAAACTAGCGTATGGATGCGGCAATGCATTAAACAGCTGCCAGCACCTCTTCCTCATCCGGGTATGGCAGTGCTGCCCCTGCCTCGGGATTTGTGACTGAGGGAGGCCAAGTCTGGTAAAGAACACCCGCCGTGCTTGGAAATGTAAGCCTCCCATGTACAAGGAGATGGCACTGTTTGAACTCCTCATCCCCTGTTTGCCACTTTGCACATGTTGGAACACAGCACCTGGCTCATCGGTGGGAACATGGATGCGCTGCGCAGGCACACTGGACTACACAGTGCGTGAACATCCAAAAACCCTCTCTTACCACTTTATCTCTGATAAGACTGCGTGTTCATCATGGTCAGCCCCTGCTCAGCCCCGAGGGCTCAATTCTGAACAAATCCGCTTGGCTGAATGAAGGAGCATCAGGAACTTGACCCGGAAGGGCGGAAGGGCAAACATGTCTACACATTCAGAACAAGTCCATCCCGACCCTACCAATCGGCCTAGTGCCAACTTATGCCAACTTTGCTGGGGCAGCAGCTTGTTGAAAGGCGTCGCCGCCCTCGCCCTGTCGCAGCGTATACATCGGTGTGCTTCAGAATGCGAATTCTGATAAGGCACAAGGGGCTAAGTTTAACAAAGGCGGGTCTGTGAAACCAAATCACACGTTCGAACCCCATGAAAGCATAGGGTCCGCTGGGATTTGTTGCTTTGGCACACCCATGTCGCAGCAAGTTTGTTAGTCCTCGAAAGCCAATCGTGGATGACGAGACAGAACAAGCGCGCGTGTTTACATAGGTCAACTGGTACAGTATTTTACAAACACGTGTCAGCATGAAACCAGCTTTTCTTGGATGCAAACAACATCCGTGTTGCTAAATATATTATTTGGGGGCGCATCTAGGCACACATCATAAAACACTACAATCCTGTAGTATGACAGGCCAACTGACATGCTTCATGCTTTGAGAACAGGTGTTTGTTTCAGCAATATGTGTTGCGACAAACCTCGCAAAAGCAGTTGACCCTCCCAAACATCTCTCACAAAGCTATGGAGAGGCCAACGCAGCGTGTTGGATATCTGTCAACGCACGATCCCCCTTCCGCCACCACAGCAAGCAGGAGCTCTGAACTGGAATCGTTCTCGTCCAAGCCCATGAGCGCTCACCTCAGCCTCCACCATGAACGGCTTGCCATGATGCACAGCTGCAGGAACCTCACCACAAGCAACCGGCAAAATACAACTCAAAGCAACAGGCAAGCCATTGCGCTCTATGAAACCGCGCGTCTGCCTTACAAAGTCCAAAAAAATAATACCAAAGCATACGTGCTTACTTATAGGGAATTAGACTAACATGCTTCTGTGGGCAACAGGCCACTGCCAGAATCCTTGATCAAAAGTGGCGGCTGCCCTTCTCTGCTGAAGGCTCTGAAGCCATCTTCAATTGTGTGTGTGTGTGTCCGAATATGGTGACCTCAACCATGGTGACCTTTTTGTATTCCCCCGCAAGCCAACCTTAAAAAGGCTACCCTGAAATACTCAGCAAGCAAACGTGGTGAACCATGAGCTGTTCTGAGACCTGGGCGCGGCCGTAGCGGTCGCACGCCGCTGTGTCATGGCTCTCCTCAACTTGCGCTTTCCAAGGCAACTCTTCGGTGGATCAGGAGCATCTGGATAGGGACTGGTGAACACCCAAAGTTATACAGGTTTGTCTCATCAAAAGAGAATGACAGCGAGCTGGCCTGATTGCCCAAACTCAGACACCCCTGAGTCTGCCACGGTTGCTGTCACTCTTGGCAAGTGCTGCGACGCTGTAACGGCAAATGCGTCTCACACACTCACACAACAAGAGACTGATGCGTGACGATAATTTCAGCCTGAACAACGGCTTCTCAGCGGGTCTCATCCAAGAAAGAAGGTTCATTTTCCTCAAGGAAAAAGCTCGTTTCACCAGATTTGACATGTTCAACTGTGGCTTTCTGCCGAGCTTAATGTGCCAACAGCCAGCAGAGAGAAAAACACAAATGCTGTCCGTCCGATGCTGATCTAAGCCCTGCCATCTGCCATTTGCTCACACACACACACACAGACTCTCCGCAGCAGAAACCGCACACTGAGGCCCGGGCCATGAAAACCTCCGCTCTTGCGCCAGTTGCATGCTGTGCTTGGGACTGCAAAACACACCCGCCAGTCTCTGACTGAGACGCATGCCACCCTCCCGCGCAAGGCATGGGATCCTGGGCCATCCGCCAAAATGTGTGCGATGCATGTCGGGGGAATCTTGGCTAAACAGAGCAAACTGCCAAATGAAGCAATCTGTGCGAGATCTGGACATCCAGTGAAGCCAGCCTTTTTCTTGAGGTGAGTTGAATTGCATGGAACCAACTCCGTTGCAGGGCACATCAAGCCTTCAGCAGGACCATCTGGGCTCCCCGACGGCCCGGTGCCAAACCAACCAGCCCTTGCACCACCTTGTGGATGCCTCGAAACCTGTGGCGACATTTTGACCAAAGAGATGGTCCAAACGAATGGAGGCGCTCTCACGCTCTTACTCTCTGTCCGTGTCCAACATATGCCCTGAGTTCCCTGCTCGTCCAAGGGGTGCACCAAAGCATCGTAGATCCTGCTAAGGGCAGCAGCCACGTTTGAACTCTCAACTTAGTACAGGTTATGCCCGTAGATCACTCAAGCCTGCGTTGACAGAATAACAAATTGCCGGCTCTTTTGGATTCACGCCAAACATGAGCAACCAGCTTATGCAGCGGAGCCACTCACGCAGCTTAAGTAGCAGCTGTTAGCGACAATGCCCCTTCCCGCTGCATCCGTTCCCAGTCCAGCAAAATAGGGCCATGTCCCACTGGAGATGTAGTCCCAGTCCTCCCCACCTGGGCACAAAGGCCAGGGACCATCACGCGGCTCTGTTTCTTAAATAACGCCCATTGCCGGTCCACGAGCAGCTGATTTCTTTGCACGCTAGGAATACGGCTGAAGAAGACCATCACCATCCTCCAAGTCCTCTGCTATGGCCTCAACTATGTCAGGCTGCGGAGTCTGGCACAGTCGAAAAAACATGAAGCTCATTTTGGATACATTAACCATGCAAACAGACACTCACAGAGACAAACACACACACAGCCAAAAAACAACATCCCCGCAGCCACACAGGCAAACAGAAACACAAACACACACACACACAGGCAGACACAAATACACGCGCGCAGAGCTGCACGCACAGAGTCTGCAACGCACACACACACACACACACAACAGACTCACACACGCAAACACGCGCGCACACAGGGGCGGGGGTCACCCCCCGAACGGAAAACGCGGTCATCGGCGCACGCTATCGACAACGCGACATTTTGGCATTCCGCGCACATGATTTCCGGTCATCCGCGCACGGTGTCCGGCCATCCACGCACGGTAAGTGGGGGGGGGGGGCGGGGTGGGGGGGTTGGGGGGGGTAAGCTTCGATGTTCACGCAAAACAATTCACGCGAAAGGGTGGATGGTAAGCGTCGGTGGGAAGCGGGGTGGGGCGGGATGGGGGGGGTTGGCAAGCTTCCATGTTCACGCGAACCAACTCGCGCGGGTGGGTGGATGGTAAGCGGGGGTGGGAAGCGGGGCGGGGTGGATGATAAGCGTCGGTGGGAAGCGGAGTGGGGGGGGACGGGGGGGGTGGTGGTGGTAAGCTTCGACGTTCACGCGAACCAACTCACGCACAAACCCGGCCTGAAGTCACTCCAAGAGTATGATCTAACTCACCTGTGGAATCATGCAGTGCCCTGCAAGATAGCCAAGGTCATTCTACCAATTTATCTGCATCATTGCAGGAATCATGCGTGTCTGTAAACCGTAAAGAGAGCGACCGTACTGCGAATATTCGTAATTTCAATCCAACTCGAACACCCTTCCGGCTTCCGATGTCTGAAAATACCATGCAAAACATGCCTTTTTTGCTACCCCGTGCACAGATGACCGGGCCGATTTGCCGGCAATTACCATGAATTCTGAATATGACACGTGTACAAATGACCAGTTGGACACGTGCACAGATGACCGCCCAACCACGTGCACAGATGAACCCCGCCCCGCACACACACACACAGACACACAGACACACAGACGCACAGACACACAGACACACAGACAAACACACACACACAGACACACACACACACACACACAAACGATCAAACAAATAAACAAACAAACAAACAAACAAACAAACGAAAAACAAACCAACGCACGAACAAACACGCACAAAGACGCACACACACACACACACACACACACACACACACACACACACACACACACACACACACACACACACACACACACACACACACACACACACACACACACATGTAATGGGTCTGACTTTGACGGCATGTACGGGCACATTGCGCAAGCAAACACTGTCAGAGTGGGACTATGCACATTTGTGTTTTTGACGGCTGGGACCCGTCAAGACCGGTTGCTCGAGAACAGCTGGTCATGAATACAGCACTGCGATCGACACATCCTGAACAACTAATGACATCACTATTGGGCTCGCATTCCAATTTGACTGCTTAGCAAGGGGTGAGCTCAGAATCTTAAATGAGCTCGACTCTACCAAACTGTCAAGCACGTAAGAGTGCCTGTACTCCCAATTCGATGTGTCAAACGCTGCTCTGCCTTAATCAGTCTGAGGCATCCGCAAGCTTGCCATGCTGCCTGCGCAAGCCGCTTGGTCCAGCAACACATGCGACACGTCTGGATGTCCGGCATTTCATGCTGTCCCACAGTGTTTTCCCCCAAACAGTGTTGTAATGCAATGCGCTGTTCGAACTTTGTAGCTTATGCAGAAGCTTACCTATTTTGCAAAACACTCTGTAGAACCATGCATCCGACACATCAAACACATCTCAGTTTTGGGAGTGGATCCATGCACACGCACAAACATTGAAAAAGCACTTGATTGGTGCATGCATTTCTATGTGCAAGCCCAACATCCCGCTCCCTTCTGCCGCCTGCCCAACAGCTGTTGGCACATCTTTACCCGTTGGCAAACGACTTGACCCTTGATCCCCGTCTGGATCGTCTGGTGCCTGCAAAGTGCTGCAAGCTCTGCCAGCAGCTCGCACCCGTGGGTATCTGGGCCACCTGATGCAAGCTTCCCCCCTTGCAACTCAGAAACTGATTGGAGAAAGCTGAATCTTGAAGCTGCTCAGGCGTCCTTGAGCGAAAAAGGGACAGGGCGCATCTCAGCAATTCCAAATCGTAGCCTTTCGCAGCCCATCATATGTTCACTGGGGCTTCCAACTCTGTTGTACTATCTATCCCTTGTACCAGGCTCTGGCATCCAATCCTCTGCTCAAAAGACTCTCTCAGCCAGATTGCTCTATTGCTGTCGGGACCAACTTAAAATGATATCAGAATCAGATGTGTGGCAAAATACTGTAGCCACCATTCAGCTGGTCAAGAACCACTCCATGGTGGAAAGCTGGACACTGTTCTCTTTTGCTTTGTTTGATGCCTCATCGAGTCTCACCGAGGCGCCGGTCGGCAGCCTCGGAGAGCGTCACTGATTTCTGTAGACTAATGATCGCATGTGGCTGGCGACCAGTGGAGGTATCGGAACTGTAGTACGGCGCTTCAGCCGCACGCAAGCTCAACCTTGAAACGAATGGTGAAAGCCTGTGGGCGCTGTCGGCATGTGTCATGCTGCATCTGCTTGTGCAGCTGTGACAAAAATTGACTTCCTGGCGTCTGGCAGCCTGGCAAGCTCCAATCTTTACAAGTCTTTACATGTCACATTTGTGACCAGCTTTGCCAACTGCAGATCTAGTCCAAAATGGCCATTGGCAGTAAACCACGGTTCATAACATATCCGCAGTTCTCTTGCTCTCGGAGATAATACAAGCCTCATCCCCAGGATGTACACAATGAAAGCCTCTGCTGCGAATAGCGGCTCCGCAGCACCTGTCGGCACCGCCCGGACTCTGAGAGCATCCCCCTCCCCCGCACTGCCCGCAGCTTGCGGCACAGCAGATGTCCCCGTTGCGGAGGCCATCGCGGCAAAGCCCAGGAGACACCCGATGACAGTTCACATCCTCGGCACTTTCGCACACTCGACCGCTGTCGCAGCAAGGGTCCGGCATGTCGGGACCCAAAAAAATGCCCAGGTTGTAGATCTGTGATTGGCCACGCGTGGCCAAATCGCCCTGACCCCACACTCCAGTGAGGACGCGGCCCAACGGGACATCGACACGGCGGTGTTGGCTACTTGTCGACCCCAGCAACTGGTTGCCGCTGCTTGTCCTGAATTCAAGGCCCGCGATGACTGTTTCGCGAGATGCCACTGTCCTGAAGTGGATGAGGACCGATCTCAGAGTGTCTCCGCGTCTGGGACGGAATCTCCTCGTTTGGCCTCGACCAGTGTTGCCCACTGAGTAGCGCTGCTCTGAAGTCTTGCCGTCCTCTTCAGTGATCCTGTAAACTGTGGTAATCGATCCCAACAACTGGTCGGTGGGATCATTCTTAACTTCCACCTCAATCAACTCAACGGCGACAGCTCCTGGATTCACATCGGAGTTGAACCTTGCATACCGAAGATGCCAAGCACTGTTGTAACCAAGCACCCCTTGCCTGCCAATAGGGCGAAAATCTCCAGCCAAGTGGTACATCAGCCAGATCGCGTTGGGTGTGATTGCAGTGTAACTGAAATGCCCAAGCCGAGAATCGCGCCGTTCATTTAGTGTGATATCAAGCCAATTGTTGGGACAAGTCGGCATGTCTTCAGGCTTTCGTGCAAGGCAGGCGTTGCTGATGCAGCGACCTTCACGCATTGATCCGCGCTTGCAGAGATCACCGGTGATGTTCAAAATCTCACCACTGTTGACTGTGAGAGCCAGATTTTGTGCGCGTCTCATCGCGTATGGGAGGATCATCTCCCTCAAACAGGGAGAAGATTGGGCATAGAAGTCATCCTCAACTTCCTGGCAGCTGCATCTTAAAACCGATGTCAGCGTCACTCCGAACCTCACGTCACGCTCTATGGTCCGGCATGCGTCTCTCACCGGTGGCAGGTGTGACATGCTGGTGGCACCAGCCACGGAGAACCGGAGAAGCTCCAGGCTGCGAGCATGCAAAGAGGAGAAGCGGCTGGTCATGCTGCTGAGCTCCTGCCCCGGATTCAACTCCAAGCTGAGCAGCATGCTGACGAAGACCAATTGGTAGGTCACAGGCAGGCCCCACAAAAACCTCCGGCAAGCTTCATCTTCTGGCTCGAGACTTCCTGGCAAGTGCCTCGGGAAACCTGCGGAGGTTTGGCATTGGGTATTCCCAAAGACCTCTTGCATCAATCGGTTGCGTGCGTCCGACGACACTCGCCGGAGTGTCTCATTTGCAGTGGTCATTCTGGAGTCTGCAATGTCAAGTATCTGAGTATGGAAGGTGTTCATTGCGAACTGAGCCCGGTCACGCAGATTGTCTGCCTCACGATCAAGAATGGCGGTGCGCAAAGACTGGTCAACCTGCAGGATCAAATCTGTCAGCTCTCGACGAAGGTTGCTGATGGCCGCTTGAACCTGCTGAAAGGCATCAGCAACCTGCTCTTCGAATGTCGGTTGCGGGCTACCGCGGCTGCCAAAGATGCCGTCCAGAACACTCAAGACAATACCTCCAACTGCTACGAGAAGCGTGCCAGCCCCTGGCATGATTGCGTTGGCCACCAAGCCAGTTACTGGCAGTATGTCTCGCGTAACGCCAAGAGCGAAGCTGGTTATCTCTCGGCCAGACGGATTCTCCAGTGCAATGAAGGCCCGCGTCCTCTCGTAAATGGCAAAGCCGCCGGTCAAAACTGGGCTCAGCTTATCGGCTTGCTTCTCCAGGTCGGTCTTCTGGTTGATGTTGATCTCGTTGGCGATGAAATACACATTGGCAAGAGGCATGAAGGGCTGATCTTCTTGCAGCTGTCGAGTGCCATTAACCGCTGTGAGAAGATCTGAGCCCCCGCGCAAGTTGCCAGTTGCCTTGTCTGCGGCCACCACGCAAAGGCCTATCACGATTAGGCTCATCGGCATAGCTTCGCTTTCAACGTGCAGAAAAGCCTTGAGCCAAAAGCAAGTATGAACCTGTGGATGGGTCTCTGGATTGGACCACTTTCCTCTACGGGAACTTGCTTCAGGTTCCGTGTGCAGCCTCGCAAATGGGGCGGGGGGGGGGGGGGGCTCCTTGTTCCCAACCTGAAAAGGGTATTTTGTATATACAGGGTATTGTTTTCCTCAAAGAGACATGACCTCATTTGTCCGTGTTTGGGAGGGCTCGCTCATCGGTAAACCGAACTGCCCTCGCACCTGCCGGCAGTTTTCGGATGGACTTGGTGGAGTCGATGCGGAGCCCGTCTGCCCCGATGCCTCAGAGGGAAATCTAAGTGATAAGCCCAGCCATCTCTGCTCTCAGATCTTCATAAATCTAACAACTCCATCTGCTATATACGTATCAACTGTCAGGTTGAGCCTCGCTGAGATCTCTGTTTTCCTTAGGCATCGACTTAGCAAGAGCAGCTCTGCAGCTGCCAGGATAAACCGCTTCACCTACAGGTCTGTGACAGGCTCGTGCATAAGACACGCTACTGCCGGAATGGGCAACTTTGATGAAATGTATCTAGTCGGACTGACATAAATAGCAAGTCCTTGCAAACCCCTGGGCCACTTAAACAAATATGTTTCTTTTTTTAAGAAGCACCGGGTACGTCGGTACGTGCTGCCCTTCCGAGCCTGCGCCTTGGAGAAGTCGGGCCGTGGCCCCCAAACCGTCTCCTCCAAGGCAAGGAATGAAAGCTCGACCGGCACCTTGCCATACCGGTCCTTTTTGAGGCTGTGGGGTTGTGAAGAGAAACCCAAAGGACGAGGCATAGCCCGAGTGTATGCCATTACATTTCATGCCTCTGTAAGTTCGGGAAACAGCAACAGCAACAGCATCAGCAGCTGCAGCAGAAAAAGCAGCAAAAAAGCAAGAGCAAGAACAAGAACAACGTCGGAAACTCAGGATTGCGTACGCGGTGCCTCCGCGGCACAGAGAGAGAGAGAGAGCGAGTTCCCGGCGAATACTAAGCGCATACATAGCATCTTCAAGGCGTGCCAAAATAATAATATGAGCATGCGATGGTAACAGCGGATGACAAACAAGCAAACACGCCATCGTTAGTGCTTGATTCATGGACTTTAAGTTTCAAACTTGCACTGTGTACACTGGTAAAGTGTGAGTAATTTGTATCTGGTAATCTGCCAGCTTGCCAGACTAACAAGTCTCAAGCACCCATTCCTGGCAACAAAAAGGTCGTGCGGTTTGGCACACAACACCTCTACCAGGCACACAACGCCTCTTCCAGGAAGAGCTGTGGACCGTAGAGGAATGGTGCACCTTGGATCCCGCGAGCAAAAATTGTGCCTGTCCAAAAATATGGCTGTCTAGCCTGACAGCTCTTGAACAAGACCCATTTTACTGGTTTGGTCGACAGGAGTTTCAATGCTCCTTCCAAACTCAACTGCGTTGCTGAGAAAGAGGAAGTAAGTGAGTCTTGGAGAAGCCGGCTAAACATGAGATTGGACATGCAAATCATTCAGTAAGTGATATTAGTGATTTTGGAGGCTGTTGCTGTCCTTCCATTATGTTTCCTGACTAAGCACTCGGCCCCACATCATGTGGTTGAACACAAAATCCACGATGACAGCCAGGCCGAGCCTCGGGTGGCAACAGCTCGCAGTCAATCCAAAGATCCTCTTTGAGCAGGTGTAACAATCAAAACTATCACCTATCGTGTGCATCCAAAAAACACTGAACAATACATACTTGTTACGACAGCTAACATTACTTATTGTTGGAACATTAATTCGGCCCATCACCAACATATTTGCTGCCCGACCGACCCACCCAAGTGACCCAGGTGGCAGAAGATGATGTCTACCCAAGCAACATCAGTTTTGAGCTCAATGCCACGTTCGTGGAACACTGACATCAACAGGGAAAGCAACAATGATTCAATGGGTCTTCTGCAGCACAGCACTATGAGAACCTGGCTACAACCTTCAAAACTCAATGGGGCATGCACTCGTCTTTGCACATGACCATAGCAAGCATTGCACAAGGGTTCAGGCATGTGGGCCACCCGCACGAACTGTGCCAACTCCTCCAGCGTGCCATAGCAAGTGTCCACCTGAGTTTCGCAATGTTCAGACATTCAACAATTAAAGCAAGCAGTGAATGTACATCAGTATACTGTTTGTTTAGCGTGCAGCCTTGAAAAACGCTAATTCGCAAAAACTGAAAAACAACGGCAGCACCTGTACCATGTGGCCGCATTTCCTGGGCTGGCAATCCTCCTTCCTGATGAGATCTATCTTACCGAAAACAGCTCATATAGAAACTGTGGCTTGACGTGTCTGACCAACATGCTAAAATGGCCAACACCTGAGCCCTTCAGTGTCTGATGTTGGTCAGGGAAAGCAACATGCGCTATGCACAAGGTGCACAAGTCTGTCTGCAAGATTGAACAGCATCACAAAATGACTTGTCTCGATTCATTCTCCAGCTGTCAGCGTGCAAACTTCCGATCAAAGGCAACGACGGCGGCAAAGGAGATGACATCGTAGCCTGAGGAACGGCGGGCCAACTGCCAAGGCTGCTCCAGAGCAAACGTTCGTTCTGGCAAAAGCGTACGAAGGCTGTCTGACAAAGAATCCATGCGGTTTTCAAGTGCATAGACCTCTCCCTCGCATGTGAACACCTATGCAATTTCTATGCAAGTAAGATAAACGTAGACACATGCATATTGAGATTAACATTAATACAAACTTAGTACGCCTCTGTATGTATATATACATATATATGCATAATATATATGCATAATATATTTGCATAATATATATGCATAATATATATGTATATATGTCTATAATATATATATGTATATATGTCTATAATATATATATATGTGTATATATGTCTATAATATATATATAAATGTATATATAAATGAAGCTGAGCACTCATGCCTGCAACCCCTCGCGCTTTTATCTCATGAAGAAAGCTGGCTGCATGTCTATGTCTGATGGTGTTACAAGGAGGCAGGCATCGGGCACGCACAGCACGTGCATACACACTCACCAAGCAAGCTGAAGAGATCCACAAAGAAGTCTTCGATCGATGGCTGCCTTCAACCGCGCAGCCATCAATGTTCACGCTTCAAAGACACAGCCTGCCAATCCCAGCCAGGCCAAGCTGATTCCAATACATGTGTATATATTTATACTTTTTTGGTATGTGCATGTCTTGCAATGTGGTTCGGCTATCAATGAGGCTCTAGCCCCAACGGTCAGCTTCGCCAGTGACCATGCGCCGCCTGAGTCCGTGTGAATGCATCAAAAGCCATAGGCTTACCTCACCAGGTTAAGCGCCCAGCGCATCTTGTTGGACTGGCCTGGGACAACTCAGCAGGGAGGCATTTAGCTCCAAGTCAAATGCCATGTCCATGCTTTCAGCCAAACGTTCAGCAAGCCAAACTTGTGAGTGACAACAAATTGGAGATCCGAATCATGGAGGGTTCTCTGGCATTCATTCCTCTCAGGCTCTGACATTAGTGAAATAGCCGTGCAACCTGGCAAGTTTGCGCACATACTGCTTAATCAGTTTCATGCGTCTATGGTCCTCACGCGGCCCTGTACAAACAACGAATCAATCAATTACTACGGAATGCCAGGTACAACTCTGATATTAAAGGAAACAATCTGAGCGAACGTGCTCTAAAGTAGCCTGAAAGCCCGGCTGAGATCGCAGCCCAAGTCTCTCACGTGGGTCAGCTTTGCAGCAGCCTCCTTCAACGTACCGCTGCCTGCGCGAGATGGACTTGTATCGCTGAAAGGTTGGGGCCTCGCGTTTTGAGGACGAGGACCACCTTGTTGGGCATTTCTTTTCTTAGGGACCCTATCCAGGCTGATGTCCTTTCGGTTACCCTTCAAAACCATCCGACAAAAAGGCCCTTTTGCGAACAACCCATTTCTGTGTGAAACATGGAACTGGGGGCAAGGCTCGTAAAACTGCCCAGGTGCAGCTCATAGAGCACCAGCCTTGCACGTTGGAAGCTTCATTTCCGCCGTCAACTGGGTGGCAAAGCTGGCAAACACACATGTGCTAAGCCAAACAAGTTTGGCGCACAGGATTGACAAAACGCGCAGAAACAGACAGGACAGCGCAATGGTTGGCTTGGCAAGAGAAAGGCTCCTCTTTGGCGTTCGAATGCAACTCAACTGAGATCGGAACTCTCTATCTGCACAGCGTTGAAACGAAACTGTGGATGGCAGCGATTTCGCCTGGGCCATTGGAAAATCCAACTATCGGCGCTGGACATCTGACAATTTGTGTGTGCTCTTTTGAGGGTGCCCTTCTCACTTTGGTGTAAAGAGAACCAAACGGGGGACGCCATCCATTTTTGGGGTGTTCCCCCTGTTTTGATACATACCCATTCGCCCTCGCTGGGGCCGCCGGCAGACCTGCGGCTCCAGACGTTGGGACCAAGTGGGGCAGCGACCTAGGAACCGACACGTGGACAGGATTCTTCGAGAGGCCCTGAAAACATGAGTTGTGATGGCCAAAGTGGTTGTGTAAAGAACAACACTAAGAATGGTGTGACTGGCTGAATGCGCAGCGGAAGGCTTTTGCCTGTTGCGGCGTTGCTTGCTTCTCATGTAATTGCAAGTCGCCCGATCCCCATTTTGAGAGACACAGCAGGGCCAAGCCAGAAGGCTGTTGGGAAAAAAAAAAACGAGGCGAAGACCTCGTCGGGGGGCAGGCCGTCAAAATACCTGACAGGGAACAGGTCTACTTGGCTCTGGCTTTGCAGCAAAAACAATCAGGACAGGCCAGGCCCATACAGCAAATGAGACTTGACGTCCCAGCTCTTTGTAATGGCTCCTAATGGCTCTTTGTCCTCATGGATTCCTGGATGATTGTATGCCCAGAGCCGAGTGGACCTGTTGCGTAGCATGCGTATCCAACACATGCGACCATATTAATATGGCAAACAACGCGCAGGGTTGCTGCCTGATTCGGAAAGAGACACGCCACTCAGTTGCAGAATCAACTCTGGAAAGTTGGATCGGCAATGGTTTTGCGAACCGGATGTGACCTGGCTTTCGCGCGGCTGAGGCTGGCACCCAGCCCAGCCCAAACCTTCTTCTTGCTCAAGATAGTGCGCCTTGAAGCGTTGGGCATTCCGCAGTCGCAGCGCGGCAGGATGGTTTGTGCGCCAACTTACCAAGGTGAAAGCCGCAAACAACTGAGACCAACCAAACAGCAAATGTACTTAATGCACACAGCGCAGCGAAAAGGGGCGCCCTGGCAGACTAGCAATGGATTCATTTCGGGTGATACATCGTGCTATCCAGATTTACCAATTGCAGCCTGTGACACCTGAACTTCCAATGCACACGTGCTGTGTGCCTGGGGCTGCGGCATTAGGGTCAGCCCTCCAGTCTCTTCTGTGCCTCGGCGCTGCAGAAAGGTTGCATGATGGTGATGATAATGTGATGATGATGATGATGATGATGATGATGATGATGATGATGATGATGATGATGATGATGTTCGGCAAAAATATCCGGTTCCACACGTGCCTGTCGCCAAGCAATGGCCTTCCTTAACCCGAAACCAATTCAAGGCGAACCACAACTTGCATCTTTTTATGCTGAATAGCACCCTTAAATACAAGGTGTCTGGATGTCCGCTGCCAAGGACGCTCTGGGAGGATCAGATACTGGTGTTTGTAGAATTTCAGCCTGGACACTCAGGCGAACAAAGCACTGGAACAGCTAGTGCTGCACTGCTAGAATCCATGCATCCGAACCGTCCAAGCAACCCCACCGTCCCAACCATCCACCGTCCCAACCGCCCCAACCGTCCAACCAACCCGAGCATCCCAATAACCCAAACCATCTCCACCATCCTCGTCGTCCGTTCCAGCCATCTGACCAGCCTGACCGTTCCGAACATCCCAGCCTTCTTTTGCATCTTCTGTCTTTCATTGCTGGTTTCTTTGATTTGCAGGATTCTGTTTTGTGAATGTGTAGTCTGATTGTTGCGCCTGATTTAAGGTTCCGGCCGAGCCTAGCACATGTCATACAGCTTTCATTTCTTTACATCTCCAGAGAACACACAAATGAAGCTCCTGATCGCGGTCAACACTCTCAGCCGCGAGCACTCGCAGCGTGAACTCCGCCCCGCCATCAGTGCTGCAGTCCACAGCATCGCCGATCCTTAGCAAGCCAACTGCTTCTTCCTGACCAAACAAAATGTCAACAATTTCTTTCCACATTCTCTCAGCCGCGTGGATGCCTGTCGTGAGTCGCAAGCTCAACGGCTTGCTTTCGTCCAGAACGCGCTGCACACACTGCCAATTCCGGGTACGTTTTCTGTGGACCACTTCATTCTGATCAACTTTTCTCTCCGGGCTTCCTTGGACCGATGCCTGTTTCCATTCCGCTCTACAATTGAAACCAGCCAACCTCTAAGACTCTATGATTGCTGGGATTGTCCAATTCCCATTGCAGCTGTTTCTCTGTGCGGCGCCTGTCCGCAGAACATTGCACAACAGTCCAACCGTTCCATCACATTAGGACGAAACCAGGCAAATACCAAAGCGACAACGTTGCCGGCCCCCCCCCTGGTGCCAAGGAGTATGCATGTTTCATGGAATGCCGTTGGCAGACTTCATGGACGGGATGATTGAACAGTTTGTGGAGCAAGATTCAGCTGCGGCACATGTCTGAGACCCCGGCCACTTGCTGGGCAGGGCCTCGCCTTCAACCTGCTGCTGGCTGCAAGCTTGTGAGAGGGTGCACCAACCACACACAGCAGCTCATGACAACAGGCACAACAAACAAGGTGTGCGCATCTATACAAAGTGTTCAATCCAAAACAACGTTGTTCCGAGGCTTTGAGAGCTGCCAGGATTGAATATTAAAGATTGAATCTGCATAGAAATGCGTCAATCATGCATCTTAGATCCAAAGCAAAACATATTTGACATTGTTTGACAAACATTAATGTAGTTGGGGGGTGGCTAGGATGGAGGAATCTCTAAAGATTTAATTGCGATCTTCAATCGTAGATTCAAGGCAAAAACACTCTCGAGTTTCTTGAGAAACTTCAAAAGTGATTGAATCCTGGATAGGAAAGGATTGAAACATATCTGAATACATGTGGGAAGTGCTTGCACAATATGAGGAGTCCCTGAATACGTATGGCCTGAATTGCGAAGATGTGCAGGGAATGTGAGGATGTTGGCCTTAAACGTGACTACCTCATCTTCCTGGGATTGAAGAACCGGGCCTCAGTACATTCCCTAGCCAGAGGGAGGCGTTCAATGTATCAATACATCTTGTAATTGCATATGCTAGGATTGAAGATTCCAGGGAACCTTGTGCTGGAATCTTCAATTTTGCTTCTTCAATCCTAGATGTATTGATACATTCAATGCTTCCCACATAATTTGTCGGACCTCTTTCATCTTTCTTAGGGCTGGCGAAAACAACAACCAATCTTAAAACAGAACACCGTGGTTCGAGGTCGCCCTTCGTAAAACAACAAGGCCACCACTTTTGTTCTGAACATGGAGATAATGTTTGGAGCTGATTGATTTCGGCAGACTCAGACAACTTGGGCAACACACTTAGAGACTTAGAGGCACCGCACCAACGTTTGTCGATTTGTTGTTTTCTGAGAAGCAAACTCCGAGGCAATATTCAATGTGTCCAACACAAACTCCAGTTGTTTTTCAAAATGCCTCAAATTTGGGAAGGGATCCTACATTCCAGAAATTGGACAAACACAAGTCAAGTTATTTTCCTGGATTGATTGAAAACCAAATGGTGCTCTTACAAGAAACTGACTCAAATGGCCAGTCACTGGCACCAACTCTTTCCCGAAATCATTGGGGCTCCGCCTCGTCTGCATCGGCCTGCAAAACAAATTTGCCCAATCTGGTGGGCTTGTCAGATTCTGGTCAATATTCATGTTTTCATATGAGTTGTGTCTCAAAATAGGGAATCTCCCACATTGGTAGTTTCCTTTTAATTTCCCCTTAAACCATCCCCAAAAGGGTGGAGATGTTTTTTTTTTACTAACCCTGGCTGGCCGCATCCCCGGCATCACCAACATCACTTGGTTGCCTAGCTCTGATGGGGTGGCAGTTGGGAGTTGCTGGGGGCTGGGTTGAGTTAGGAGGGTTTTGGCTGGCTTAGGTCTTCATGAGGGTGGGTCTTGGGGATGTCAGCCCTTCGCTTCGCCTAAATCAACCCCAAACCACCCCCAAGACCCACCCTCATGAAGACCTAAGCCAGCCAAAACCCTCCTAACTTAAACCAGCCCCCAGCAACGCCCAACTGCCACCCAATCAGAGTTAGGCAACCCCAGGTCCAAGTGATGTTGGTGATGCCGGGGATGCGGCCAGCCAGCCAGCCAGCCAGCCAGCCAACCAACCACCAACCAGGGCTAAGGGGGGACCAGGGCTAGGAAAAAAAAAACACACCATCTCCCAAAAAAGGGTACCATCAAAAAAATAAACACGTGGATTTCGAGCTTTAAAGAGTGCTTCAGCTTCGTCTAGGGTCTTTCTTGTCAAGCTTTTTGTAGTTTGCACTGAAACCAAGGAGCTATCTGGCCGCACCAATTGGGCGTGGCCATTCCCTTCTGCTGTCAGAGTTCAACCGTAAAGTTGTAGCACATACGTTGAGATATACCTTTCTTAACATCCCAAGCTACAAATGTAACACGGGGCCCGGACTTTGAAGCAAATGTGGCCATGTATGCTTCTCTCGGGCCAATACGGAGCTGGATCAATATGCTTCATTTAATTCATGAAGGGCAACGCCAATCTGGGCAGTGATACCTTCCTGTTTGACGAAGGCAGCCTGCTCATATTTAGACTTTTTTACATAATATAACATATTATTGGATCACAATGAAAACAATTTCTCCCTGGCTTGCATGTCAAAAGTTGGCTGCTTATTCGCACGACTCACGGATCTAAGACAGGCCGATGCCTTATGCCCATTATCATTGAGTTGTTGCAATTGACGATGTCGCGGGATGCCTGTTGCCTCCAGAATGTGTGGCAGAGTTTTTCCGTGGGACAACTCCTCCGCGCCTTCACCTTCCGCAAGCTCAAAGGGCCCCAGCTGCCATCCACTGCCACAACCTACGCGGTAGCCCTGAAAGCCTTCGTTACCAAAGCACGAGCCAAGGCACCGACAGCGGTGGCATCATTGAAGGTAAGTCACTATAGCAATCGAGCGGCATCAATTTTCTTCATCGAAAATAGATCCAAGCCCCCGGACCTTGTGCACATCTGTCTATCTGTTTCTAAGGCTACCCAAGACGACAAGGCCTCGAGAACTGGGAGCACAAGATCGAGATATTCGACAAATCTGACGGAGGAATTGATAGTGAGAGCCTATTCCTGCCTGCGCGCCAGCGATGACAACTCGAGGGGCAACTAGCAAACCTGGGCCACTCCACCAATTCAGTCACCAGGCATGATGAGGCACGCAGTTTGGGTGAAACAGGAACGGGTTGCCAGCGTTGGAAGCTGGAACTCACATAAAATAAGCTCTGGCTTGCAAGAAATACCAAGTCAAGCTCTGGCCTGTGGACTGAGTACTGGTCAAAGTTGCGCATGAAATAGAAAGGGTCGCAAGGAATCTGAAACTCTGCTGCAAGATGCCCGACCAAAGATGTACCCTGCACTGCTCCGTCCCACCGGAGACCTCTCGGCTAAGCGTGAGACTCAGCCTCACTCCGCAGCCGTCAGTGACAGCAACAGCAAGGTTGTCGATTGCCTGTGCTTGGACACTCCCATGCGAAGTTCAAAAAAGGGAGGCAGGGAACGTGAACAAACTACGACATCCAGGATGGGCACACTGAGTGTGCTTCATTGTAAAGCCAGTACTTCTCGAGGAATGCCAACATGTAAGCGGATGGCCTCCAAAAGAAACTCAGACAGACCCATCCGCTCGGAGTCGCTCTTCTCCTGAGTACTCGCCTGGATTGCAAGGTAGTAGCTCGGATGAAAGAAACACTCAGGGTGAAACTAACCTGGCAATCCTGACCAGGACAGCAACTAAAACTCCAACGGTCTGAACTACATGGATTTTCCACAGCATCAAAGTGAATTGAAGCAGGGCTGGCGGTTTGGCATCCCGAACGTTGACACACCCTTCCCGTTGCTTATAGCGAGCAGTTGAGCGTTGCTGCATGTCTCGCAAAGCATCAAGAGGGTTTAATGCATCGCAGCCAACTAGGCCCAACCTTGACAAGGTAAATTGCAGCTGCGACACCGCATGATGAGCAGGCCTCCTCTTGTTCTGTATCCTCTGCCTGAACAACATGTGGCAAGTCAGAGGTGCCTCATGGCGTGCGCTCCGTTGGGTTCTCTGCGCCACTGTGGGAGTCGGTGTCAAAGTGGAATACGCCGTGCTTACGCTGAGCATCCAACTACATTCCAACTACAACATCAGACATGCGCCTGTGCAATCTCTTTCTGAATGATTTTGGTTTTTAGCCACTGTCTATTTACAGCAGCTCTTCCAGACTCATCTCAATTGGACCCATGCTCTGTGTCACTGATCAGTAGAGTTCATTCTGGCTGTGTCGGGCCTACACACGGATGCCTACGCGATGTGTAAACTCATGGAAGAGCACCTGCGCAAGCCTGGGAGGTGCCTACGCGGAGTGCATACGCGAAGTGCCTACGCCGACTCCCGGGCGCTGTTGAGACTTGACGCACCTGAACTGGTCATAGAACACGAAGCGGTGCATGAGGCGTACGCCGATGGCGATCTTGAACAGCCCACGCGGACTGCCTACGCAATCCTTCTCCCAGCCAGTTTTGCCTATGAGGCCTCTCCAGCACAAAGAGAGCTAAAGGATTACATTATGGAAAAACAAGCCTGCTCACGTGGTATGCTTGCAGTCGCCTTTCAAGTTCCAAAACTCCTAGATCAGCAGGAAGTCTTCTGAGGAAACTTGCTGCATCCGGCATGTGGCAACATGTTACAAGTCTGCACACCAGATACAGCAGTCAGGGCTTCAAGTTCAAGTTCAATGATTTGTGTCCAGTCTGCTTGGCAATTAGCATCCTGCCGGGCAGTCCTGTGTTCAAGCGAAGCCCACTTGACGAATGTTGTAAAACAAAAGGGGCGCATCGCCTTGAAGCCCACCATGGGCGAAGCAACACAGAGCCGCCAAACGCCGCAGCCTTCTTTCCAAGCTGAAGTGCAAACATCCAGCCTTCGCCATGGCCGCCTCTGAGCCCGCGCCCACGCTGGAGGCGGCAGCATCCCTGATTGGCGAGCCAGATGAAGATTGCTGGAGGCACCACAGCAATGGCCAAGGGCTGAATGCCAAACATGCAGCTCATTTGTATTTCTTTGCACGGCTGATTGGAACTTGTGCAACCACAACAAAGCAACCTAAAGCACTTGCCTGTCAGCAACTACAACAGGCTATCCAAGGCACACGCGAGTCATGGTGGCAAACATCTCTCTCACATCGCATGGATTTGTTTTGCAGTCATCACCTACATAATGTCAACAGCATACCCTTCCAGAACTTAGTATCTGACATGTCAAGCATTGTTAATGGCCAACACGTGTAGTGGAGGATATGTGCTGGCGGTGACCAGGGCATCTGCTGAGGCTCAGCATGGATTCCCTCGAGTCCCCCGGCGCTTCAGGGTCGGTGGACTCTACACCTGAAAATGCATCCCGGCAACAGCTACGCCGGCATTGACGCATTCACCCCATTTCCCCGTTGACATCCTTCCATGTTTCACTTGCACGGGATACCATCGGCTGGATGACATCTGCCGGATGCTGAGTGCCGCGCAGGGAAGGTCCTTTGGTTGCAGGCCCACCTATGAGGACAATGGTGGGCCAAAACCATGGATGCCCTTGGCATGAATGCACTACAGTCACTACACCAACGCCATCCGTCTCGAATGAACTTTCGTTACGGTCTATGTGCACCTCTTCCGCCTCCGGCTGTGGCGCGCCGAAGGCCGAAAACCTCGCGGCCCGTGCCAAGTGTGCTCCAAGCATGCCACAAGTGCTGACCATGATTAAGAAAGCACGCAAGCAGCCAGCTAGTTCTTCAAACAGCTCACCAACAAACCAAGGGCTTGCACAGTTCGCTGGAAGGCAACAAACAACCTAACTGGCTCACTACTTGTCGCCAACAGTACTTAGCTGGCCAGGTAACAAATGATTTATGCAGGAAGCAACCATGAACTAAAACGACCTAAACGGCTACCTAGCCGATTGCCGTGGACCAACTAACTGATGAACTAGTCAGCTTGCAGTCTGATGAGCCAGCAGTTGCGCAAGTACCCAATTAATGAACTAGCTAGTTCGGAAGCTAGCGAGCTCATGAGCTAGCTAGCCAGTGAATAGCCAGCTACTAGTAAGGGACTTCTAAGTAGGTACTGGATTGGCTCGTTGAGTAGGTAGCCATTTAACTGATATCTGATGATCTCACTCATTCAGTGACTAGCTAACTGACGAGCAATCTCACTAACAGTTGGCCTACAGCGCCAAAGCTTGGAATGTTTGCGGGCCATTTGCGGCACATAGACTTCTCCAACAAACCTGCTTGCATGGTCCTGCTATGCGGCATCTTGACTGCACTTGCTCCTCGGATTTGTTTACTCATTCAATGGGCTTGCTCTTGGGAGATGCTTGTCCCCTTGACAATCGAAGTCATTCAAAATGATGTTCTATGATGTTCTACATTGCCACTGCAAAGGCCCCAGTGCTCAACACCTGGAGGCAACAGCGAGCATGACATGTTCATCCGTCCACTTCAACCGGCCTAAACCTAACCCCATTGACGATGAAGACGTGACTTCGAACGCCATGAGCTAGGCTTTCACAAAAGCTTCAAAGCCAATTTTACAGGAAACAGTGGACGGTCACTCAATGCCCCAAGGCCCCTGCCGGCCACAATGTCGGAACCTTGCCGCACCACATCCAGCTGGTCATGTTCAATTTGTCGTGCAACGTAACATCCACAACAGAATCTCCTGTGAAAATGTTTTCCTCTTGCCCCCATGCGATGTCAACATGCGAATCCTTGGACTGCATTGGAGCTGAAAAAACTGCTTTGCATCTTGGACTCAAACACTTTGCTCTTTGGTGTAGGTACCACACTCCTGCACCCATTCGGCCACGAAGGAATATGCTTCTCCTGCCCAACTCTGCAATTCGGAGAGATGACCAATGGACGGTGTGGAACGATCGGATGAAGGCAATGACTGCTTTCATGCAGTCGTCATTCTGGCAAGCCCAAGTCCGATTTGCCTGATTCCATTGAACAATCATCTTCCTGTGAACCTTACGCTGCTTTCACAAACTGGCGCCTGCTCCCCCTTCAGTCTCTAGCCGCCAAAAGCCAGGCTCCGAGGCCTGGTCGGCTTGCTAAAGCTCCAATCGAATTGGATCGATGTCTCACTTTTGGGTGCCTTGGGCTGCCCTTGCCTACTTTGTCAATGTCAAACGCGATACAAAGTACGGAGTGTTGCTTCAAGTATCTGGATTGAAAGTTCCGAACGGCCTTGGCCAATCTATCACTTTTATATAATTCATTATCAGATACAAGTTCATTATCAACCATGTCATTTGTTTGTCTCAAAGGTTCGGAAAAATATAGTCTTACACAACTACAATCATGATCATCATGATCATCATCATTATCATTATCAGTATCAGTATCAGTATCAGTATCAGTATCAGTATCATCATCATCATCATCATCATCATCATCATCATCATCATCATCATCATCATCATCATCATCATCATCATCATCATCATCATCAGCAGCAGCAGCAGCAGCAGCATCGTCATCATCATCATCCTTATTACCAATATTGTATTTAGCAAATATACTAGCAAGTGTTCTCCCGTGACGGGGACACTGGTTCTGCAATCGCAAGACACAACATTTGCTCTTCCAGTTGGAAAGGCAGGGCATGGCAGGGCAATGCAGCCTTCTCCATGGGCAAGCTCTTGTCATTGCTCTTGAAAACCAGCCTGCCGTTGGCCACTTTTGATGCACTCGTTTGACATGTCGGCAATTCATCACTAGTATGCGGGAATCTGTGCACCAAATTAAGGAGCAGGCCAAGCGCGAGTCGCATTTGGGTCCTAAGCTGTGCCCAGTGGATTCTGAATACCCCAGGCATGTAAAGAGATATGATCTGCTTTGCGCAAGTCAATGTCTTGCTGAATCTTGTGCTGGAGTAGTGAGAACCCTTCTACAAATCCTCAGAAACACCTCAGGCAGCAGCCCAGTACTCGTACACTCGCTCCGGCATTTGCCCTTTTCGGACACGTTGGTGCGCGGTCCTGCACGATGAGCCCAGCAAACTCAACAAGGTCAGGTGTAGCGCGCAGTATTCCGAGTGCACGGTGGTGACGCCCTTTCCCAGCGCCTGGGCTACAAATGGCGCCAGGCTCATGCGCCGCACTTTCCGGCTGCAGGAACTACGGAAGCTTAACTCCTAGGACGTGGAAAGAAATGGCCCTAGCCCACGTGCAAAGTAACGCACCCTTGCATTGAGTTTCAAGAAAAGCAAAAAAACAAAAACAAAAAACATGTGCACACATGATGAGCGCAGTCTAGTGAGCTTGCTCACAAGCCAGCCACACTGAGAGTCAATGGCCTCATGTCGCTTCTTTCTAGATATATTAGCCAAAAATGCTGTGGAGCCGTCGGATGCGAGCGGCCGGGCGAGTGAAACAAATGCAGACATGGGCTGACTCGTCATGTTTCCAGTGGAATCAACAAGGTTGGTTGCCTGTGGCCTGTCTGTCGCAACAACTGCCTAAGATGCATTGGTATCACTTCAAGTGCCTGAATGGTCCTGAACTGAATCCACTTCCTAATTGAACAGCCAAATTCATCCATGCACGGCTTCTCTCAGGGTACCCTTCTGCGGTTGCCCACATCCCAAAGACTGAGCCTTGGGATAAACTCTCGGCACCCCACCTTGAGGCGGTCCAACAGGAACCGCTCAGCGGCAATGAGGAGATGCACTGCCAGGTCAGAGGAGATGTCTCCCACCTCCGAAGCCGCCCGAGAACCCGAGTCGATCGAGAATTCGATCTGCATCGAAGGTTTAGGGCACCACCGCGTTTTGGGGAAAAAAGAGGGCAACCAAAAGGAAACCAAAAGGAGGGCTCAGGAGGGCTCCCTGGATAATACTTGACACACACACGCACTGCTTAGCTTTTACATGTCATTTTGTTTCACATGCCCATTCAGATCTTATATGGGGGTTTGGTGTGTTCACTATTTGGCAGGCAGGTGTACATCATGGGCTTTGTGCGGGGCGAGGTCTTCCTTCAACAAAGTCATAGTTGATGGAGAAACCAATGCAGTCATGGATTGTTATGCCTGAGGCAGTGAAGCAAGCACGGCTGACATGGCATGCCCATTCGCACAACGAACCTTCGTGAGGGTTCGAGAAGTTGTGTGGCGGGGGTTCACAGAAATACTAGTCAGGCGATGCATCATGTGAAGCTGGAGGTGTCTTGAGAATCTGACAACTTGCGCGATGACTCCATCAGCATCACCGACATGCTCTCTCACAACGCGCACACACACACACACACACACGCATCGGCCTGGTCAGTGTAGATATACCTGCAGAAGCTGCTCTGAAACTCATGCATTTGCAGCCCAGTGATTTGAAGCCGATGCTGCTAACCGTTAAATATCTCCTTCAAGCTCTTAAGTGAGCATAACCACTGTTTGGCTGAAATCTGTTGGTGCGAACCCCCCCCACGACAGTTGAAGATGTGCTGCCAGCCTGCTCCAGCCAAATTGCTGACTCCCTAAGCAGACCCTAACACACATGCCGCTCCCCTCTGCTCTTCTGAGGTGCGTGCTCTAGGAGAAGCAGAAAGACCGGGTGCGCCACGTCCTGTTAGACGCAGTCGGACCGCTGCCAGGTGCCCTATCCCTTCCTTTGTTTCAAAGGCTCTCAATCACGCAAGGCCTTGGCGCCACCAGGTCAAACCATTCAAGCCAAGAACTTCAATACGTATCTAAAACAAACTCAAGCTTGTGTCAATTTAGCACAATGGCCTAAGACTTGATCAGTGCGTTCACAGAAGGCCTCAAGACCCTGCAGACCCACAACATGGCTGTAGCCTGGAGCACTATCTGTCCAGCATCGGACCTGGGAGGTCGAAATCTGAAAGGACTCAGTGCTCTGCATTCGAGACATGGTATACAACTGATGTGGGTCCGTTTGACTACAAGTTGATGCGGCCGTTGACCATCTAACAATTCAGGACTCCTGAGAAGCTGACTGCCAGACACGCTAGTGTTTGGACTGTAAGGGGAGCATCCGCAAACAGCAAGACAACATGTGCATGTTCTCTGGTTCCATAATCTAGCTTGCTGGCAACACTCTTTCAAAGGATTGACCGGACAACACTCACACAGCTATGTTTTTGAGATTCATCGCTTCCCCCTAGTAGTAAATAGGGTGTAGCATGCTTAGCACTGGGACAACTGTTACAGAATACTCATTCTCCTTGGTTCGGGTGACTCTGCTTGTGGCTTATCCATCAGCAATGAATCCCAAAGAGTCCCAACATGCCACGCTAGGCTGGCTGGCGATTCCCGCATGCCGCCGTAGAAGAGCGCCCGGAAGTGTTCCGAGCGGGCTGCCAAGTGCGCACGCCTGCGAAACCAAGACACTGCGACAAAGATCCACAGCTTAAAGACTAGGGTGCGACAAAAGGCCAAACAGGTCCAGGAGCTGCCAAACCATATCATGCAGGAACCATCATATCGTGTGAAGGTGTGAATGGCTAACCCAAGCCGCCTCTTTGATATTATCCTTCCCACTCATTGTCACTTTGAAGCATTGCTGCATTCCTTTTGCGCCCAAATCTAACATGCTCAACACAACAAGCAGTTCAATGCTGATATCAAAGGCGTATCATATCCGATATGCTGGCATCCACGAGCATCCATGTCATGTCAACCAGCTGTAAGCTGGCACCAGTGGATCTTTCGGCCTTGCCAACTGATCTTGAAAACACAAGCCGTGTGAAAGTACAGATCTTGGAACCCCGGTGCTGCCGCAAGGCGCAGGATCATGGAGACTCCACGCCTGATCTGATACTCTTGATTTTGCGCTCAGGCCCACGCGTGGCATAAACCGACTGGTTTTCCACGAGGAATGTCACCTTGCCACATGTTCAATGCCATGGGTGTGCACAGACTGGGCAATCTTCGGTTCGAGTAGACAAATTCGTGATCTGAGTCACTGAGAAAGGGCTGCGCAATACAAGCAACCCTGGTACTGGTACTCGTGTGTGCAAGTCGAGCGCGCGGCATCTGCAAAAGCTGGGTTGTTTATGAGCTTCCGCAGGTCATCCACCAAATTGCTTGGCCTCGATGCCCAGGTTTCAATCAATAGGCAGGTAAGTAGCGGGAATCGCCTGCTGCACGCAAAGGTTAACAGGTTGACACAAGCAAGCAATGGAGCAAGCAAGCAAGGCAGGCAAACAGGCAGGAAGGCAGGTAGGCAAGCAAGCAGGTGGCAGGCAAAGCCGGCGTCCCAAAATATCATGCTTTTGCACATGTGAAACTGTGACAAGGGCACAGGCAGCTCTAAGAACTTTAGCTCAAGCTGTTGGCAACCCAACCCAGCTTGGTGCGCCACGGGACGCTCACAGGCTCGAATCGGAACTCATAGAAGTCATTCAGCACCTTGGCGAGGGAAGGGATGGCCTCGAGTTCCAAGGAGCGTCTTCCAGCTCAAGGGTTTTACCATGTGCTTGGCCGTGGCTGCTTGCCAGGTTGCGACTCGATCACGTGGGTGCCTTTTGAATGGGTGTGTTGCTTCCCTGCACGTCAAGCAAGATTGTTGAGCTCATAATTACCAACTCTCAAAGTGGTTGGTTGTTGCTAGCATCCTGTCAGTTCTTGCCAAAGAGCCAGTGGAGAGCATCTTGCTCGTCGGGGGTGCATGCTGGGCATGCCCAATACATTCTGAAGAGCAGTTTGTTTCTAAAGCACTTTGAATCGGAGGCGGCGATGAGCATAGACGGATGTGCCGGAATCTGAACCCTGCTTATGCTACCCGCTACGCAACTCGCATTTTCCACCAATCGGAATCGAAGGTCCTGGTGCCCTTCTGCAAGACGTGCTGGTGCCACCAGGCGGGCCGGAGGCAATCCAGCGAGTGAAGCTCACGCAAGGCACGTGATGTCGGTGAGGGCCCAGCTGCCTGTGAGTGTTCCCTTCAATTCTCGTTCCAAATGTGTGGTGCTCACCTCCAAGCGCTGCAGGCCGCTTTCGGTCCTGAGCTTGGCCCAAGGCAGGGCAAGGGGAAGGGACTGCAGGGTTGACCATGATTTGAAACAGAGGGAATGCCCAACAGCTTGCATTTTTGTGGAAACCTTGCAGACCACAATCCCAGCAAAGAGCTATCATATTGCAGCAACTACTGGGCATCTCCTTCTCGCTGTGATCTCACTGACCGGGTTGCAGGGGGCTTTGTCATCATTGGACTAAACTAGGAGGGTGCAGGCACCTCCAAGATGCTCATGAGGTTTGTCGAGAGTCAAGGCCTTTCATTGACACATGATGGAGGTTTACCCACATTTGAGGGAGCCGTCTCTATATACCATTCCAAACCGCTGATGCTGTGCCATGTACAACTGCCCTTTCTTTGGAGGGGTCTCTGCAAGGACGGATTGCCTATTTCGAACTTAGCTCACCATCAGGCCAAGAAACGCCAGAAAGGCATGAAACCCGCCGCTGCATGGTACCAACAGCCCGATTTGCCTGCATACGTTGAGCTCCCGGATTGGGACTCTGAACTTGTGGCAACCAGATGGCACCTGGTGGGCACAAATGATTTGGTGGGGTCAGCCTGGAGTGTGGCCGAATGCAAAGTGAAATCCCACAGAGAGTCTTCAACCCAGCTTAGACTTGAGCAGGAGCGGGTGGACGAAAGCTAGCAAACAGCAGAATCTGGAGCTTGCGGGACAAGAATAAGGGGCACAACAACTAAGCCGCAAGTAGTGAAGCGCCGAAATGAACAAGCAAAGCCCCACTGCCGACTGTTGCCTCAGCAGACCCCGGGACTTGCAATCTGGGTGGTTCGTGGGTTGGAAAAAGTGGCTGACCCAAGCGCGAGCTTTGCAAAGGTGCTGCGCATGCGCAACAAAGAATCTTGTATGCACGCAGAGCCTGCTGATCGAAAACATCTTTTGCCCAAGCCCGTAAGCCGTTTTGCGTTTGTCCAAGAAGCCCAATTAGTCCGATGCCCGACGTGCAACGTAACATTAAGCAAAACACGTCATCTGCCAAATGGTCTCCAAACGTCCAAGCAAATTGATTCTATTTCCGCTGCGTCGGCCCAAATCACTTTTGAAATCAATCAGTGGGGATTCAACCCACGCACTTGCCTGCGAGTGTATACAGCTAGCTAAAGCTAGCGAGGAAGGAACGAGCTTCGCATGGCAGCGTCGCAGAGTTCCAAACGGACCAATTCCGATTTCCAATGGGATCTGAAGCTCCAGGCCTTCAATGACTCGTTGTTGTGTGTTTTTTTTTGTATTCTCATTTACGTGCAAACAAAATGCACTCGCATTTTGTGTGGCCTGCGCGAGGAATTGAACGCGTGCAAGTGTGTTCAATGTTTGGAAACCGCATGCGCGCAATCTTTTTCAAGTTGCCGATCGTGCAAGGGCTTCTTTGCTTCTTTGCCACAAGCATGCGCTCGGATTCCGTGCGACCGGCGCAAGGAACAAGACACTTGCAGCTGCTGATCAGGCGTTGGACCAAACTTCTCAGAAGGCTTGCTTACAGCAACTTGCACCGAGCAACTTGCGCAGAGCAATTTTGCACAAAGTGTCAGTGGCTCGCAAAACATGTTCTGCGGGGCACAGCTTTCGTGCGTGTGCATGAAACGGCTTGGTCGTGGGGGGGGGCTGTGGCAGCAGGCAAGGCAGGAATTGGGCGATGACCTAACAGTCGAGATCCTACCATGTGGATGCTGCCGGCAAGAGCAGCAAGTGTGTGGGCTGGCAAGCAGGACGCGCGCATGTATTACGATGAAGGACAGACCAAAAGCGCCACAGAAGCTGCCCCAGCTTCGAAGCTCAAAGGAAGCCTGTGCGGGAGGAGAACAGTCGAAACAACAAAGCTCAACATAAAATCACGGGACTGCTTCGCCAACTTGAAGAATCGAGATAGCAAAGGCGAATTGTGAAAACGGGGCGAGAACAGGATGATAGCGAAAGAGGCGCGAGAGCCAGCGCAGCAGCAGGACGAGACCTACAGAAAGACGGAAACAACCGGAAACAACCGGAAACAAACATATGAGCCAAAGAGCTGGCCGGGCAATGTGATGGTGAGCATGAACAATTCCGCTATTACCCCCTCCCCCAACACAACTTCGTTGCATGAGGGTGACTGTGGAACAGTTCAAGATCGCCATGCAAAAATGGCAAAGCGCAAAATGTGCAAAATCAACAGGGCAGCAAGTGGCGACGTCGGCAAAAACAACTATGCAAGGCTTACTGCAACTTGGGGAAAATGCTATCAACTTTCATGAGCTCCTTCGCGAGTAAAATAAAAGCAAGTTGACAAAAAAAGCAAATGCACATGCCTTCACGATTCACAACAACATACCGCAGCTTTGCAATGCACACCAGGTACATAAAGCGAGCTTTGCGGCTCTAGCTGACAAACTGCAAGTGTTCAAGCATTGTACGCAACGATATTCTGGCAGCTCCCGTTCAATCATCACAGCTTCTCGGTGCAAGTTCAGTACACACAGGACGACTTGAACATGCTTGCTTGGCCACATTGCCTTGTTGCTGCAGGTTCTGACTGGAAGCAAATATTTGCAGGGCCCAAATTCAACAGGAGGCATGCTTGAGGCAATATGACAACTCTTCATCTTGTATGTCCTGTTTTTGTCCATCCCTGGCTGGTCCCCGCCACCCTCACAAGCAATCTGCTTTCCGCAACCCTAAAGCCACGGTGCCTGCAACACGTGGATTTCCCAACCACTTTCATCAATACCAGCAACCAAATCGTCATTCACGAAGGCCTCAGCTAGCTCATGCTGTGGCTGCTGTTCTTCGACGAAGCAACTTCAGCCACTTGCTGAATTGAACCATGCGCAAAATCAAGGGCTCGAAATGGAATGACCCAAATGACGACTGGCCACCATGTTGTAGATGCCACTCGTTCCAAGGTCTTCAATTTCGAGGCCTGAGGACGAGCTCCAAAGCGTCACAGTCTCCCAGTTGGGCTCGCGGGTAGCCGTCAAAACGCTGCGGCCATCCGGAGAAAACAGCGCTGCAGTGAAGAAGCCGTCGGTTTCCTGCTCCAAACTGCACTGGCGCTCGCCAGTTTCCACTTGCCACACTGAGGGGTGTCTCGCCTAAGCTCGCAAGTCACAAACAGACTGCGACTGGGCGGCAGCATACGATGACACGGTGCCATTAGTGGCAAGCTTCATCATCGCCCGCGACTACAAGGAGAGCTCCATCCGCTGACAAACCGATGGGAGCTGGGCAATCGTGAGCCGTGAAGATGCAAGCTCTGGACTCGATGTCCCAGATCTGCACTTTGGCATCGTGTGCGACAGCCAATATGCTGCCACCTGCGCCAAATGCAATACAGTGAAGGCCAGGCAAAGCCACAGCATGATCCAGTTCAAATTCTGCAACCACTCTCTCCTGCCGGGGTTGCCCAATGAATGTGTCCAAGGTTAGCCGCTTGAACAGTACACCCAGGAATACACACTCTGCAACCCATGATTGGATGTTGTGCCCCTCCCCTTCATGGCACAATTCGTGGGTGTCATAGTTGACTTACACAAGCCGCAAATTGCGGGACACTCAGCACAGGATGACCCCGAAAGCGGTGTGCCTGCCACACTTGCACCTTTCCCTGGACGCTCAGAATGGCCACCTGAGCGACTGTCTGTGACTGCCTCATGGACTGCAGAGAAGGCATTCCTCACTTGGGGCATCCTCTTGTCGTTCCCATGTCAACGAGCATCGTATGACTCCCGGGTGACAAGCTTAAGAGCCAGATTGGCTGGCAGTCAGCATTGACATCCAACCTCATTTCGATCACAATCCTCTCAAAGTTTCTTGCAGCCTTCTTCGCCAGGGTTGTTCACGCAAACATGGTCTCACTTTGAAACCCGGGCGGCCTTTGCTTTTCCTTTAAGGGGGGGTCACAAAAAGGCAACCGCCTTCCACTAACCAACATGACAGACAAACAGCACGCAGACCAAATCAGTGCGCTGATTCCCCTGCTTTGCTGAATATGTGTGCTTCATTCATTATCCCCACAAAAAGTGCCTCAGCCATTCATCGGCATGTGAACCAACCAAGTGTGTGCCATCATGTCGCTTTTGCGACGTTGGCTTTAGCCACCAGTTGGCGATGGAAGTAGTTGCGTATTTTCCTTTGGCACAACTCTCCTGTGAATAAAATACCGATTATTTGCGAGCAACATAATATACTTCACTGTTCAGCAAGACAAGAAACCACATCATATCCCAAGGAAGCGACAACGCGTACTGGGCTTTAACCGGAATCAATTCCGACAGATTAACATGTTCACCACTGAGCTGCCAGCTTGCTCAACACATCAGAGAAACCCAAGAAATCCAAGAAATCCGCCCAAGACATATTCTGAGAAACCCAAGAGATATTAGACATATTTCACCACCAGACAGACACCAGACACCAGACACCAGACACCAGACACCAGACATCAGACACCACACACCAGACACAGGCCGAGGCGCGCGGCCACTGCTTCGCTCCATGGCCACGGCGTGCGCATCTTTCGCCAGCTCCCTGGTGCCCAGCAGCGCCACACCGCCGCTGACCGCGCAGAAGCGCGACGGCTCAAAGAGGAGCTGCACCTCACGTAACATGGGCCAATCGGTCAATGGGTCTGAATCTCAATTTGCCACCGCCAAAGTCTTTGACCTGGAATATCCCTGCATCCGCTAAGAGACGCCTTCGCTTCTGAGGGCTTTGGTCCTGAAAGGATCCTCGTTCTAAAAAAACATCATTGTTTTGGTTTTTCCTACCCTACTCCACTCCAGCACATATTCCTGATACAAAAAAATGGTGGCTTCGAAAAAGGAATCGGTCCCCTGGAACGGTTGGTTTCCAATTGATTCCCTTTTTAACACCAACCAAAGGGCAAGGGAGTCCACTATTTTGGGAAACACTCATGTTCCCCCCCCCCTAATGCGCAGCTGTCGCGTTGGTTTCCCTTCTACCCAAACCCAAAAAAGGCATCGGATTCTCACCAAACGGGTCAACCATGTCAACCCCAAAAAGGCGAGGGTCACTGGGCAACTCTGGGTCAACGTTTGGGACCTTACGTCTCTGCGGCTCAAAACACACAGCCGGTACAGCCACACAAGTCGCCGAAAGAAGCCCGCAAAACACGCGTGTAACTGTGTAACAGAGTGTAACACGCGAGGAACTCAAGGCATCCAATTTCAGGGGCATATGAGATTGCAACACTTCAATACGCATCGCGCCTCCAAAAGAAAAGAACCCACAAACCCGAACGCAAGTTTGGGGGCCAGAAAGGAGTGGCGATTTTCGGACCCGCGGCTTTCGTTGACGCAGTGGCTGCAACAAGGCTGCCATCCTACCACGCAAAACCTTCACTTCATGATTTGTGCCCACTTGCAAGGCAACAGTTCTTCCCCCCTCTTGCCTTCTCTCTTCTCTCTTCTCTCTTCTTTTTCTTCTCTTCTCTCTTCTCTCCATTGTCTTTTCTCTTCTCTCTTCTCTTTATGGAGCACGCATCTCCTGTCACGTCTTTCGTCGCTCGTCACGCCTCGTCACGCATCCGGCCATGTTTCTCCTCGCGTCTCTTGTCACATCTCAGCACGCGCCGCCCCAAAGCGCTGCGCCTTCTACGGAGTCTGCCAGGCGCAAAATCCGCACCACGCTCTGCTCTCAAGCACTGCGCCTGTCACCAAACGCCACGAATAGCTCGAAAGCGCCGTGCCTGCCACGAAATCTGAACAAAAAGCTTTGATGCGCCGCGCCTGTCACGCAAAGTAAGCTTGCCGCGAACTCAACATCCTGAAAAGCACTGCGCCTGTCACGAAATTCACGTGTGACACGTTTACGACACTCAGCCAACATCTGCACGGGACTGCGGTGCCCAGAATGACTCGACCCTTGGCAAATTTCAAGCTCACGTAAACGAGCCGATTGGACGACAGGGCCAACGAAAATGACGCTCGCGCAAACTTGCACGCGCCTGCCTGGCAAAACAAACACGAACACACGACCTTCTAAAAAAACTGCGCCTGCGCAGCAAAACGACGCGTCGAGCTTGCGAAGTCTCGATTCCCGCACAGTCAGTCAGGGCCAATGAAAACAGGACTTGCTGATCCATCAAAACACGGATCCACGACGGATCCCAACAGCACACGCATATCGCCTCGCCGCGAGCGGTTGCGAACTGAGGGACAGCTCCTCACGAACACGGCCTCCACCCCCAAACCCGCACTTAAAACAGGAACCCTTCGCTGCGCATTCGGGAAAAAGAGAAAAAAGGTGGCTTTCCCTTTCTTTCCTCTTTCAACCAACGCCAACAAAGGGTGCCGAGCCTCAAGAACAGAAATGCGGACCCTCACGAGACCGGGTCTTTCCGATGGGCCTCGCCGGCTTCAAGCTTCTCCAACTCAGCCTCCTGGATCACCTTGCCATCGAGCAGAAGACGCGGCTCGCTGCCAGGAGGGCACAGGGCGCGCACTGCCTTACACGTTACCACGCGTGGGCTAGGGCTAGTACTGTATCTAAAGAAGAAAAAGACAGCAATTAAATGTCAGATCCCTGCACAAGCTAAACTTCAATGTATAAAGTTATTGTAAGAATAGCGCTGTGTTGCTTTATTTGGATCATCGTCTGGCCTCCAGGGAGACTGGTGGCGCTAGCTGTGCAAGCACATCGCCGGAGACCGCGTGGCACAGCGTGAGAGGTGCCATCGGACGGCGGGGTCCGGAAGCGGTCGAGACATGCAATTCTGGGGGTTGTTGGAAGATGCTGTTCGGTCGGCATGGTCGTATTGCCAAGTTGAGACTTGAGTCGAAGGACATGCATTCTGCAGATGAAGGCATGATTCGGGAGGGGCGATCATGTGTGCTTGATGTTGTTCCGACTGAAAGAGCTGGGCAAAAAAACAATAAAACAATCACGAGATGCCACTGCCTAATACTCAAGTTTAAAACGCACGCTATCTGCTCATATTCTTACCTTGCCTTGAGGATTTGTCAGCAATGGCCTCCCAGCCACTAGCCCGTAGTGTTGCCTTGAACATTGGATCATGCTGTGGCGAGGACTATGCTGCCATTGTAGCCGCCGAAGACATACAGCGAGTTGTTGAAGACCTGCCGTCGAGCTAGCCAGGCCAGAAATCTTCCGCCGGGTGGGTTTTCCACACCACCATGCATGTGTTCCACAAAAGGGTGCAGTTTGCTCAGACATTTGAAGCGCACCTCAACAAGAATCAGATCAGTGGGAACATTGACAGTCTTGTAAGAACTTGCCAATGACATGTGTTTGAAAGGGATTGTTTTATTAACCACCGAGAGGTAATTGGAAATCTGTCGCCCAGTTTCAGCTTGTTGGTGGCGCGAACCAGTGAGACTATATTTATACGGTGAAGCCTAGTTGCTTGCGATGTGAAGTGGTCAAAACATAACGATCGTACAGCGGTGACACGGGTGAGTGAGGTGTCGCCGAGCGCCACTTGCCAAGAGACATGCTGGAAACAAAAACATGATTATTAATAAGGAAGGGTGCCTCACTTCAACGGGGAGCGTTCATTTCTGGACAAACACGCTGTCACAAGGTTTTTGTTCTATCGGGAGCAAAATCGTAAGCCTTTTGTAAGTACCTTAAGACTGTGGAGAGCCATATCCGCCAAACTCTATTGGGAAACGTGCTCGGGAATCGTGACCCCTCGTCTGCGAGTCATATTATCTATAAAGATATAGCGCAGTGTTCAAATGAGCCGTCTCCAGCATGTCAGGCACAACATGCGGGAACCCACCTCTGAAATCAGGACGCATACAGGGACGATATCCGCTGTACCCCTGACTCTGTCAGAATTTCATTGCACTCGCCTCTGCTACTAAAGATGACCTGCCACTTGGCGGATCCTCTGTGCTTAGCACAAACCTGAGCTGACGCTGTAGACTCTGCAACAAAGCCAAGTTAGCTGCAAGCCTCGCTATCGTGGAGTTGGCTAAGCACCCTGCGAGTTTTGGTGGGTTAAAATGCAATGCTAAAAAACTCGCAAACACTGATTGAGTAGAGAGCCAGGTGTGACAGTCAAAGCGGAACTCGTAGAGGTCGTTCAACCTCTCCTTCAAGCTGCCCCTTGACCATGCTGACATGTAGCAGTGAAAAGCAGCATAGTTGTTTTTGGGAAATGTTGAGAAGAGGAATTTACTTGCAAACAGCGGGTGAAACATGTTCCTCCCTTCTGAAGCTTGCTCCGATTCATGGCCATCTGGCTGCTGGTAACTAACAAAAACGTGACTAAGACTTTAGAAAGTAAAGCTCGCAAAACTTGGCAGCTCCAGCTTGGTATGCCAAGGTTCTGAACATGACCGAACACTTTATTACTTTTGAAAATCAAGGTTATGTTAAACATTGATGCTGAAATTCAATAGTATGTTTCGTTTGAATATTCACGATGAGCTTCAAGCAAACACAAAGTCTCGCCGTTCGAAAACGTGACAAGGCACAACTATTTGCGCTCACAAAAACAAATCTACGCGAATGACTTGTCGGCTCAAAACGTTCCGATCAAAACTTGCGGGCAAATCTATAAACCAAAAAAAACACACCTCTCGGGAAAACTTTCGGAAATCCCAAAAACTGCCCGCGAATGTGTTGCGTAGGCTTTATCCGAAAGGTGCTCCCTATTGATCAACAAAAACATTTCCCAGACCCCAAACCTCCCCAATGCTTTTTGCCAATACTAAACCCATTCTGAACCAGCAAATTTCCTGTCCACCCCACCTCCAGTCGTTTTCAGGGACACGTTAAACCCATAGTAAACCAATACTAAGCCAATACTCAAGCGATATTAAACCAATGTACACAAAAATTTGAATCCACACAAAGCTGGAATATGACATTGATTTGCTGCTTAATTACTTGGAAATTGCCATGTTGAACGGTTCTAGGACGAGGGCCGCAAGGGAACCCCTTGGCCCCAATGTACCCCATCAAGAACCTGTTGTTCCGCCACCAGGCAAATACTTTACTTGGGAGTGGGGCAGGAGGGGGCATATTTGCGGTTAGGCGGGAGGGGCTTAGTTGTGAATGTATCGATCAACCCCCATGGTTTATTCATGTGCTACGATTCTATATTTCTCGCGACGTCGCTTTACCGCAAACTGTTCAATATGGAATCATCTTCGAAGGAAATAAAGGTTTTGTGGCAGCTGCAAGGCTCTGTTAGGCGTCCTGCCCACTGTAGCCCCCAAAGAGGAAGAGCGAATTTCCATAGACCTGAGCTCTGCTGGTTCCTCTTTCAGAATCATATTCCCATCGACTATCCCTCCGCATGCAAGGATTCGAGAAGTCGCAAAGGTACCTGCGGGCAAACAATCAAGCAACAAGACACAAACTACTGCATATACCCAAGTTGTTTCAAGAATTCCTCCGGAAGTTCCAGCCATGCAAGGCCCAGGCAACGCTGGCATGAAAATACCGCGGCGAGGGCACCTGCAATGCATTGCTCATAAGGCACCAGGGCAATTCCCGGCCCAAATGCACAGCCGCCCGTACCTTGACCGCTGTTTGGCCCACCCACTCCATCCTCAAACGTGTTGTCTTGCTTCAATGATCCTGCCACAGCAAACTACCCAAACCACCCTGCAAAGCTACCAGTGACCATTTCCGTCAGCAGCCTGACCAGCCGACCTCACGGAAGACCAGGTCCTAGAGCTGCGTAAAGTTGGAGTCGGCGCAAGCCCGGAATCTGTCCACCAAGGTTTGATGCTCGTTGCTCTGAGTAGACCTGAACTTGGAACCAGTTCACATGACATTTAGCCAACTAGCCTTACTGCCACAAACCTCAAACGTGATGCTCAAATGCCCTGCAAGCACACTCCTGGAGCCCATTCTGAACTGATGAAAGTCGTTCATCCTGTGAACGCCTCGGAGCACGTGAGTGGGGTGAATGAAAGCTCTCTTGAGACTTCGAAGCGAGACACCAAGCAGGACTGCAAATGCTCGGCATTTCTTCATGAATATGAGCACAGCCCAGCCCCTGTCTGGGCCTATGTTTCAACGAGTTTGAACATATGAGCCATCAGCAGGCTTAGTAGTGCACCAATGTAAATACCCAGTGATTCACTGGTTTTGCTTGGCAGGCTGCAGCCTGTGGTCACAAACATCTGGGCGCGACAAACATAAGCAGCATTGGACACCTGCCTTTGGCCTGGCCCCCCCGCCGTCATAGCCGCCAAAGAGGTACACTGAGCCGTTGTGCGTTGCCCAGGAGGGACAGCTCCTGGATTCTGAAGCCGACGCGGGAAGGCGGCGAAGCGGACCAACAAACACTTTGCGCTCTTGGTCTTGGCAGCAGTCATTAAGGTCATGATGTGCAAGGATGAAAGGACATCAATTGAAAGCTTTGGCCAGAAATTGCTGGGGCCCAGGGGCCTAACAATTCGTTACCACAGCAGCTTCGGGATGCTTTTGGCAGCGTGGAGTATGCGCTTGCAAAGGGCGGCAATCCTGAATCGATTGAGGAAGGGAAGGGAGAGGTGTCAATGTCATGCATGTGAATGTTTTATCTGATGAAGCAGGTAAGCACCACAATCCAACCTCCCTTCCACGCATGAGGGCCGATATGGGGGCAAACTTTCATCGCTCCTTCCAGAAGGGATGAAGCCCTGCACCTGAGTGGAGTACCACCTTAGCTTGGAAGCCTTTGAAGGCCCGAGAGGTCGCTTCCCCACTTGGTCAACAATCATTTTCACACCGCATGAACAAATTCGCCTCGGCCCCAAAGGGGCCAAGGGCGCTCAGATCTCTTCTCCAAAGAGAATCTTCGCTTTTCCCCTCCCCCAACCCCCTCCCCAACAAAAATTTTGCCGGGCCGCCCCCCCCCCCCCCCCCCCCCCACCCATGTCGGCTGGACCCAAAATCCTGTCCGGCGGGCCTTGAAATTTTCGGGGTTCGTCGGCGTCCAGCTCCATGGGTCCATTTTTGTCGAAAATGTGCTGACAATTGCGAAAATCACTAAAAAATTGCTTTTTTGTCCTGAAAAGCATGACCTCCTGGTGGCCAGGCCTGCCTGACGTGTCTGAGACTAGGCTCAGGCCCAGCCCAACCAGCAGCCCGCCTGCTGGCCAGGCCTGTCAGCCCCACCCAGCCTCAGGCCCAAGCTTGTCTGAAACAGGCCTACCCCAAGTCATCCAGCAAGCCCAGCCCAGCGCCCAGCCCAGGCCCTAGGCCGGCCCCAAGGTCAGGTTTGTCTAACGCCAACGACCCAGTCTCACGTGTCTGAAACTGGTCTCAAGCTATGCCAGCCACCAAGCCCGTCTGACGTGCCCCAGCCCCCTCAGTCCGGCTGCCCAAGCAACTCAGCCCCTCCTGCTTGCGTCTGGCCCCAAGCCATCCAGCAGGCCCAGCCCCGTCTCAAAGTACGCCAGCCTGAGACTGGCCTCAGGCCCAGCCCAGCCAACTCGCCACCCAGCCTCGGGCCCAAGTGTGTATGAAACAGGCCTTGCCCATCCAGCAACCCGCCCAAGCACAGCTCAGCCCAGCCCGCCCAGCCCAAGTTCCAGGCACAACCAGCGTCCGGCTGCCCGGCAGCCAGCAACCCACCCATGGCTTCGCAGCCTCGTGGCTGAGACTAGCTTCAGGCCCAGCCCAAAGCCTGCCCAGCCCAGGCCCCAGCGCATCTCAGGGCATGCCAGCCACTACCGGCCCCCAGCTCCCAGCCCACCAGCAGGCTCAGCCCAGTGTGCCAAGGTCAGGTTTGTCTAACATGTCTGAGACTGGCCTCTGAGACTGGTCTCAAGCTATGCCAGCTACTCAGCAGCCCAGGCTGACCAGGCCCCTTCGGCGCAGTCTGAGACTGGTCTCAAGGTATGCCAGCCTGAGACTAGCCTCAGGCCCAGTCCCTCAGCCCGCCTGCTGGCGTGTCTTACGTGTCTAGCCAGCAACTCGCTACCCAGCCTCAGCCCATCCAGCAACCCGCCCAAGCACAGCTCAGCCCAGCCAGCCGAAGTTCCAGGCGCAACCAACACCATAATCCAGCTGCCCAGCACCACCCATGGCTTCGCAGCCTCGTGGCTGAGACTAGCTTCAGGCCCAGCCCAACCAGCAACCCGCCTAAGCCAACCCCACCCAAGCCCACCCGGTTTGAGACTCGCAGGCCTCAGCCTATCTAGCGCCGAGACTGGGCCTCACCAGCCTGGGCTCAACTAGCGTCTAGCCCAGCCCAGTCCGCCTGCTGGCCAGGCCTGTCTGACGTGTCTGAAACTGGCCTCAGGCCCAGCCCAGCCATAGCCCAGCCCCCTCAGTGCGGCTGCCCAGCCCGCCGTAAACTAGCTTCAGCTCAACCAACAACCCACGCAAGCAAGGTCCAGCCAAGCTGCCCGAGACTAGCTTCAGGCCCAGCGCAGGCTTATCTGATGTGTCTGAGACTAGCCTGTGGCCCAGCCCAACCAGGCGAGGCCGGCTTGTCTGACTTGTCTGGAGCCAGCTTCAGGTATTCGGACCTTCCCAACACTGGATTTCGGTGTTCCTGACCCTTCCCTCAAACTAGGCTGGGCCGAGGCGGGCAACGCGAAGCGTTTACAATTAAATGTTGCAGGGGCAGCTGCTTTCCTAGGCGTATCGCAAAATGTGCTTGTGGCTTTGGAAAAACTCAGCCTTGACGCCATTGAGTCAATAAGGCACCCAGTAGGACGCAAGATCTAAGACTCCAAAGTGACTACGGCTCTCATACCTATACGCATCAGAGGTTGACAGTTCCCGCTGTTGCTCAGCAGCGGCGTTGTCTAAGTGCCCCGCGCCCCCCGCTCAAAGTCAAAGTCGAACATGTCATTCAACCATGCTGAGCCATCGTAGCCCCCAAACACGTACATGAAGTCACCATTCCTCAGTGCAGTAGAACAATGCAAGCATGTCGATGGTTGTTGACATGTAGCATGTGTGCAGATTGCTATGATCGTCTGTGGCAACCTACTACATGCAAGTTTTTGTTGGACACACGCATCTTGAAGTGGCTACCAAAAATGCAACAAACTCTCTCCAGCTGGCAATGCCTCAGCTGCCGACACCGCGGAGACGTAGCCAAAGCGGGTCGAGGGCACGCTGCCCTTGTGACCGGACCTTGGCTCGAGAAATGTCCATGTTCAAACATGCTCCGGCGAGAGCTAGCTTGGATGAACGCTGTGTCATCGGGGCGCATCAAGGATGCGCTGAAAGGAGAGCTCGGAACAAGGAAGAACTGGGGTAAAATTCCGCATATATACAACTGGCCACTTGCCACAGCAATGCAGCTTCTGCGGCTCACAACGTATCATTGGCTCATTTTGCTGAAAGCGCGCTGCGACAGGCGGCTCCTGTAAGTATCCAAAGTATGCAGCGAAGTCAGCTATGATTCATAACGCCAGGTCATGGCTTAAAACAAGGTCACCCGGCAAACATCACGGAGCACGCGTGCTGACAGCCGCCGGCGTTCTCGCAGTTCTCGCTGCAAGATCCGCCAGCTGACGGAGTGCACACCGTGCACATGTTGGCGGTGGGAAAACCGGAGACCGAAACCCAACACCCTGAGCTTGCCTTACAGGTGTCCACGCAAGTCTGCAAACTACTCGATTGGGAGGCGATCTCACAGCCAAGCTGACAGCTTGGTCGATCGCAGCCGCTGTCACGGCCACAGCAATAGCCGTCCTGCGCAAAGAATCCTTCAAACGTCTTGAAACTTATCCCCGGAAAGCAACATGCTACGTTGCCTCGCTACGTCCCTCTTCGGCATCCGCTCCTGGCTGCATTGCGCCTTGCAAATGTCCACCGGAGCCAGTGTTGTTGACAAGGTCGTCGTAGGAGGGGCAGGCAAGTTCATGCTCCTGCAAGCATACTCGCATCCACCTTCGGGCTCGCAGCTTTCGGAGCATGAGCCGCCACCAGAAGCAGTGCATACCGTGCACATGTTGGTCTGTCCGAAAGCCAAGCTCCATGTAAAACATCCCGTCTTGGCTTTACACTCGTTGATGCAGGAGTAAAGGGTGTTGGAGTAGAGAGCAATCTCGCAGCCCTGCCCACAGCTGGGACGCCCGCATCCACTGTCACGGCCGCAGCAATAACCAGCCTCAACGCAGCCCTTTTGACACAAGTCGTGCGGCGTGGGCTTGGCGGAGCCTCCGAGGATCATCTCGTAGGTCTGGTCCGCGAGCTGACCCGTCACCTCGCCGGTCTCACAGTCGTAGTCCAGGAGACGCACGCGCCACATGAGCGTCTTGCTGCCATCTGCGTGGCGGTCCTCGTGCAAGCTGGTGCCAGCTGAACCGGGATAGCCGCGTCCGCGATCAGGGCCGGTCCAGCCCAGTGGAAGAGGCACTTCGGATGCCTTGAAGCCCACCACGTCCGCCGTCGTGGTAAAGCGCGCATAGAGGTATGGGAACTCAACATCATGGAGCTTGCTTCCATGCCACATCTTCTGTGGCGTGGCTCCAGGGGCCCCATAGTAGTAGAGATCTCCTTGCCAATTCCACTCGTCAGACAAGGACTGATCAGCTTTGAATTTGGTCCACTGTTGTGGGCCTGTGACCTTCAAACGACCATTGCTCATCTGGACGACTTCAGCCGGCCGCTGCTGCGGCGCACTTGGAATGAAGAGTTTGAAGGCCGGGTCCCCCATCAAAGCGATGTTCATCATCACGTACTCGGCGGTCTTCTGAGCAGCATCCGTGGCCTGATCTATGTGGTTCAGCGCCACGTTGTTCCAACCTGCCACGAAGGCTTCGCCAATGCTCTTGCCCAGCGCGATTTCATTCCAAAAGGCAGCATGCACCAAGCCGGAGGCGGTGATCGCATTCCGCGGCCCACCCAGAAATGCCACAGCTCCGTAATGCCTCACTTGTCATTTCCAACATGGACGCTTCGGGTTATGGGTGGGTTGTTGCGATTGCAACTCGAAGCGCAGGGGCCGCACATCCAAGGATACGCTGCCAAGCTGCAGCAGTGTCAAGACCACCGAGTCCATAGGATCGCTGAGTTTGTCGAAGCCAGCTGTGGAGCAACCACCAGAACCTCGCATCACCACATGCATGACAACCTTGGGATGGTCACAATTAATCGACTATTTTGAATCCGCCGCCCTTGAAGGCGGAAGGCAGATTCCCGGGAAGGGTGGTCCCAGTTTGGGAACAGGACCTGTTTGCTCCGGTTTGCTCCGGTTCAAATGTAAGCCTTAAGCGCCAAATTGTGAGCTGTGAAGTAGTAACAGCAACAGCGGCAGTAGCAATAGCGCCCGTCGGCTTCCAAGGAACTCACCACAGAAGGAGACAGCAGCACCTTGGTGTTGTACTTGAAGGAATGACCCATTCCTCCAGCTCCAGCATGGTCCACGTGGATGAACGCAGAGACCTGAAGTTGGAAAGGTTTGTGCAAACAAGCTGTATCGTCCGTGTCTCGTTTACCTAAACTGCAATGTCCATCAACAGCTCCTGCCTGAAGCTTCTGGAGTTGCGCAAGCTCGTGTTCATCCACCATGTCCACACTGAAACCCACATTGGTGAGAGCGGGTCGGATGCTGTCTGCAGAGGATTTCAAATTCCCTCCCATGCCAAAGCGACCTTCTGAAGCTGCGTCACGGACATAGTCATAGTTGCCGATGCGAGACCTTCGCACGACGGGAAGTCTTGTGAGTGCGTCAGTAGTCTTCAACTTTCATCTTTGCGAGCTCATGAGAAGCTTACCGGGTAAACTTTTGACGAAAATCAATAGCCCAGGCACACTAGAAGGCTCGCCGATGCCAAGTTTCGTGCTACAATGCGCCCCAAGGCAACATCGAGGAAGATGTCCTCATCCAAATCCGCATACGGCGCATCGCGGCATTTCTCCTTGCGCTACTATCGACCGCCGACTCTCTACGGCAGTCATAGGGCGATCGGAGTACAATACGACGTGACTTTGAACATTGCAACTGGTGCCGAGTCGCCTCACCGAAGAAGTTGCCAATTTCACAATGAGGTGGAACGGCATGAGGTCCACCCACCAGAGCCACATACTTTGGCATGCCGTGCGCAATGTGCGCCTTCAGCTGCTGCTTGATCGCATCCGCAGAAACGTCTCCACCCGTCACGGGAAGCACTGCACCTCCTGCGAACATGCATCATTCTTGGCCAGGACAAGAAGTGCCTAACGATTTTGAGGACCTTTCTAGATCCTGGGCATGGCTCGCTTGCGGGTCGAACGCGCAGCCCGTGCGCTCCTCGAAGTGAAGCAATCATAGGTGCCATAGCTGAAAGACCCTTGAATATCGGCGCTTGCAGATCAGAAGGATTGGCGATTGCCAAGTACTCGGGCTTGCCCAATGTAGTGTAGACCTGGGAAGTCGGAAGCTCAGAAACGTGTTGAACAAACTTTCGAACAGGATAATTGAAACTCGCCACCGGCCTCCACGCCATCGCGCAGATCGGTTTGTGGTACGAAGGAATTATCCCAAGCTGCAGCTCCCACGTAGAAAAGCTCTTGCACCTTCAGCGCATCGATCACCGACTTCAGGGTAGCCTTCGGGCCAGCGACACTGACAGAACACGCCCTCCGAAGTCTGAAATGCGCACGTTCTCTTTGTTTGCCTGTGATTTTCTTTCAACGGTACTGCTTTTGGGTTGCTTACAAAGGAAAACCCACAGGCAAACAACCATGTTCCTTTGTGGATGCGGGTCACAAGCCCACTGGCTTTGACCTAAGCTTCCTGCCTGGTCATCGACAAGAATCAGCGGCACACCGTGTTTCGCTGCCAGGGGAGCGGCCATCAGCGCTGCTGCATAGTCATCGCCTGGGGCAAAGCTCAACTTGGAACTTGGACACGTCTTACGACATACAAGCTCCTTCCTTAGAGAACACACACACACACGAAATGGACTCGCACAGTGCCGAGGGCATCACATTTTGCCACGACGATCTCAGAGCTTTCATGCCAGAAATGCTGCGCCAGCACGGCTGACGCAGCACAGGTGGAGGACGCTGTCAAAGCCACTTCTTGCCCAAGAAGCCCTGCCAAGCTTCCTGCAGATGCCGAGCCCCAGAGATAGGTGGTTTCTGGGCGGTACTGCGTCACAAAATCTGCTTCCACAGCATCCTCAACTTCCTGCATTACCAGGATGGCTGGCTCACCGGCGGATTTGACAGCAGCTGGGATGATGGCCGGAAGAAGCGTAGGATCTGCATCTGCTGGTAATATGAAGAGGCTGCGCTCCAGCCCGGCCGGTTTGGCCTTCGCACGGTCGGTGCTCATATAGGCTTTGGTGCCCCGCTGCAGCAACGCAGACCCATGATTCGGCGGTGCGCATGTCTCACAGCCTGAGACGTCAGCTCCAGAACACTGGACTGCGATCAGGGTAGACAAGATCCAGCGAACGGTATACATAGCGCCGGTCAAAGGTTATCTTTGACCTGCAAGCGGTAGGGTGCAGGGGTACCAATGTGAGGCTAAAATTGCTGAAGTGTTCACGCAAGCCGCTGTTGACACATCAGTTCAACCCGGGTCGCTCTCGCATCTGCAAAGCAACGCCAAGTAGAAAGCAAAGCAGAAAGCAAAGCAGAAAGCAAAGCGGAAAGCAAAGCGGAAAGCAAAGCGGAAAGCAAAGCACAGTAAAGTGGCCGAACCTTGCTTTGGTGTGTCAAAGCAAGTCAAGGCACAAAAGTGCTGAGCAAAGCAAAGCAAAGCAGATTGCAAACAAGCAAGGCAGGGCAAGGCAAGGTTGGCAAAGCATGGCAAAGCATGGCAAAGCAAGGCACGGTCCGGCAAAGCAAGCAAGCAAGCATGCAGGCACGCACATAAGCCAAGCAGCACAAATAAATGCAATGAAATGCAGAGCAAACCAAATGCAGAACAGCGCAAAGCGAAGGCGCAAGATATAGCAAGGCAAAGCAAATCAAAGAAGAAAGCAGAGCAAAGAGAGAAAGCAAAGCAAAGAACAAAGCAAAGCATGGAAAAGCTGCGCAAAGCAAAGCCAAGTAGGCAAGCAAAGCTTGCGGAAAGCAGAGTGCTGCTAGCCGCATAAGTATATACTCCAGCCGGCCAGCTGGAAAGCTGGGCGCCCCCACGGCACTGCCTGCCAGGTGCTGGTGTCGAAATTGAAGCTATGGAAGTCGTTCAGCCAGGTGAAGCCGGAGTATCCTCCGAACCTGAGGCTCAATCTCGGCTTGACAGGTGTGAGCCCCCCAACATCAGCCCCCCTCAAAGACATAATTGAAATCATCAAGTAAGATTGACCCTGTGAGTGGCGTACAAGCCTCCAAGGGGAAGGAAAACATTTAGCCCTGCATGATGCTCTGAAAAAAAGCTCAAGTTTTGGGACTACCTCGCCTCAAACTTCATGACTAAAATGCTGGGGACATCCAGGACTACCCAGTAAGGCACCTGCACCAAGGGCTTGCAAATTTTTAGACCTGGTTTCCGCCTCCCTTGCCGCCAAAGCTGCAAATACATCTTATTGCTGTGCACCACCGCGCCGTTGTTTTCGCGGCCAGCGGGCACCTGAGGCGGGCAAAACGGTGAAGGCATCTGAAGCAAGCTTTGCAGCTGATTCGCTGATTCCCAAATAACAGTCAACTCTATCTTGAATCTGGGCTCCCGAACAGTGCCCTGCACCTCCAATCGCGTCCAACACCTGCCATGGCGTCTGATTTGGGAGTCAGTGGGCCAGTGAGATTGCATGATCGCATAGAAGTGCTAGATGGCCCCCTGTTGTGCCATCCCAAATATGGCTAATTCAATAGGGATAACGGAGAAGCAGCTCAGAAGCCGACACTAGATCTGCTTCTGCCAGTCATGGCTCAAGATTGTGTCCTCGCAATCTCTCAATCTACAATAGATCAAGCGACATGGACATCAATTGGTTGATAATATGGGCTTATCCTCGGCAAAGCACCCTGGCAGCGGGGTTGTATTTTTTCAGCGGGGGTTTTGTGACTTAAGCCAAGGGACGGAGGCAACACTACGACATTGCGTTATTAGCTGTTGTTTGAAAGACACCTAGGCCAGAAATCACCAAATTTGCGGGATCTTCAAGTTTTAAGGCACGCGTTAGTTTCCCTTTGTGGCACTTGCTGCCAGCTACCAGACTACGATAGCATGTTTCTCAGCTTCTACTAGCTCATGGCTGCGTGCCGCGGCGGAGGCCGTGGCGGAGGCCGTAGCGGAGGTTTGAGGGGCCCAGAGGTTTGAGGAGCCCGAGTGACAGCACGCCCACAAACTGGTTTTGCTGGGCTGTCTTTTCATTTTTTGAATGTGCTAGTGTCGGTTTTTTTGGAGGCTCAAGAAGGACAAGCTGCACCAAGTACTTGAAACTTAAGCCATGCATTTCCGTACGTGTGTTTACTTTTATATGTCTATATTCTGTATTCGCACGCGCCGCGAAAGAACACAGGCGCAGACGCCTTTTGAGCAAGGCGCTGCGCTCCGGAGCGCGCGGTCACTGTTTGACGAGTAGATTGCTCTGCGTAGTCTACTTCCGTATTGTTGTTTTGCATGGCTTGCGCTGCGGAGCGCGCAGATCGTAGCACTGATGTTGCACTGTCATTCGGCAGTTAGCGCGAACATGGCCAAGCGCGCCAAGGAAGGCTGCGCGCTCCGGAGCGCGCTGCAGGACAACACGTGCGAGAACTAGGACGCGTGTAGAGATCCCAAGCAGACACGTTTTTTGCATGTGGTTTTGCTGACTGGAACAACTACCCGCAACGTAAGCCATGCAAATCCCTGCGAATATCTGTTTGCGCGTCATCTTCCATGCGATAATGTTAAGCTTAGCTAGCGCGGCGCTGGCTGTTTCGTGAGAAGACTGCGCAGCTTAGCCGCTTTGCCGTATGACGTCTGTGCGTGTGCGTGTGTTGCTTTGTACTGCTTGCGCGCTCCGGAGCGCGCAGCTCGTAGCATTCACATGTTGTGTTGTTTGGTCAGACATGCCAAGCAATGGTCAGCGCGAGCACAGTCTGCAAGCGTGCAATTAAAAGCAAGCGGGCCCATGAAGTTTGCGCGCTCCGGAGCGCGCTGCCATCGAGACATGCGGAAAAACACGACGTGGTGAAGGGCTGGCAAACTCGAGATATGAAAGCCGTGCAGTCGCAAGCGCATGCTTCCTTCACAGACGCACGCGTGTTAAAGAACACAACAACTGCAGAAGCATTTGCAAGAACAGTGCGCTCCGGAGCGCGCAAGCCACACTGACAAAATCAGTCGGCTGCGCGCATCGCAATCAGAGAGGTGTCGCATCGGTGCGCTTCGCTTGTCGCCGCTGGTTTGTGGAAGTTCTCCTGGAATACGCTTGACGAGCCAAGCGCTGATGACAAGGGCTTGTGGAAGAGACGGCGCCTTAACAGGGCGGCAGCCCGCCAAAGAACTCAGCCTCGCCGGAGACATTCGCACGGTGGATCAGCGGGGCTCTCCTTCCGTCGGCGGATTCCAACGTGAAATTTTGCGCTTGGAGGTTTGCGGTCGGGGGTCGCAAAAATGCCTACCCGCTGATTTGTCTTGTTCTCGGGCTTGGTGTTCCATCAACCTATATCAAAACCCCCTACATCCCTCCTTGCAGAAATCCCTTGTTTGGCTCTCTAAACTAGAAAATAGCCCCCCCCCCCCCGCTTTTACCACACAGAAGCCTTTAGCGCTTTGCTTGCCTCGTTCCTTTTCGTGAGGCGTATTTTGATATAATAACCTTGTTTATAGAAAAGTAAAATAGACCAAGGGCCCCTTTGTTTTGCCAGCTAGATCAACATGAGCTGCCTTTCTGTGAGGGTGTGAGCAAGCCTGCTCGTGTCTTGCTTGGCGGAAACCAATTGTCAGAGCACACAGTTGTCATTAATAGATGATGCGTGGCAAATATGTGCGTCGCTCCATGCGCGTGGCTGGATGAATGAACACAGGGACGTCTTGTTGGCCCAGGCATTCACAAAATGTAGCTCTAGTTTCCCAAAGCCAGGTTTTTAGGAAGGATACTTTGGCAGCAGAGTCTGCCCAATGCAAAAGGGGAGTTTGACACCCCTGCCGTGTGACCAATGCCAAACTCCCCTCCCACGCTGCAGAAGGGGAGTTTGGCACACACAAAGCGCGAAGAGCGCCTGCGAGGCGCGTGCTTGCATGTTGACCAAGCTGGCGGGTTTTGCAGAACTAGGGCGCCAAAGTCCCCGCCTGCAATGTGGCAGGGGACTTTGGGCCCTTGCCCCTGGAAAGTTGCCTGCAATACCCTTTTGGCTTGTGCGCAGTTCCCAAACAAAGTACCCTCTTGGCAGTTTTGTCATGAAGTCTCCTAAGTGAGTCTGAGGCATTTCCACTGACGGTCACTCCGCAGCAGCGACCCTTGAAAAATCACCAGAACTGCAAAAGAACAAGTCAACAAAGCGGCGATTAAGGCAGGGCCAGGCTTTGTGTTTGGGTTTCGCACGGCTTGGCTTTCTCAGTCCGGCTCAAGCAGCGACGCGTTGTGCGCCGACTGACGCAAGCAGTTTGCCTTTGAGAACGAGAAGAAAGACGGCAAGCTTCCGAAGAGCGTGCCGCTGGCTGCCTTCACATGCGGCACATGCGGTTGGCGGCCGACAGGAGCGCTGCCATCCCAGACACTTGGCGCCGCTTTCTTTTCGCCATTGCCTGCTGCCAAAATTCCAAGACTGCACGCTGGACCTTGCCGCATTCCAGGGGTCAGAAGCTTCATTGAACGATCCTGACAAGTGTTCAGGTTGAGCAGTGTGAGCAAATGCGTGTTGCCAGTGGCCATTCGTGACGCCAGAGTCTGAGGCATGATCCATGCTATCGACTCTGAACACCTTAAAGCTGCAGGCTTCGATCGCTGGGACGCTAAAGGTACTCCAACGCGATACAGGTGGAATGGACGCCCTTCCCCAGCTACACTGCTTGGCAGTAAAACATGGAGGGCTCTGCTGCAACTTGTCAGTGAACTTGCTGCGTAGTTTTTGGCCGTTTTGACCCTGCAACTCTTTGGCGTTGATAGAGTCGGATGGCTGTGCAGGGCAGTTCGGCCTTTTCCTGGGGAGGAAACACGTCCACGAGGCCTGAAATTGCACCCTGCGAGCACGCTGGCGAGTGACTGTCAAGGGCAAGCCACTAACTGTGCTGCAGGGCCGGGATAAACACGCTTAACAGTTAAACTGTCTAAGCGTAAACATGTTGTCACACACTATACGTGTAAGCCGTTTAAGCAGATCTTGGCCGACCCTGAATGTTGAAACACGTTTGAGCAGCCACCCATTTTTAAACATAGTGGGGAGTTTGAGACATGTGGGTCACATGCCTTGGTGACGGACATTGAGGTGTATCGACATGTCGACCTGTGTTTTGCGCGAGGCTGGAGTTTGTTGCAAGAGCACAACAAGATCAGCTTCCTTTTGTGTTAGGAGGTGCGCGAGCGCCACGGCCTGGTCTTGGTGCTGCAGGATTTGCAGCAGCTTCCCACTGCGTAGCAGCTCCTACATCTGCGAAGCGCACGCCTGCTTGCGCAACATTTTGCACATTGCTGCAAAGCTTACAAAACCAAGCACTTGAGTGCTTTTCCGCTCAGCGTGCGCCCGCGAGAACGCCCAGCACAGGTTGTGTCTTGCAGTTGTAGGAAAGCCTTTTATGCCTTTCTTCCTTTCAGTGTGCCTCCAAAGCTTCCGGCGAGTCCATATTGCTTGACGGCCTGCGTACTTTGAAGATGGTGCCCAAACAATGGGAGTGTCGTGGGGCAAAGGATGTAGCGAGCGATGTCTAGTGAAGGTGTGGCTGCGTGCGTGCGTGGAAAGCAAACCTTGCCGGAAAAGGCAGCAACTTGGTCAAATAAGAAGGTCTCTTGTTTCCGCCGAAGATATACTGCGGTGAACAGTGAAGCCTGAACGTGAACGAGGGACCCCGAATAATGCTGCGCTTGGCAACCTTGGTATGTGGTGCCCCTAATTGATTCTGTCAAGGGACCTCAAAGAACCCCGGTTTGACCGCCCCGACAAATAAAAGGCCTTTTTTCAGACGTCGGATTGCACGTGCCGTTGCTGCCGGCCAAGGCCATGACTGCAGCTGCAAAGACACGTTGGCGCGACGCCCATTTTGGAGAAAAGCGCATGTTGAGAGTGCAGCTGAGGAATGGTTTGGCATTTTAGGAGCTTCGTTTGATGAAGCCAGCTCAGCTCACGCAATGAGGGTATGACAACCACACGTCTTGTGCGCCCAAAAAACGACGCCTAGCCCGACCAAAAAAACCATGGGTTCAAGTCATATCCTGCCCTGTCTCAAACAAGTAATAAAATACAACCCCGCCTGGCAGTCTTTCTGGCAGTCTTCTGGCAGTCTTCCTCAAGCATGCCCTGCCTGGATGGGAAGTCAAAGCGGTAGATGTCATCTAGCCGACCTCAAACGAACAGGCCCAGGGGCAAAGCTGTATCCACGCTGCACAAGTGAAACTGCTTTCGTGGAAGCAATCAGGACCCACATAAAGTGCTAGTGGTGATAGCATCTGTTTGCCAAGTCTGAGCCATGCAAGTGTCAAGTTGAGGGCTGTTCAACTTATGTCAGATTAGGATCTTGATGCATGTCTGGAGCCGCAGGTGTTGAGCCGCTCAATCGACTTCAACAACATTCCTTCACCACCATTCATCCTGAATCGACTACAGTCTTGAAATTGATACAGTGCGGGCCGTGGGCACGGCCGCCCGCAAGCTTGGAGCGAAAAAAGGCAAGTGAGTTTGTCGTTATCTTGCCTTGCTACTTTGCTTCTGCAAAGCTCCCAACAATGCCACGGACAAATTGCCCAGTGACCGCGCATGGATGAACTACATCTTAAACATCTTCAGCTGTCCGAATTTCCCTCAGATCCAATGATGCCACTGGGATCTCTGAGTGACGGGCCACTGCCGCCATAGCCGCCAAAAACGTAGAGCGCATCCTCGCGGTCGTATCAGCTTGAGAACAAACTCAGGCAAACAACACTTGGTAGCTTCAAAACTTTGCTCAGAAGTGCGAACAGCTGTGCAATGGTCAGCAGAACTGTTGCAAACTAGATAGGATTAGTCAGCAGAACTGCTACAAACTGGGTAGGAATAAACTCTTGTAAGTAACATCGCAAAGGGAGCAGGAGCTCTACTTGGCCGTATGCATGCCGCGTCAACTTGTTCGGGAAGTAAGCTTCGGGAAGCCTGGCAAAAGCAAGTGTGCCAATCCATGGTCTGTGAATCGCTGCCTTCAAGCCAAATTCTGACCGACAGCAGATATGGTCCGCTAAGCGACAAACACAGTTCTCGTGGCAAGTTTGAGCAGCAGCAGCAGCAGCAGCGGCGGCGGCGGCGGCAGCAGCAGCAGCACTCCTGGTAGATGACACTGGATGCACCACTGCGCCTCATGTGTTGGCCAGGAACGACTACATGCCTGCTGATTTGCCTCTACTGACCGTTGTACTTCCAAAAGAAAGCAGTGCTTCAATACAACACCAATGGCTCTATTGAAGTACACTAGCAATCAAAATAAGCTTGGAGCAGCCCGAATAGCGCTAGAGTCCAGTTTTGGTCCACTGTCTTGATACGAGCAGACTGGCACATATATATATATATATATACATATATATATATATATATGTAAGAGTATTAAATATGTGTATATGTGTTCGCATAGATAGCTTTGAGCTGCAAACAAAGGGGACTCGCAGGATTCAGCTCTGAGGGCCCTGCTCCCCAGGCTTTACTGGCGAATTCAGCTCCACCTCTCGCCACCTCCACGGCAAGGGATTTGATGACTTCGCAAGTCAGAGTTGATTGGCAAATTGGCAGTCAGAGTGCGAGTTGCTACTTGCTTTGCATCGGGAACGTCATGATCGGAGCAAGGCAGCGCTCCAACCTTCAACTCTAGCTGCTGAATGGCAACATCTTTCGAAATCACAAATAATGGGCAGCAGCCGTTTGATCCCGCCAAAGGTGATTCTTGCTTCCGCCAGGAAAGCACCTCTCCACATCTCTATTGATCTAGCTGTCCCTAGCGATAGCTCTTTCGCTGGCACGCTGCACTTTTGAGCATGTGACCCAAACCGCCCACAGCCAGAGTGCTGGGGAGTTAATCTGATCGGAAGGCTTCCCATCCCCAGCGTATCGCCTCAATGTGCCACATTTGATCTAGCAAGCTGTGTCCAGGCATCAAATGTATGTGGGCGAAATACACATGGCCTGTACCCACATCCAAGCTGTCCAAGCAGTGCATCATTTGGGGGTTGCTTCAATGGCAAGCTTCTCTTTCAAACCAGTCACAAGGAACAACCACCACATTGCGCGGAAGCTTCCGAAGAAAGGCGTTTCATTCTCCAGGCTCCTTGAAAGTGCATCCGTCCAATGCTCGTGAGATTGCCAGAAGGAAAGCTTTGTGCCTTTCCCCGCAAATATATAGATATCATAAATTTATAAATCTTGCTTCATGCAGCCATGATTGGCTGCAAACTGTGAGCTTGACTTTCCCGCTGATCGGATCCATGGACATCCATCCAGCTTCTTGGCTGAGGGCCACACCTCCGAAGGGGGCTCACGCTGCAGTCGTTGCGGCCATCGTCTACCTGGCAAGGAATGTGGCAAAAATGCCATGCACAAGCACCTACCAACCAGTGACACGAGGCACAGCAGGTTTAACCACTATTGCACAACAAGTAGACGACTGCCAAAGGAAATATGTTAGAGTGTGCTGAAACTGCCTCGGACATCGGGATCATGGCCAAGTAATCTCTTCCCCCTTTTGATAAATGGACCCTATTCATAAATTATATTTTTCCCAGACTGCCGGGTCCCCAATACTACTTTTAGAATAGGCCAATTCAAAACCAACACTAAACTCTCGGATTTCTCACCCAGACCAGCTTCAGCCTTTTTAGGGGCTGGGTAATTAGTCCAGGACCCAAGCTCCTTGCAACAACCCAAAAACAAGCTGAGGGTGTTGTTTTGAACCAGCTGGTAATTACTGGTGAGCCGGAGCTCCTGGAGTGCATTTCCTTCACTACGGTCGTACCACAAAGCTGCGACTTTCGAGCTGGAGCTCCGGGAGTACGTTTCCTTTACTACGATCGATTTTGGGCTCGCTTCAAGGGATGAGTATCTTTGTCGCCAGGGGGCCCATCAGACCCAAAAGGACCTTATTAATAAATATGTTTCGTCCCCGAGGCTGATGTACTAATAGGGGGGGGGGTTATTGTTAGGGGGAAGAGATTAAGCCCGGGCTGATTCAGCAAACAAAAGCTGCCCAGAAATCCAAATAAGAGAAAACATACATATTCAGCAAATCGTCGCATGCTTGCAAAGCTTGCCAAGCAGACACTAAGCAAAGCTTTAGGCTCCTGCTAATGCAGCATGCATCCCCAAGCCTGCTTCTGCAAGCTTTCGCAACTCGCGATTTTGCGTGGCTGAACCGAATCAAACCAAGCCCAATCAATGCATGACCCAGCGCCTCTGCCAGCGCTGGCCCCGCTGCTAGCAGCGAGTCCATGGCTGGCTCCTCCACACCAGGTCAGTTTTTGCGGAACCCAACAAAAAAAACACAGAAACAAAAAACAGAGAAACAAAAAATCGAGAAACAGGGCTCACAATTCGGACATTCGAAGCCATCCGAGGCAAATGCGCGTCTGACTGCTCTCGGCTGGGGCCCTAGCTGAGGTGCCCCAGGCCGCGCCCCGCAAGCGGGCTTAGCCAGATAGGCGAAGCGAAGCAAGTGACACCAAGGAATGCCCACGACCTGGAAGGGCGTCCACATACTCATGGCGCTTTTAACACGCTTTCCCCCTGGGAAAATGAGCGGAAAGTGCGACACATCTGAAAAAAGAAAACAGCGCCCACGTTGATCCTCTTGATCCTCGAAGGTATTGGACACATCCGTGATATGGCTGGGCAGCAGTGGAAACAACCATATATATATATATTATAAATATATATTAATATATACACACAAACGCAGAATACGTGATACATGTCCCTACAAACCAATGCATGAAATGCCCAACCTGAAAGGCTGCTTCAGCGTGGATCAGCCTCTGGCATATTTTCACCACGAGCTAGCCTCAAGCCTGTGTCAAGGAAGAACTAATGTTGCCGAAACAGCCGAAACTGCGCCAGGCTCAGGGCTTGCCCCAGTTGCAGCTCAATCTGCTCTTTGCCAATAGCATGGCAAGCTTTATTGGCGCCGTCTCACCTGGCACAGCGCTGGGTGGCAGCTGTCCGCACACCACTCATATTTATCACGGTGCTGGAAAGCCCACTTGCACATACATGCCGGCAATCCGAAAAAGAACATGTCGTGGGAATCACGCTGGGTGCTGCCAAGGCAGCTGTCAAACACGCAATGATGTAATGCGCACTTGGACGCATGGTCATGTTCACTGCTTCGTGGTTCGCAGCAAATATGGCACAAAGCACAAAGATCTTTGCCAGGCCACCCTAGCCATATCCGCTACAACCGCTCCCAGACTGATGTGATGTCACTGGAAATGGGTTGCCATCTTCTTTGGCACTTATTTTGCACGCCCAAGCAAGAAATGTGTGCCGGCTCCTTCCCACAGGCTCAGCGCCTAAGATATTGGGCCTTCGACTTCCCGGCTTCACACTCTGCATTGAGTCCTCCAATGGCTTGTGCACCTTGGTTCCCATTCACCTTCCGTGGCGAGGATGCTGCTGGGCCAATTGAAGGAGTGCCTAGCATATGTTCCCATCTTCAGAGCAACGGTCCAACGCACAGGCTTAAAGCTTACGGGACAGCCCCTGGATCCTCAGTTTCGATTGGTTTGCTGGAAGTCTGAGCCCTCGGCCATCGATGGTGCAAAACCCTCATTTTTGTAGATCACCTCGCATTCATCCTCAGAGCACAAGGGCCTGCAGCAAAGCGATATGTTTGGGAAAACAGACCTGTTTCCTGCTTGTTTGGGTGCGAGCATGAAACGACGTTGCAAACAAAAAAGAAAACCAAAAAAACCTTCCAATAGACATGACAGGCAACTACTTTTCTCAGTTGAATCTCGAAAAAGGGTTCGGGCAACTTTCAAAAACTCATCGGTCACTCGCCACTTCAGCAAACCACGCACGCACGCACACACACACACACACACACACTCACCTACACACACACACTCACCTACACACACACACACCTTCTGGGTGTGTCAAAGTAGGGTCACACCAAAAATGGTGTTCCTTCTGGCTTCCCTTTAAACCAGCCCCAAAATGGTTACTCTCAAAAAACACAAACCCTGTTGGCCCTGTTTGTCTTGGCTTTGAAAACGTCTTGGTCCCCTGGCCGGCTCCACTGTGTCGAAGATGCTCTCAATGAGCGGCTGCGGGTCTTGGACCCAGGAAGCCAGGTCACCTTCCAAAGACAGACAAGGCTGCCTGCCTGGTGAGCTGCTTGGGGGGATGCCAAAAAGATAATTAGTCAGCGGAATGCCTAGAATAATGTACCCTGAATTTCGAGTGTTGGACAACTACTACTGATTGTACTCGGATTACCACTGGTTCTCCAATTCAAAGGTTCAGTTCTGTTTGGTGTACATCAGGACATCAAGCACATCCGAAAAAGCCTTTGTGATCTTGGAACGCCCCTCACTGCGCTGATGCAACCAACGCTCCCTGTGCTTGCTTTGAAACACAATTCCAGGGCTGGCCAGGCCTCCAACGAAGCCGATAGTCATGAAGGGCGCCTCGATCCTTGCAGACCTGCCGAAGTCCACACGAATCTATGCATCCCAGCTTGCTGACACTCATGCGCAATGCAAAGGACCAACACGAACATCCGGTGAGAGCGCTGCGAATGTGAGCAACTACGTCAAACTAGGAACGCCTGGACTTGTGTTTGGTCGACTATGATCACATGCTGCCTGACATGTCGACTGGCCTCAGGAGGCCTAGCGTCACCGAGTGCATCTCCACGGTGCGCGCGCTGGTGTCAGTCCAGTCGAAGAAGGACCTGGATCCAAATCAAAAAATCGCATCTGCAAGTCCTTCAAAGTTGACAACATCAAAGGGATCTGGTTCCATGTGGGGTGCTAGCTGTTAGTCCGGTCCAGCCGCCCTCTGAGCTCCGCACTCTCCAAACTGCACAAACACCAGCTTTAGCAGGTTCGTGGTGACCCTGGGCGTGCGCTTGCCACCACAGCCATCTCCACGAAAATTGTTTGTCTGGCGACTGGTAGTTGCAGGCACAGTGTTCAAACAGTATGGAATGAAGGTACGTGGCTTTAGAATCTGATCTGCGGCAATCTACCTTCCCGTGACAGAGTTGAAATAACATGATGTTGCTCAGCAGGGAATGAGGGAATGACCCTTCTAAACCATCTAACTGGTGGTTTCCAGTAAGGGGACCAAAAGCCTGGGTTCATTCCCGCCTTCCCTACATGCGGAAAATTTCATTGCCCAAAGTAGAGTCATTCTCCATGTCCAAAAGGCTTGACAACAAATTGGATTGACAAAGTCTTCCGAATGGATATCTCAGCCGCTGCCCTCCCGGCAACAATGATCAGACTAGGGCCCGTAGGCATGCTTGGCGCAAAGCAAATCCAACAGACCTGATGATCTTGCCTGCAAGAATTGATGTGGGAGCTAGAAGCAGGAAAGGCCAAAAACACAACCGTATCCAAACACACCATCAATTGATTTCAAGCTCACCCTTTGAATAGCTCCAAAGCAGCTGCCATTTCTCTTGCAGGACTCGCCACTTTCCAGGCCCATCAAGGGTCGCGCTGGTCACCCCACGTTTGATGCTCAAACGGCCACCCTGATTTTTTACCAGTTTCCACCGCTCAAAAGCCGAAAGGCACACAAGGCTGGCCCCCCCGCCGTCATAGCCGCCAAAGAGGTACACTGAGCCGTTGTGCGTTGCCCAGGAGGGACAGCTCCTGGATTCTGAAGCCGACGCGGGAAGGCGGCGAAGCGGACCAACAAACACTTTGCGCTCTTGGTCTTGGCAGCAGTCATTAAGGTCATGATGTGCAAGGATGAAAGGACATCAATTGAAAGCTTTGGCCAGAAATTGCTGGGGCCCAGGGGCCTAGCAGTTCGTTACCACAGCAGCTTCGGGATGCTTTTGGCAAGCGTGGAGTATGCGCTTGCAAAGGGCGGCAATCCTGAATCGATTGAGGAAGGGAAGGGAGAGGTGTCAATGTCATGCATGTGAATGTCTTGTCTGATGAAGCAGGTAAGCACCACAATCCAACCTCCCTTCCACGCATGAGGGCCGATATGGGGGCAAACTTTCATCGCTCCTTCCAGAAGGGATGAAGCCCTGCACCTGAGTGGAGTACCACCTTAGCTTGGAAGCCTTTGAAGGCCCGAGAGGTCGCTTCCCCACTTGGTCAACAATCATGTTCACACCGCATGAACAGATTAAATGTTGCAGGGGCAGCTGCTTTCCTAGGCGTATCGCAAAATGTGCTTGTGGCTTTGGAAAAACTCAGCCTTGACGCCATTGAGTCAATAAGGCACCCAGTAGGACGCAAGATCTAAGACTCCAAAGTGACTACGGCTCTCATACCTATACGCATCAGAGGTTGACAGTTCCCGCTGTTGCTCAGCAGCGGCGTTGTCTAAGTGCCCCGCGCCCCCCGCTCAAAGTCAAAGTCGAACATGTCATTCAACCATGCTGAGCAAAATGTGCTTGTGGCTTTGGAAAAACTCAGCCTTGACGCCATTGAGTCAATAAGGCACCCAGTAGGACGCAAGATCTAAGACTCCAAAGTGACTACGGCTCTCATACCTATACGCATCAGAGGTTGACAGTTCCCGCTGTTGCTCAGCAGCGGCGTTGTCTAAGTGCCCCGCGCCCCCCGCTCAAAGTCAAAGTCGAACATGTCATTCAACCATGCTGAGCCATCATAGCCCCCAAACACGTACATGAAGTCACCATTCCTCAGTGCAGTAGAACAATGCAAGCATGTCGATGGTTGTTGACATGTAGCATGTGTGCAGATTGCTATGATCGTCTGTGGCAACCTACTACATGCAAGTCTCTCTTGGACACACGCATCTTGAAGTGGCTACCAAAAATGCAACAAACTCTCTCCAGCTGGCAATGCCTCAGCTGCCGACACCGCGGAGACGTAGCCAAAGCGGGTCGAGGGCACGCTGCCCTTGTGACCGGACCTTGGCTCGAGAAATGTCCATGTTCAAACATGCTCCGGCGAGAGCTAACTTGGATGAACACTGTGTCATTGGGGCGCATCGAGGATGCGCTGAAAGGAGAGCTCGGAACAAGGAAGAACTGGGTAAAATTCCGCATAAATACAACTGGCCACTTGCCAAAGCAATGCAGCTTCTGCGGCTCACAACGTATCATTGGCTCATTTTGCTGAAAGCGCGCTGCGACAGGCGGCTCCTGTAAGTATCCAAAGTATGCAGCGAAGTCAGCTATGATTCATAACGCCAGGTCATGGCTTAAAACAAGGTCACCCGGCAAACATCACGGAGCACGCGTGCTGACAGCCGCCGGCGTTCTCGCAGTTCTCGCTG